ACCCCAAACCCCAACCCCAACCCCAACCCAAACCCCACCCCCAACCCCAACCCCAACCCCAACCCCAACCCCAACCCCAACCCCAACCCCAACCCCAACCCCAACCCCAACCCCAACCCCAACCCCAACCCCAACCCCAACCCCAACCCCAACCCCAACCCCAACCCCAAAAAGTATCATTAGATTTAATTAAATAAAAATATTAAAAATTTTCATTTAATTGATATTCTTAATAAATTGGCTTTAATTAAAATTATAAATTAATTACAATTTTATATGTTAAAATAAATACTTTTAAATAATATTTACATTATTTTATAATAAATTATTATCTTTTATTTATGGCATCAAGCAATTTTATTTATATTTACAATATGCGCATACTTCAAAGTAATTTTTTCAAAGATTTATCATTCTTGTTTCAAAAAATGTTGATTATAAAATATTTCTTTTTTTATATAATAATATTTTATTTTAGATTTAAAATTTATCCAATTTAGCTCCTAAGCATTTTTAGTTTAGCTTAATAGTATTGTTTTATGTTTAAAGAATTTACTAATTATTTGGTTTTTTATTCATTTAATATTACAAAAAACTTAATTTAGAACATTTTCAAAAGCAGATATGTTAATTGGCTTAGTTATGTAGAAATCCATTCCTGAATTAAAAGCTTTAATCTTATCATCTTCTTAAACGTAAGCACTACAAGCAGATATTATAGGACGGCTTATTTTTAATTTTTAGCTAAGCTTGATGATTTCTTAGGTTGCTTGATAGCCATTCATTTCTGGCATATCTATATCCATAAAGATTAAGTGATATCTCTTACAACAGGAATTTTCATACTTTTTTTTAATTAATTCTAGTGCTTGAAAGCCACTTGTTGTTTTATCAGTTGAAAATTAATACATTCTTAATCTGGCTTCAAGCGCGTATAAATTAAATTCATTATCATCAACCAAGAGAATTTAAGTACACTAGCACTGTTTTTACTGATTTTAAATGATTTCTTCTATTTTTTCTAATTGAAAAGTAGATTGCTTAGATCTGTTTGTAATCGAGCAGCAATAGTTGGAGAAATCGACTTGATTTTACTAATCAAAAAAATTTTCCTGTGGTACTTTAACCAGATTTTAGTTGCTATTTTTTTCTAAAGAAGTTACCAAATTTTATTGATTTTAATTAGGGTTAGCTAAATGCTACGGTTCTTCATTTAATTTTGAGTTAATACTGGTGACATGTAAGTTGTTTGAAGTGCTTTTATTGTAAGATTATTAACTTGACTATCTTTATCTAAATCTCTCTACATGTGGAGTAAATTGTTATGGAGATTTAATGTCAAAGCTATCGTTGAGGACGTTGCATGACTCAAGCTATTGGATTAATATTTTTTTTTGAGTGTTTTTAATAAAAGCATTTAAATTTTCATCATAGCCAGTAATGTTTAAAGTTTTTGTAGATTGCATATGAGGAGATTCTTCGTTAAAATCAAAGTTAAATTAAATACTTAAATTTGACTGCTTTTTACTTTATCTAACTTTGAGTAAAGGGCTAAAAATGTTTAGTTAATTTTACTTTGAAAATATTTCAGATTCTTTAAATCTGATAGGCTTGATTTCATTATTTTAATTAGAATTTGTAGCTTATTCTGAAATATTAGTATTATTTTATATGATATATTTTACTTAAGGGGTTTGATCACTTGAAACTATTGTATTGTTCGTATTTAAATAAATACCTTTTGAAGTTATTTATTATGATTGTTCATCATTGATCTCTTTGGCTGAAAATATGTAGCTTTACAATGACGAAGCCTACTATATTATTTATAATGTTGTTTTACTAAGATTATTGTACAAAATTGAAGCCTATTTTCTTATACTGAGAGAGTCTTAACGCTGTATATTATCAATAGGAAATAGCTCTTAAATAGTATTGGAATCGTTATACTCTTAGGTTTCAATAGTAGGCTTTTTAAATTATTATCTCACTATATTCTAAAGACTTCCTTAATTCGCATTGGATAATCTCTTTTTATTTCGTTTTAAAGTGCCTTGGCTCTAAATTTAATTTTCCGAATTCAAATTTTGGATATTGGTATAATCCTTGTTAACAGCTGCAGCTTGGTCTTCATCAATATTTTGCTTTTAGCTTTCCGTATATTATTTATCACTAATTTTTTTTTGATTCAGAGCAGATAAGTTTGGATATTCTGTTAATTCACCTTTTTCTATCCAAAGCTTTGTTTTCAAAGAAGCTTGGCTTTCAAATTTATTTTATGGATGATATAAAATGCACCCCTTTTTTTGATTAGATTTATTCACTACAAAGAATGTGAACGTACTACCTTTTCCTACTTCGCTCTTCACTGTAAGCTATCTATTATCTCCCAAGCACGATGCGAGCATAAATGATATACTTAGACCTAGTCCTGCATTCTTTTGGAACTATGAAGATTGTTATTTTTTCAGAGTGGGTGAATTTTATTTTTAGGCAGAATTTATAGACTCCAAATCAGGGTGAGTAAAATTATTAAATATTTACCTTAATTTAGATGCATGTATACCACAACCTGTATCTTTTACGTCGATTTAAATTATTTAATCTTGAGGATAAGATAACTTTATAACTACGCTTCCTTTCTATGTAAATTTCAAAGCATTGCTTAAGAGATTAAGAAGGACCTATCTAGTTTTATCTAAATCTGTGTAAACTATATTTGGTACACTTTCTTCACAAATTAGTTCTAATTGAAGATTCTTTTATGAAGCTTGTAGCTTTATAAAATTCATGCATTCAATACAAAGATTTAATGGAGAAAATTCTTAAAACATCATTTTAATCTATCCCGACCTATTGATTTCTGCTAAATCTAGAATATCATTTATTATGTTCAATAAAATGTAACTAGAAAATAATGCAGGATTAACATAAAGCGTTCTCGCCAAATCAGAAATATCATTGTTCATATTCATTATATCAAGCATAGAAATTATGCAATTCAAAGGAGTACGAAGCTCATGTGAAATGGAACAAAGCATTTTTCTTTTGAATTTATCCATCCTTTATTTCAGGCTTCGAGTTGTAACTTCAAAGTTTGTTTCTAATATCTCTATAGTAAATATGTAAGCACATTCTTGATTCTAAAATTTTAAAATTTGATTGCTAATATTGTTGTTGTTATTATCTAATTTTAGTAGAATTTCGCTGTTTTATAGAAATTAAATACTTTTTTTAACAAAATGCTAATAAGATAAATCATTAATACTTGAATCGCAGTTTGAAGCGTTTTAAATATTTTATTTTGTGTTAGATTCCTACATTAAAGCTTCATTTCCCTTAGAAGAAAAATTTAATCCAATTAGCTTAATTTACTTCACGTAATTATTATTGTTGTTATTATTTGAATTAGTTTCAATAGAGTCTAAGTTTATAAATGCTTATTTATTTGGGTTCTTGAGAGATTTCTCTAATTTTTACTCAATGAAACTCCTACTTTATAAAATATTGCAGTAAGTAGATTCTTTTTAATTCTCAGACTATTCTTCTACCTCTTAAAGCTCATTCATTGATTTTTTATCACATGTTTCACATATAAAATCTATATTTTTTTAGTTGATTTCATTTTCTTGAGATTTAAAGCAGCCTATTTTTATATCAAAATTTCTTTTTTTATTTTTATTATCAAAAAATTTTAAGGATATTGTCAAAAAATCTTGCTGAATCGAGTATTTGTATGTTTAAGTTTAGAAATTCATAGACTGCTTGTTTTAATTTATATTAATTTCTTAAAATTTATCAACAATTTTATGACATATTTTGCATTTTTAGATTTTTTGATTGTTTATTTCACTTTTTTCTTTAGGTTTTGATTGTATTAAAAAATTTAAAAGATTTGATACATTAATTGCTGCTTATTTTTATTCAAAAAACTTATTGATATCATTTGGAATTTAGCATTAAATTAGTTCTTTATTAAAAGTAGAATCTGCTTAACTACAAACAGGAGAAGGTTTACTAAAAAAATTTGATTTATTGTTAATAATTTATGGTTGTTGTAAATGAGGTTTTTTATTTTATGTGTTTGAATTTTCTAAAAGAAAATCAACGTTTTCTTCTTTTATACTGCTATCTTTCTTATTAAAATTTATCTACTCTTTGCAATGATTTTATTCTTTCTATTTTTCTTAAACCTGATTGAGTTTGTTGTGAATGTTTAAAAGATCATCATCTAAAGAGGTATGCATTAAGTTCAATTTAGAAAAGTGTTACTAACTTTTACCTTTATATTCATTTTACACTGATTATCCTGGTTCTTATTGAACAAATGCTGAGCTTTGGCTTTAGTTATTTGCATGATCTTTCTTATAATTTTAAGTGTGAGAAAGTCTTTGGTTTTCTTTATACTTAGACTCTAAATGCTTTTTTGTTTCTAATTTTTGAGTTGTAATTTAGTTGTAATTTAAGCTAAGAACAAAAAATGTTTTGATAATTTAATTTATTTAATCACTAGAATTTAGATTGGTAGAATCTCCAGATTCTTGGGTGAAAGATTATAATTATTAAATTAGTGATGCAAATTGATTATTATATTTTAATATTTCTTATTAATCATTTAATACAAGCAGACCTGTACTTTAAATATTTGTGTAATCAAATAAAATAGAAGAATTGAAATCAACACCTTTAATTTGTTCTTTTTCTATCTTGTTTTTATTCACTTTTATTGGTGAAAATGAATTCTTCTCATTCTAAATTTACTTATCGTTGTTATTACTTTTATTTTCTCTATCTTGATCATTGTTTCTTTGGAATTCAGCTGAAAAGGGTTCTTAAATGCTCTTATCCATATATCTAAAAATTAGTTTCTAATTATCATTTAAGTTATCATAACTTGAAGTTGCTTTAAAACAAAGTATTATTTTTATGTAAATAGTAGCTACTAGAAATATTATTTGAAGAGAATTAGACACATTAATGCTCTACGCATATAAAAAAAACCGAACTAATAAATAAATTAAATGCATAATTAAAATTTTGCAGTATTTTTTGCAATTCAAAGCTGCTATGTGCACTTCATAAAAGAGAAGTAGAAGTGCAAAAGACAAACCAAAGGCATAAACCTATATTTGAGGGAATTATTAAGAGTATTCGTTTAGTAAAACAGATTATGCTAAATATATGTAATCTCTCCACTAATAGTGTTTCTTTAATAAAATTATTCCTATTTACACAGTACTAACTAATAATAATGCCACTAATAAAGATAGACTTATCACCTTGCTATTTTATGAAAAATCTTAATTTAAGCAATAGTTTTTATCTAAAATTTATATAAAAATGATTTCATTTAAAGAATAAACACTTATTATTAATGTAAATATCATCAAGCTATTCTTATTTATAAAAGACTTCAGTCTACTTTCTTAATTCTTCATTTAAAGTAATTCTCTATGTATATATCTATCTATCTATTTTATTAAACAAGCAAGCAAGTAGCTAATATATTAATATAAATATATATAAGTCTTTTCTAATTTTTTTAACAATCTATAAATGAATAAGAAAAATAAATTGCTTTACTTACTTATTACCTAATTAATTTGCTTTGATATCTTTAATTGATTCTACAGGTTAGGGGGTTCTTAAATAATTAGATTATATATATTTAATTATTTTTAACAACAATCAAAAATAATAAAAAACATCTCATTGAATTTAAGATATTTTAATCAAATTAAAAATATTATTACTGAAAAAACGCTAACTTTTTATTTTTATCTAACTAACTAACTAACAAATTAATCAACAATAAATATCAATTATGATAAATATATCAAGTTAAAATAAATAAATTTACTTAAAAATATTGATATTTTTTATTTCTTTTAATAGTACAATAATACTTAAATTATAAATAGTTTATTCTTTGATTTGAGATATTTATTTGATTGAAAAAATGTTCATTTAAAAAAAAAAACATCTTTAAATTTCTAACCAAAGTTATATTTAGAACTTTTAATAAAAACAATATTTATTTGTTTTTTTAAAAATAAACTTACTTATTAAAGCTAACTACAAAAAGTAAAAATTAATCCAATTAATTTTATTTTGTTAAAATTTAAATAATTTATATCATCAACCAATAATTTAATAATTTAAAATAGATTATTTAAGTACCTTAAAAATTAACTAAACAAAAAAAATAAAAAATATTCAAATTTTGAAATAAAAAATTAAACTTTTTAAAAGTTTTTCTTTTAATTTTCCTTATAAATATTAAAAAAAGAAAGAAATCACATTAATTATTTTAAGAAGAAATAAATATTTATCTTTATTTCACTGCCAATTTTAAAAATTTTATAAATTAATTTAAATGTAACTAGTATTGGTAAATTATTGAAAAATTGATTTATTTATATATATTTTAATCATATATTTATTAATTTTATTTACTAGATAGAATTAAATTGGTTTGTTTTATCTTTTACTTATTTCAATTAATATTGATTTTTAATTTAATCTTAAAATAAATTGAATTTTGTATGAAATTATTTAATTCAAGATTCTAATTAAAATACTTAAGCTAAAACGTTTTCAAATGATTAAGTATTGATGGGTTTGGTGATGTAGTATTTCATTCCAACTTGATAAGCCTTTTGCTTATCACTTTCCTAAATATATGCACTACATGCTGATATCACAGGTGGCTCTGCTTTAAGCTTTTTATAAAATTATAAAATCTTTTCTGTAGTTTGATAGCCATTCATTACTGGCATATCTATGTCCATGAAAACAAGGGAATACTTATTACAGCAAGAGTGCTCTTTCTTTTTTTTAATAAGATCAAGTGCTTCGAATCCACTAGTGGCTGCATCTATAATAAAAGAGTACATTTTTAGTCTAATTTATAATGCATAAATATTGAATTCATTATCATCAACTATCAATATCTATGGACATTAACATTTTCTTTATTTATTCTAACTGGCTATTAGTAACTAAAAGTTATTTATTTAGTTATTTATGTGAACATGCTTTATACCTTCATGAGAATTTTCTTATATATTTTGACGACTTTCAACCATGATGAAACTATTTAGAGAACTAGAACTATTTTATGGTTAATTAGAATTCTAATTTACATGTTAATCTTTTTTTAAACATCCTCCTTAAAATTAATAGTTTTTATTAACTTAAATATTGCATAAATTATCACTTGATTTTGAGGTTTAGTGATTTTAATCTATCTTTAAGATCATTTTTTTTCTTTATAATTTTTATGGCTTTTCACAAACTTTAAGTTTTTCAGATTGATTTGGGAATTTTTTTTCTGTGCATTCACTCATAACATCACATGATTCTTCTTGTTTAGGAGAGTTAAAATAATTCAAATAATTATTTTTTAAAACTTAATTGCACAGTTCTGAATTTACTTTTTTATTTGAATATTAAGTTTCTTCAAAATTTTCTAAATTATGTTTTTCTTAATGAATTTAATTTAAGGGTAGCTTATTTGAAAGCTAACAGTTCTTATTTTACGTTAAGCTACTGAGAGAAATACTGCAGTGTTGATTACTCAGGTTAAGTTTTTTGTTGATAGAACGGTCAGAGTCTTTCATGTCTTTTTATGATGCAATATTTATTTCGCTACATTTATTTTTTAGTAAATTATTATTTGAAGATAGGATTTTGATATGGAATTCATCTTCACAGATACTATTTCTTTTTGAATTAGATTGTTACTTCGAAGCCTAGAAAAATTCTTTGCTAGTTGTCTAAGGAGAGTGAATATTACCTTAAGATCCTCTTACTTGCAAATTTAAATTATGCTAGTCCTCCTAAATATCTCTATAAGAATAAATTTAATTGCAAATATTAGAAGCATGTTAAATAATTTAGAAAGCAGTCTTATTGAAATTTATCTAGACTAAAGAAGTTTGCAAGCTTTTAGTTTTAGACTTTGAATTTAAATTATCAGACTCACTTTCAGGAAACAATTCCTTCATATGATCAAAATTTCTATCGCTATGAAAACTGTCTAAATTATTTTTATCTTAATCTGGACTCACTCTCAAATTGTTAAAACTTAAACAAAGTCCATTTTTACTTTACAGGTGATGATTTTTACTTCTTTCTTAAGACCTGTTTGAATTTTTAAAGGTTTCAATGTATAAATTATTTTCTAATCCCCTTATATTGTTTTAAGAAATGCTTTTTGTTGTGAGTTCTTAGCTATTTTAGATTTCGATTTCATCTTGGTTCATTTAATATTAATTTCTGGCAAAAAAAGACTTTTAAATTTGGTTGTTTTCAGAATATTCACTATCTTGTTGATACTTTGATCTTTGAGAATTGAAACATTCTAATTAAGGAACAGGCAAATAAGTGCACCCTTTTCTGTTCTGACATTGACTAACTATATAAAATGTGAATGTACTTCCTTTACCTAGTTCACTTTACACATTTAAAGTTCTGTTATCACCCAAACATTTGGCAAGAATGTATGAGATATTCAAACCTAGACCCGCATTTTTGGAATTATTATTATTGTTGTTGTTGTTAAACTGAAGGCTTAATTGTGAGTTTAGATATTCTTTTTGGTTACTATTATGATGAGATTGATTAGAGTAAATGTCAAACTCAGGTTGAGTAAAATTAAAAAATATTTTTTTTAATTTTTCTGGTGCTATTCCACATCCTGTATCACTGACATCAATTTGTAATATGTTTTCTTAAGAGTATGAAAGTTTAATTGTTATATTACCTTTTTAAGTAAATTTTAGTGCATTACTAAGTAAATTTAAGAGAACTTATCTTGTTTTATTCAAATCTGTGTAAATTAATTTAGGGACAAACTCATCATATTCAAAAATAAGTTAAAGATTTTTCTACTAAGCTTAGAGCTTAATAAAATTTAAGCATTCATGACATAGATTTATAGGAGAGAATTCTTAGAATAGCATTTTAATTTTTCCAGATCTATTTACTTCTGCCATGTCTAAAATATCATTTATTGTATTTAACAGAATGTAACTTGAAAATAGAGCAGGATTCACAAAGTAGTTTTTGTTTGCATCTGAAATATCATTCTTCATGTTCAGCATGTCCAACATAGAAATAATACAATTCAAAGGAGTTCTGAGTTCATGAGATATCGAACAAAGTAGTTTTTGTCTGTATTTATCCATTTTGTTCTTTAAGTTTTCAGAAACAATTTCAAAATCTGTTTGGGTTACTTCTATAGAAAATAAATATTGAGTTTGTTCTATGTTAGTCTGCACTTCTTCGTTGCTATTATATTAGTCTTTCTACTTGATTTAGCTAGTTTCATTTGTTTAGCAGTTTAAATTTATTCTTTATAGATGATCATTATCAGATTCACTCATTAAAGAACATATTTTAGCAACATGATAAGGTTTGGTTTTGTAATTATAATGCTTTTATGAGCTATCAATTTTACTATTGCTTATATTTACAATTTATTTCAAAGATTCAATTCTTTTGCTGCTTGTCTGACTTTCTTCTTTTATTTAATTGAGAGTCTTGTTGTCTCCGTAAATTAAGCTCATTTTTCTGTTGGCTATGTGAACTGAAGTGCTAAAATCTGGATTAGAAGTTTTGCACTTTTAACAAAGATCATAAGAAGCATCTTAGGTATTTAAAAAGCAGCCTATCTTATAGTCAATTATCTTCTTTTTATTTGACTTATCTTTGTAAATCTGCGATATGATTAAATAATTAGAATCAATTTGGATTTTATAAAATTGTGATTAAGGATACTTTTTATTTTTTGCTTATGAATTCTGCTAGTTAATTAATTTTTGGCAATGCTTGCAAGTATTTGTTTGGTTAGTTTTTGAGTCAATGATTTCTTGAGGCTATTATTTAATCAAAAAATCTATCACTTAGCTCAAACAAATATCACCTTTATAATCTTCAAATAATTAATCTATATTTTCAGGGATATGACACTGTTTTAATTTACTTAATCCCTCAGTGAATTATTAGCTGCTTACACTTGTCTGCTAAAAATTATTTTGCTTTTAAAAGTTGTTTATCCTATAATTGTTTATATTTATTTGGTAATTAATGGGAGTTCTTTGTGTTGCATTCAAGTTTTACTGATTTTCTAGATCATATAGAGGTGAGTTAGAAGTTAAAGAGTTGTTTAAATGTATAAATTAGAGAGTGTTAGAAATGTTTTGAGCTCCATTCTACTTGATAAAAGTATCTTCAAGCTCATGAGCAGACACATTAATGGGCATTAAAACATTTTTGTCTATGCATTATTAGCATTCTTCTTCTTTAAATTTAATAATCGAGTCATTTGCATTTTGATTTTGTTTTAAGTCAGCTGAGTTTTACTTATTCTAATCAGGTATTAAGCTAAAAAAATCTTTATCAACGTTTGTTTCACTGAAAATGGCATTGTTTTGTAAACTATTGAGCTGTTCATGATATTAATTATTATGTGATTAAAATAATTTTGAGTTATTAAATTTTAAATTTATAAGCAGCAATTCCTCTCTCAGAGACCTTTTGTCTACTTGCGTTGATTCTAGTTTAATTTATTAATTTGTTTTTTCTTCGAAAAATTAAACAAACTAGCTATTTATCTTTACCACTTCTTTTTTATCGTTAATTATCAGTATGCCAGTCTTTTACAGTTCTTAGAAGTCAAATGAGCTAGAATTTTATTTTTTATTTTGATCTTCTATCTATTTGTAATTAAATTAATTGTTTTCGCGTTATTATTGTTAATTCAAACATTTGCTCTCTTGATCAATTTTTGATTCTTTTTTTATGTAATTAAACTAATCACGTATTTTTTACCTACTTAAAATATCAAATTCTTGCTTTTATTTATTTTGCTATAGAGGACTAATACCATTCTGCTGATATTAAACTTCTCTATCTCTTTCTTCATTAAAGTCTTAAAATAAAATAACTGCAAAGATAATGAAAGTTGAAATAATTATTCCAATATCTGATCTCACATCAAATATCTTTCCTTAAAAAAGATACCTCAGTATTAGATATAAAAAGTGGAGCATAAATACCTTCAAAAAAAACTATCTTCTTTAATTAAATAACTTAGGATAGAAGAAAATAATAAGAGCTATTGATATAGAGCAAGAGGTCTAGGGTTAATAATCAGTGAACATCGAGTATTCATTTAATAAAATAGAAATAACTAACTTTATAATATTATATGTATTCTATTATTTCTTAACAGTAACCAAAAAATAAGCCACCATAGTAAAAATAATTGTTATTATTTACAATAAGAGACAGACTATTTTATTTGTTTTTTACTATGAAGAATGAGATTGATTATTTTCAGAAAGCCATAAAATCATAAAGAGCAATTCATTGAGACTGTAAATAATAATTGATATGGCTAAAATTATGGTTTTATTTTGCTTTAATCTTTGAGAAAAGGTCATAATTTTTGTGGTTAATAAAATGGTATTTATTTTAAATTTTAACTTTACTTTATTTAATAAAACAATATCAAAATTATTTGAAATTAAATTTTATAGAGATTCATGATTTTACTATTTAATTAAGCAACAATTTTTGTTTCTTTTCTTATACAAACAATTCTTTTATCTGCCAATTTATATTTATTTTAAAGTATTCCGATGATTCTACTTAATAAAATTAAATTTCATAGAAACAGATGAAGTAATTGAATTGATTTTCTAAAATATGGTGATTTAGATATGTTTTTTTATTTTTTATTTATTTATAAACCACTTTTTAATATATAAAAAAAAACATTTTATTTTCCATACCTATCTTAAATTGATTAAATCATAATCATACTTCGTTATGTTAAAATATTTTATCGCAGAAATATATTTCACATCGATAAATTTTAATTTAAACTTATTATAATCTATTTATCATTCATTCTAAAATTTAAGAGCAAACAACAACTTTATTTATATATAATTCAAATAGTTTGCATTTTTAAAAACTCAATTATGATTGATAGGGTATTAAATGCAAAATTTTTATAATAAATTTCTTTTAGATTAATTAATTATGATGCCTTTGTAAATCTAAAGTAATAAATATAAAATTTAAAATTATTTTATTAGACTTTTTATTGTAAATTTTTTACAAAAAAATTTATTGCTTATTTTATCATAAAAATTATGCTTATGAATCAATCATTCTATAACACTTCTAAAGAAAAACTATAAAGGTTTAATGGATTTAAAATTTGAATTAAATTCTACTAAAAACTTGATTTAAGCTTAAGCTTTTAAAAATGTTCTATTCTACTCAAAAGCTTTTTACTTTAAAAGTTGGAATCCATTATTTTTCCTATTCAAATATTCTAAAATTTTTTAAATTTATGATATTAATAGTTATAATTTAGTGAAATCAGAAATTATTAGCAGATAAGCTAATTCAAAAATTATAAGTTTACTTGAAATTAACAATGATAATTTATTTTTTAAGATATGATCAAATTATTAAATTAGAAAAATAAATATTTTTGTAATAAAAAAATATCTATTACTAAAATCTTTAATAGGATAAAGTTTAATGTTTCATTTATTATTAATAATTTGATTATTAGATATAATAAAAAAATATAATTTAAAAAAAAGCATAATTTATAAATGCAATTAATACTAGTAATGAAAAATAATTTTGTTATAAATTATCAAGTTAAAAAATAATAAATATATTAGGATTTATATTCATCTAAAATAATAATTTATAAAATAAAAAAGATTTGCTTTTGTTTAATTTTATAAATATCTTTTATATTTTTGATTATTTTAAATATCTTATAAATAATATTGATAGTGAACCATTACCTTACAATAAAAAAAATTATTCAAAGATTTGATATAAGTAGATAATTTTTTAGTAATTTAATGTAAATTAAAATTTATAAAGCTGTTTTTTGAATTTAATTTTACTATGTTTAGTATATTTATAAAGTCTTAAATAAAAGGGATATAAAAAACCTACATTTAATTTATTCATTGATTATATTGGATTGTTATATTTTAATAAAAAAAAAATACAATTAAAATATTTATTAATTAAAAAAAATAATTTATTATGAAAAATGAATGTTTAATGTACTTAATTTAATTATTTGGATATTTAAAATTTTCTTTTCAACTTCAAATTATTAAAATACTCAAGCAAATCATATTCAATATTAATCTAACTTAGTATATTGTTTGCGTTAATTAAATTTACGTTTAAATGAGTTTCTTTTTTAGAAAGCAACTTTTTTTTTATAATAAAATCTTTAATATATTTAATAGTTTACAAATATTATTAAAGCAAACAAAAGTAGGAGTTTAATAAATATATAATGATCGAATAGGCTATATTTAAATAAAATTCTTTAGGATAACAAAATCTAATAAATGAACCATAGGAAGTGATAGCTCAAGATATAAACACTTTGAAAACTATTTGTGTAGATCAATATTAGATGACTTAAATAGATAAAAGGGAGTCAAAAAATCAAATACTTCCTAACAATGTAAACGAGTAAAATACTATCAAGGATAACTCAGATGAATTAGCTAATTAGCCTTCTGTTAACTTTAAAAAGCAAATCACTTTATTCTAAAACAGAAAATGGTAATATGTGGCCAAATTTATTCAAAAGATAAAGCAACAAAGTTCTTTATATAGATTTGGCCAAACCAGAAAATCTTAGCTTGACATTATAGATGATAAATCATTCTTTTATGATTACTTTTACTACTAAAAAAGATTTACAAATGAAGTAAATTTTACATTCCTTAATAGATATAAAAAATAAATCGAATTTTAATATATAGATGCCTTCACTGTTCGAATCGTTTGCCCACTACTTAGAAAGTAAACATAAAAATAACAAAAATGATTGTTTATTTTCTTTTATTCTGGGTTCACATATTATCTTTTTATGATATTTGTTCATTATAAAAAGAACATATAATATTCATTAGATTTAGAACTTGTAAAGGGTTAATATAAAGCAAATTTGTGCTCGCTAAAAGAAATGAAAAATAACATAAAAATTGTTTATCTGACTCAAATTATTTGTTCATTATGATTTAAATAGAAAGAAAATAATTTTTATATTAAAATTTAAATTATAAAAATTATTTTTAATTTTTTTATGAATTATCATTTATTCTATTTTTAAAATTAATTAGCAAGAGAATTCATTAAATTTCTTAAACTAAGAGGATTTAGTAACTGGATAATCATGCCTGTAAATGCATAAATATATAGTTTTCTTTCTATAATTCAATAATTAAATGAATGATTGAAAAACGCTTAAATTTTTTTTTATTTTAATGAAAAGGATCATTTACCTAGCCGATTATGGAATTTTGTGCAATTTTTCTTTCTACTGATTTACATAATTTACTTACCTATCAGAATAGCGTTCGACTCACTTTACTAAAATAATTAAATATTTATACTTTTTGAAGTTATCCCTAATATAATTTAGATAATAAATATCTTTCTATAGTTAAACACAGGTAACATTGATCAATTATTCATACTGCTTTTCTAAACAAAATAAAATTGTGTTTTTTAAAGGTTTTTATAAGAGAGGAGTTGTGATCACAGATCGTTCCTAGATCATAAAACATTATTTATTCTCAGTCAATTTTTAGTAAATTAATTAAATCAATATCGATCATTATATAGAATTTTATTTCATTTTTTTAATTAAGCTTCGATATGTTCCTTTGTATTTTTTGGCTGATATCTTTAAATAATGGTGTTTCTATATGGTTTAAAGTAGTAGGAGTTTTAAGGCTTTTTACATTTATACATTACCTTTCTTAAATTGAATACACAACTGATATTAGAGAGTATATTGGGAGTTATTTGGATTTGATTAAACTGGGCGGATTTATTTTTCTATGTGCTCACTTAACTGGATGCTGTTTCTATGCTTTAGCAAACTATGAAAAAGAACTTGGAGTCTTTTCAACTTGGATTGATAAAGACAGACTCAATTTTGTAGATAATGAAAACAGTGTTAATTTAGAGTTTTAAGGATATGTTGCTTCCTTTTATTGGTCCATCATAACAATGTGCACTGTAGGTTATGGTGATGTTGTTCCTACCACATTTAGAGAGAGAATATTTGTAGTTTTTGTTTGCATGTTAGCTTGCTTTTTGTTTGCATTTGCAATGAACTCTATAGGTATATATAATTCAATACATAGAATTATTTTTCAAAAATAAAAAAATGTTAAATTATTTATGGTGAAAAAATAAATAGGAGAGATAATTAAAAACTTAAGATAAAATAATGAGGAATTTAAATTACAAACTACTTCATTGAAGATTTACATGAAAAAAAGAAAACTTCCTAAAAGCTTATAAATGAGAGTTAGAAAGTATTATGAGTACTTGTATGCAGAGAAAAAGCAAGAAAATGAGCTAGGAATCAAATTAATTGATGATCTTGCTCCCACTCTCAGAAGTGATGTACTAAAAGAGATGTATTCAAACATATTAAAAAAATAAAAGCTGTTTAATCTCAATTTTTCTGAAACATTTATTACAAATCTGTATAAATATGTTAAAGAAAAGAAATACAGTGTTGACGAATATTTATTTAAAGAAAACGAAAAATCAGAGAACTTGTTTTTCATTTTATCTGGAGAAGTTGAAATCATTCTTTAAAATAGAGTAGTGCTTCAGACTCTTTAATAAGGAGAATTTGTAGGCAGTCAGGAGTTTTTCGGAGACAATCTTTACTAATTTTCAGCCAAAGCAAATACATTTACATAATTTTTAATTATTGATAAATAAGATTTTATAGAGAGTCTAAAAAATTTTGAAAATGATTATGTAAAATTATAAATCGTTTACTTCATAAATTATTTATATATTTAAAAAAATTTAGGAATCTTTCTGTGAGATCAGGGATAATATTAATTTATAGCACAAAAATTCTGCATTATGTATTAGGTGCGAAAGCTGCAGCTAATATGGACACACATTTTAGGGCTGCTCAATGATTAAATTTCATGGCAATAAATATAAATAAATATTTAACTATAATAAAATAAAATAATCAAGAAAAAAATAAAGTCGAAATGATTTTACTTTTACTACCTTGCAATGTGCTAAAGAAGTTGAAGAAAGTGTCAAAGCATTTCATGAGCATGTTTACTACACTTAACTTTAAAAAGGTAAATTAAATATTTATCATTGAATGCATAACTAAAATTTTTTGATGTTATCAGTCTTATTATTTTTATTTTATTTTTTATTGGCTAAGTATTAATAACAACTACTTCAATTTTTTCTAAAATAGCATCATATTTTAACTTTAAATTTTTAGATATAAATAATTTAAAATTTCAAATGATATAAACTAACATTTTTAAAAATAGATTTAAATACAATAATTTTTAATTTTATGAATTTTCTAAAATTAAATTAAAGTTGTTTTGAATTGTTTTTTAAAATAAAATTAATAGAGGAATTTGAAAGAAATCTTTACAAAAATTTTAGTACGATTGATGATAATGAGGATAGTGATGAGTCTGAAAAAGAAAAGACAGAATAAAATTAAAGATAAATAGGAAATTTTAACAATTTATAGAATTAAATTGCAGAAAACTAAAATACTGGTATTGGGAGTAGATTAACCATTAATTTGAATAATCAATAATCAAAAGAAGAACATAGCATAGAAAATGAATAAAAAGATAATCAAAGATTAAAAGTAAAATCGTTTGTTGGTTAAAATGATTCCAAAAAGCCTCCAGCTATTTCTAGCTTTTTTGCAAGGGAGCAGTTGTAAGTTGAGAAAACATAAAATTCTCAAGATACAGATAATGAGTCAGAGTCATTTGATATAAATAATCCAAGTAGTCCTGAAAAAATATTCTATAATAATAAAAGCTCAGAGGGAAAAATATAAGAAATCAGAATATCTACAACTCCAAATAAGAAATAGTAATACTCAAGTAAAGCAAAAACAGCAGCAAAACTAGAAAATGCAAATTCTAAACAGCATAGCTACTTTTTTTCTTATTCTCTGAAAGATAATTAAGATAATGAAATAAAGACTACACATAACAGTAGCAAGAATGATGAATACAAAGAATCACTGAAATCAAATAAAATTATATACATAGAAGACTAAGTATAGTAAGGATCACAGTAGAACATAGTAGCATAAACTCATAAACCTAGATTTTTTACAAAGAAAAATGACTTAGAGCTTAGGAGAAAGTCTAAATTTTTGAACTTTGGAAATATTTAAGGAGCTCAGCTAAATAAGTAAGTAAGTATTCAACTATGTGATTCCTCAAATGCTTCTCCAGCTAAGAAAATTCCATTTATATAAGGAATTCTCTCTCCAAAAAGCAATCCTATATCTCCTAAAGTTAGCAAAACTCCTATAAATCAAAATTAAAAAACTCCTGCAATTACTCCAAAACATTATGAAAAAAGATTAACTATAAGGCACTAATCATAATTTTCTAATTCGTTAGCTTCTATAGTCTATAACATATATGAATAAGCTATACAGCAAGAAAATTTAATAAGCAAGAAACTGCCAATGAATTAAGAAGTAGAAAATGAATTCGATAGAATGAAGGAATATCAACATTATTTTATCAATAACAATCCCTCTTAAGTAGTTTTAAATTATAATAAGTATGCTGAAGAAAGGAAACGTTGTTATGAATTAATGAAAGGAGCTAGTTTAAGAAAGAAGAAGAAAAATTCTTAAAAAACTAGATATGAAAAGAAAAATTTTAATATGCTAAATAAAAGAAACTAAACTTTAAAATCAGCAAGTAGCAAAACAAGTCAGTAATAAGGTAACCAATTTAAAAAGATTTCAGTTGACTGGTCTAAGTATAATGAAGAGGTTGAAAAGCCATAGGAAATAAATAAATAAGAATTAGATTCACTGATTAATAATTAGAATAATAACTAATGAAAACAATTTATCTTAAATGCTTATCTACTTTTAAAGTTACCTACCATCTTTTATACATTAATTTCAAAATATAATTATTTTTTTAAAATAATGGTCAACTAAATTTCTTAACAATTTCATAATGCGTTTGAAATTCACAAATTCATAGATACAGTTAACTTTTTTTAAAATATAAACTTTTAATACTTCTTTAAAAAATATTTCATTGTTATTTCAAATAATTTGTTGAAACTGCTAAAATTATATTAAAACTGATGAATAAAATAATGAGAAATGTAAACTTATTTTATTTTAATTAATTAATTTTATAATGATAAAATATTTATTATTCACTCTCTTTTAAAATTGTATTTATTCATATTTTTATTTTTTTACATATTTATTTCCACAATTAAAATAATAATAAAAACACTAACTAATTTGTAATAAAATTAAAAATGGTAATTATATATTGTATTAGATTGAGAAAATATTCTAAAATAATTTTTAAACAAATCAGATTTTGCATCGCAAAAAAATTATTTAGTTAGCTTGCAAAAAATAGTCAAAAAGTTATATTGGAAAACTAATTAGATTGTGAAAAAAGATAAATGAACACTTAACATTAAAAAATAGATTTAATTTTGAGAGAACAGTATATATATATTTTATTCATGCCATACTACAAATTGCAAATCAAATTTTATATGAGAAGAGGAGATTCTTAATAGACTCACTCAAAACTGCTTGATTCTTTTCTAAAGCATATTTAAGAGGCTCTTTTTCTTGAGCAGAGTTCTTTCCTAAAAGTTCGTCTAGAGTGAGCAAATAATCAGACTTTTTGCTTTTAGATTTTTGGTTAGAAATTTTACTTGAGAGATCGTTCAAACCTGTAACGAAATAGTGGTTATTTACAATCAAAGAGGAAGATGTAACAGTGTTAATCCAATATTTATTCCACAATATTTCAATTAGTTAATTATCAAGGGAGTTTTTAAAGAAGCTTACTTCAAGCTAGTAGTAACTTTTATAGTGGATACCATAATCTTCAATTTTTTCAAGAGGGATTGATTAAAATTCTCTGTGATCATCATCAGGTGCATTATAATCCTAAGGATAAGTTCTAAAAGCACCAATTTGTATTTTACCACTAACCATAGTTCTAATTGGATCAATAACTATTGCAACCATTGGATCACCAACTTATTGTAATCTTTAAGTCATAACATCTGTTCCTGAAAGATAAGGACCATAACCAGGGTGACTATGATACCATCCTAAATTTTATTATTAAAGCATATTATTTCAATTATTCTAAATATGTTTAAATGAAAAGAAGATTAATCAAAATGATGATAATATTATTTACCTCTAACATTTTCCTTTCTTCCTGCCTTTTCTAATAATTCAATAGTCTAAATCATAAATTCATTGCATTCTGCACCAGCACTAACTCTAGTTTCTGTTGCTTCAACTGGTAATGCAAAGACATCCATAATTAAAAATGTATCACCCTAAATCTTTCCTAGAGGTAAACCCATAACTTCATTTGAACCAGCCATTCTAGCATGAGAAAGCATTTTCAAAAGAGCAAGCAAAGAAATCTTGCACTTCTTGAAGTAACGAGGATCACTTCTCCATGGTCTGGCATCTAAAATCTTATCTTATTCCTTTTCATCAAAGAAGTAAAGAGTTTCATCAGTAATGATATTGTTTTGCTCTTCAAATTTTTTCAAATCTTTATTCATTTTTGTTTGCTTTTTATGATGCTTGCTTATATGAATATATCCTAATTTTTATTAGATCTTATTATTTTACTTATCTGATCTTTTTAGTATTTATCTAACAAAGTAATTTATTTATTTAATTATTTATTGAAATTCTTTTTGTTTAGTAGAGGTAATAACAAAAAGCTATATAATCATTTATCTATTTATTCATTTTGTCATCTTTTCTACATTAATTAGCATTTACCTGCTTCTTTCTCTGCATAGGTTTTATTAGTATATATAAACTGCTTTTATCTCATAAAATGCTTTCTCATCATCAAAGAAAGATATTTGATGATTTTCCTTTCTAACAAGTAAATATCTTTTATGGTGAATATAAATATAAAGATCATCAGCTTTTCTGATTCGTAAATACACAGATAATACATACACCAATATTTCTTTTCTTTAATTCTCTCTAAAAAATATATCTGACACCAATTTTCTTTACTTTTAGCTATCAGAAATTTTTTATTTTAAGTTATTTTAATTTTTTAAAAATAAATTTATTATTGCAAATGTTAATTTAAGTTTTTTTTTTAATTTTATATATAAAAATTTGATAAAGTATTTTAAAAGTACATTTATAATAAAAAAAGTTAATGAATCTATCTTAATCAATATTAAATTTAAAAGAATTTAATTTAAATTATAATCTTAATAAAAATAAGATTTATTTTTTGATATTCTTGGGTTAACCAATCATTTTTATTGACTATTTCCAAAAGTTATTTCAAAAAAATATATTTTTTACCAAAATCAATCAATACGAATGCCAAATTGAATGTATTTTATGAAATTCAGATGACTTATTAAACCTAATAAAAAGAGTATATTTGTTTATTATATTTAAAATTTTCAATTAAAAAAAAGAAAATTCATATTTGATTTTGATTTATTTAAGAACACATCCAATTTAAATAAGAAACAAAAAAGGTTAGAGTTAATATAAATTTTATTAAAACTTAAAATTAAAATAGAAAAACAACTAAGTGAGGCTATTTACTGATAATTTAAAAATGCTTTAATGTAAGAAAGTAATTGTATTAATTACTAAACTTTTAAGAATTTAGATGAGATGGAAAAATTATTTATCACTTAAAAATATATAAATTTTTGTTCTATTTAATTTTTTAAATAACTAATTAAACTTTTTAAATTATTTTTTAAAAATATAGTATTAGATAATTATGCTCTTAGTTGTAGGACTTTAAATGATTTGCTTTTGAATTATTAATTTTTAAATAAAATTCTGTTAACAATTAATTTAAGAATCTAAAATAAATAATTGTTTTAAAAATCAATAAACATAAAAAAAGTTATATTTAGATTAAAATTAGATAAAAACTATCGATAAAAAAATCGAAACACAAGATATATCTGAATACTATTAAAAAATTAATTTACTTGTTGCTAATTTAATTAAATAAAAAAATAGTAATAATAAATTAATTAATAGTTTTTGAATTAATTTATGATAATATAATTTCTTGTTTTATTTAAATAAAATTTTGTTTGTTAATTTTAATATTTTAAATATTTTCAAGTTTAAAAAATGATTTAATTTTTGTTTCTCTTTGTATGTTTCTTATAAATTTTAAATTTCTATAAATTTTTTAAGTTCAAATCAACAAATTTATTAAATAAAATTTTTTAAGTTTAAATCAACAAATTTATATAATAAAATTTTTTTAACTTTTTCATATTAATTTATAATATTTAAGAGAAGTGTGTTAGTTTTAATATTACAAAAATATTTAAATTAACAAAATTCCATTTCGTTTTTAAATTTAATATTTACTAAAATTAAATGTCCAAAATTCTTGCTAAAAAGAAAAATTTAAAAAAATAATATTTTTGAATGTATAATTTTTGTTAAAAGTTTCAAATAGTTCAGTTATTTAAATCATTTTTTTAATATTTTATTTAAATTAGCTTCATAATAAAAATTATTAGGAAAATTTTTAAAATTAAATGAAATAATCTTATAAATTTAAATAATTTTGCTAATAAAAATTAATAATTCTTAAATTAAGTTCAAAATATTTGTGATTATAAAGTTTTAATTCAAAAAAAAATTCAAATGATTAAATTAAAATAAATATTTAATTACTGAATTGATAACATCAAATTTTTACTTTTTAAATTAATTTTCACTTAAAAATAAAATATTAAGGATAAGTTAGAACTTATCGGAACATAGGAAGCAAGCTGTGAAGTTTAAATGTGATCTTATAATAATATATTATATGTTTATATGAATGATTGACTGACTGAATAAATGAATGAAATTTATTTATCGTTTTTTAAAGTATTGCACTATTGATTAATATAGGAAAAACGAGCATTCTTCTTATATTAAAAACAAGAAAACGGAGGTTTTGTAATTTGAGTGAAGTAAATTAAAGAGGAAAAACAAAATAATTAATAATTGGTAATAACTATTCAATATATTACAAAGAATAAAATGCAAAAGGGATATATTTTAATTGCCTTAATTTTGCTCGGTTTCGCATCAGCTAACTTTTACGAAATCGATAAGGAGTTTACTAGCTCAACATTTGATGGTAGAGCTCTTAATAGCTGGAAACTTGCTGGTTTCTAAAATTCTATCACAAATAATTGTGGTGGTGTTTCAGTAGTTGGTGGTCCCAATGTTGTTGCAACTGGTTCAATGTCCAAGAATTTTACTACTGATTTTGATCTTACCTCCATTAATATTTCATTTGATTTATATTTGTTCGATTAATGGCTTTCTGGTTGGGAAGGCGGTAGAGATTAAAATACTTTATTCAAGGTATTCGTTAACAACTAATAGGTACATTAACTTGGATCAGATTACACAAGATAAATTCACTAAAAATCTAGCAATATTTGTGGCCAACCCGACCCTGATAGATTGACTCACGTTTCAGTTTCAGTTCCTGTCACTGGTAGATCATTTAATGTTACTCTCCAAGCCAATATTGCATCAAACAACCCAAGTGTTGCTTCTTGGGGTATCAGAAATTTCTACATTTTATCATCTTATGGAGCTGATAATTCCAAGGTTGTTGCTTCTGAACTTTCTAATGATAATGCTTTTGATGTCACCAGTTGGACTTCTACATTCCAAAACGCTGTTACTTCTTGCCCCAATAAGATTGTTGGTGGTTTCAATGTCGCTGGTCCTGGTTCATATGCTGTTAGAAAGCTATCTAATCTTCCTCCTCACTCTTTCTTGACTATTAGCATCAATGCCTTCTTCGTTGATTCTATTGATTCTAACGACTCTATCATCTTCTACGTTGATGGTAAAATAGTACATGAAGAAACTAGATAATTCTTCTTGGCAAGCAAAAATATTTGTGGTGCTGGTTGGAATGATAATGTTAATAACAAATTCGTATTTTTGATTCCTCACTTTGCACCCACTGCTGAATTCAAGATCTATATCAATACTGACCAAGCTGCTGGAGATGAATCTTTCGGTTTCAGAGATTTATAAGTATCAGCTGACAGTCCTTGCCCTATTATTTACGAAGGAGCTAACTAATAAGGTAGAGCCTTCTCCTTCTGTGGTGATATTCCTGATCTTAAAAAGATTGGCTGGACTAAACCCATTAAAGGTATTTATGTTCCCGAAGGTTATGCAATTAAGGTTTACGTAGACTCTAATTTCCAAGGAAAGAGATTCAAGGTCTCCAAATCTAACTTCAACCTCACCGGAAAGGAATACAAGTTAGTTAACAGAGCTTTCAATATTGATGTAAATGAATAAAAGCTCAGACGTAATGAATGAATAAACCCTAGATGACTCATTTCTTATCTAGCTTTTTAAGCTAGATTAAAGCAGAGATCTTTAAATTAATAGTATTAATAAGTCAAATAAATATACTAAAATATTTTCTAACTTAGTATCAGATACTAACTTGATGCATGCATTTATATGAAACTTGAAGATTTTATTTGATTTGTTTAATTTAGTTTTTCATTCGTTTATTAATAGATTTTTGAAACAACTTTTTTCAAAAGAATTTATTCTGTTTTTAATTTAAATTATTTTATTAAAAATTAAAAGTTGGAAATACTTTTCTTTATGTTTTTTTCATTAAATAAATAACTTAAAAAAGAAGCATAAAAATATTTCTTTTATTATTTATTAACTAATCATTCATCAAGTAAGCAATTTTTATTTTTTTTAATTAGCAGTAAGAATATTTAATTTCGCATACATGTATTTGATATAAACATAAAGGCAAATATTCCTCTTTAAATAAAAATTATGAAATTTATTTAAATTTAAGAACATTTCAAATAAATTTGAATGGAAAAATAAGTTAGAAATTTTTTTGTTGTTGCAAGGATTTTCATATTTTTTAGGGCTTAAATTTTTAAATAATCTTCCCCAAATATAAATAATTAAATAAAATAATTTTTTAATTTTAATATTCCAAAAATCAAGAAAGAGAGTAAAAAACAGAAAGAAATAAGAATTATCAAAACGATAAAAGAAATAAGGCATAAATTTATTGTTCTTTTGTTAATAGCATAGTAGTGCTATAATCAAAAAAGTAAAAAGATTTCAAAGTAAAAACAAATAATTTCAAAAGTAATTTGAATAAATTTCATTTAAATTTTAATAGAAAAATTGAATTCTATATAAATTAAAAATATTTTAAGTATGAATTAAAGATATTATTAGAAAAAAGATTGTTAATAATTTGTCATTGAGAATTCAATAAAATATTTGATTTTTATCAATCTCATTTAATTAAAAACTTAAAAAAAATATGAAAATATGATAAGAAATATAAAAAACAATCTGGTTTTAATAGAAAAAAGAAACATACATAAGATGAATATAATTCAATTTTATTTAATATATAGAAATCGTTCATTTTTATTTATTTTTTAATTTCATTCTTTTTTTTGCATTAATGAAACATTTTTAAAAAAATATGGTTTCATTTTTTCAAAAATATTTTTTGAAGTCAGAAATTAATTAAGACAATAGATTCATAATACATAATATGCTTTCTGGTTGTGGAAATGTTTTTTCGTTTTATAACTAGATATTGAAAAATTAAACAAAAACACTAAAAACGATTAGCTAATAAAAAAACAAAAGGGAAAATTGACCTTAATTAAAGAAAAACGGAAGTGTTAGAAATCGGTTTGAATTGAGAGAGAAAAAATAATAATTAATTATCAATACAAATACATTAAAAAGAAACATTATTAAAAATGTAAAAAGGATACATCTTAGTAGCCTTACTTTTAGTAGGTTTTGCTTCCGCTAACTTCTACGAAGTTGCCAAGGAATTCACTCTCAATAACTTCAATTCCAAATCTCTTAGCAGTTGGAATCTTGTTAACTTCAAGGGAGATTAAGTCGCCAATTGCAATGGTGTTTCTGTTGTTGGTGGTCCCAGCGTCGTTGCCAGTGGTTCAATGACCAAAACTTTCACAACTGATTTTGATCTCAACGGAGTTAATATCTCTTTCGACTTATATTTCTTTGATAAATGGTTCTCTGGTTGGGATGGTGGTAGAGATTAGAACACCTTGTTCAAGATCTTCGTTAATAACCAATAAGTTTACCAACTTGGTTCTGATTACACCAGATCCCTCCATGCTGATTAACCCAATCTTTGTGGTGATGCTACTCCTGATAGATAAACTCACATTTCTCTTGATGTCCCCGCTACTGGTAGAAACATCACTGTCTAACTTGTTGCCAACATCGCTTCCAATAATCCTGCAGTTGCCTCTTGGGGTATCAGAAATTTCTACATTTTATCATAATAAGGTTATGATGATTCTTAAGTTGTTGTTAGTGAACTCAATGATGATTCCAATTTCGATGTTTCTCAATGGTAAACAAATTTCAAAGGTGTAATCACATAATGCCCTTCAAAGCTCCTTGGTGGTTACAATGCTGCTGGACCTAAAGCCACTGCTGTTAGAAAACTCGCAAGTCTCCCTGCTCACTCCTTCTTGACTGTTTCCCTCAGTGCTTATTTCATTGATTCCATTGATGCTAATGATTCAGTTGTTATTTACGTTGATGGAAAGGTTGCCCATGAACACTAAAAGGCTTATTATGAAGATAGTACTAATGTTTGCGGTGCTGCCTGGAACGACGGTGTTGATAATGAATTAAATATCATTGTTCCTCACTTTGCTTCTACTGCTGAAATCAAAATTTACGTCAATACTGACCAAGCTCCTGGTGATGAATCCTTCGGTTTCAGAGAATTCTAAGTTTCTGTTTCTTCTCCCTGTCCTATTCTCTACACTGATGTTAATCAAGGAGGTAGACAATTCTCCTTCTGTGGTAATCTTCCTGATCTCAAGGCTGTTGGTTGGACCGCTCCTATTAAAGGTATTTACCTTCCCAAGGGAGTTGAACTCACTGTCTACTAAGATTCTAACTACAATGGAAAGAAATACACTGTTAAGAAATCTAACTTCAATCTCTCAGGTAATGAATACTAATTGATTAACAAAGCTTTAAACATTGATGTTACTGAATAAAAGCTTAGACGTAACAAGTGAAAAATTAGATAAATTTAATACTTTTTTTGAAAATGTATTAAAATTTTCATAAAACCATATAAATAATAATACTTTTGATTTTTGTTCTTTATGTACATTAACAAACTCATAAAAGTAAGTTGTTACGATGTTTTAAAGTTTGTAGTGGTTGAAAATTATTTTATGAAAATGCTTCTTTTTTTTTTGATTATTCTCATTTGTTAAATCCAAAATATTCATTTATTAATTAACTAATTTATTTATTTCCTTTTTATTCATTTCTTTCTTTTTTATTATATTAATTTAAAATTTTTACTCTTTACTATTTTAAAAAAATTAATAATAAAATATTTATTTTCTAAAATAAATTTAAACATCTTATCAATAATATTCATTAATCCTTTATATAAAATATTTTTTTAGAAATTTAAACTTAAATTTTTAAAAATGTATAAAAAGTTCTTAATTTATCAAAAAAAAAGAAAAATGCTTTTTATTCTTAATCTTTAAAACAAATATTTTAATAAATTTATTATCAGTTTTTAATTTTTAAAATGTAATTAATTATCTGATTGATCATGAAGATTAAAACAACAGGTATTTAATTTAAAATATTTGAAGCATATCAATTAAAATATATAAATTTTAGCTTTATATTCATTTTATCTCATTTTTAAAGGTAAAATAAAAATAAGGATTGATTTAATCAAAATTTAATTTTTATTATTACTTTATTAACTAAAAAAATCTAATAAAAACAAAAAAAATTAATAAAAAATGGATATGATAGTTTTATGTGAAAATATAAAAAAAAATATTTCATTTATATTAAATAGATATATTTATATATTTTCACTTATCTTGTTATTATGATTTAGTAGTAGTAAACTTTTTAACTCTTATCTGCTTACTATCTGGAATGAATGAATTTTATTAAATTGGATTTTATTCTTCTAAAGGTATCTTTATGTCAGAAATTATTTCTAAATCTATTTCTTTATAATCAGTACAATTTTTTTTTGAAGGAACCTCAAGTTTATCTTCTTTAAACTAATAATTTAAATTATATTAAGGTAAATAGTTGTTTTTATCTCCTTTCTAATTAAAGTCTTTATTTTATTACTAAAAAGCTTTATTATTAAAACTTTATAGCAAATTATTGTTTGTGCTTTCTATGATTACATCTTCTAATTATCCTTCTTAATTAATTTGGCTCGATACAGGAGAACTCTAAAAATTGAGTATGTAATTTTCGTCATTTTTATTAAATAAAGATTAATCATTGTCTTCTTTGTTAGGAGAAAATTAGCTCAATTATTTTACCCTTAAGTTTTAAATGATAGATGAAAACTTTGAAAGAGGAGAAGAAGGTTATTGCTTTAGCTACTAACTTTCACTTAATTAGGTATTAAGAGTATTGTGATACTATTTAATCTCATTTTCATCAAGGAAGCAATCCAATATTTTCGGATCTAGCATCATTAATAATTTAGTATCTATTTCAGTTCTTTGTTAATGCTTTTTCAAAGAATTAAAAGCAGAATAGGCATCAGCTGCCTTTTAAATTTCTGTCCTATCATCCATATACAACAAATTAAATTTTTCAATCTAGAGATATTTTTTGTTTTAGTTTGCTTAATCTATATCTTATTAGGGTTGGTTTTCTTAGTTATCCTTTCCACCTACTTTTTAACATTTTTACTCCTATTTGAAGACCTCACTTTCTCTAATAGTAGGTTTAGGGAGATAATTAAATAATTTTATTTGATCTTCTGATAGTAATAGCATTTTGAGCTTATCTATTTCCAATAATTTGGTTATAAGATACATTACATCTAAATGCTTATCGAGAATCTTCTAACTATATTCAATTTACTTTTTCTTTCTAGAGATAGTTTTAAAGCAGGGAAATATATAATACAAAAAATAATCAAAGTAATACAGGTGAATCACTTGATGAGTAGCCTATTATTATATAAGTATCATTTAGTTAAAATTCAAAGATTAATTTTTAGAATAGATAATAAATATTACTTTAAAAAGTTTCGAAATAAGATTTTCTTCCATTTTTTCTTCTTTTTCTTAAGGCTTTAAAGAAATCTCCCTCTTGTAGTTTTTAATAAACTGAGAAATAATTTCGCTATGCTCCTTTTTCCTATTTTAAGAGTTGTTTTCTGATGGAGTTTGCTAGTCAAAACTTCTTATGTGTTGTGAAAAACTCAATTACTCCTTATTTTAGTTGCTAATAGGAGATAATTATTATTTCTCTCGATTTTTCTTGAGTTCAACTAATCTGTTTGTGAATTTTTTAACTAATTTTTATGTTTTCTCATTTTTTTATTCTTTCATAATATTTTATTCTTAAATTTCATCTTCTAAACTCTAGAATGAAAATACTTCATTTACTAGGCTTTGACTTAAGTCTAATTTACTTATCTTTGAACAGATAAATGCTGAAATAACCATAAATAGACTCATAACACCTGAGATTTGAGCTAAAACATCTTATATTTTCATATAAGATCTGAAATACCTTGATTGCTTTGCTTTCTCAAATCTTACTATCATATGCACAAATTTGTTATTCTAACCATAAGTGAGTTACTCAGTTGAGTAAGAAAATGTGACATCTCTGAGAATTTAGATATCTTCATTAATAATACCCATATCACTTTCAATGTAAACATTGCGCCAATACATGGTAAGTTCTTTCACTGTTTAAAAAAAAATTGTGTTAAATTTAATTATATTTCAATTTTTAGTTGTAATAAATTCATAGTGTATTATTATTTTTTTTTTTTTATTAAAAAGGAATCTTAAGAAGGATAGGAAACATTATTTTAACCAACCAATCAATTTCTCTCTTAATAAATAAACAAACTACTTTCTTTGAATCAAAGTTTATGAAAACTTATTAAAATAATGATAAATATTAATTGTAAATTTATTTTATTAAAAGTAAAATATTATTTTTAATAATGAATTAATACCAAGTTTGTTAGAAGTAGGCCAAAAGATATCTCTAGGAAAAGTAGTAAATGGATTATCTCTCAATTTAGGGTTGATAACTTTGTCTGTATAGTATGCAGCGAAGTATCCATTCATAAGAACACTATCTATATCTTCTTAACTCTTGCATACAACTACCTTTTATCCATTTTTTATAAGTTAAGCTGCTTCTTCATCAGTTTTATTTTAGCATTAGTATACAGAAAAGTCAAGGACTTAAAAAAAGTCTGCTTCAAAGTCTCCAGCGATGCTTGCTTTACCATCAGATTGATCAAAGCAATACATTTAATCTAATCCTGATAATTACTAAAAGTATTCTAAGCTTCCTTCTACCTTTTTTAAGTAAAACATTTTTTAAAAGAATTTAATTATATTTTAACAAGTATTTACTAACTAACTAATTTATTAAATAATCCTACCTAAAAATCAGATAATTTACAAGGATATGGTCCTAGATCTTCTTCGCTCCAAACCTAATCGTACTAACCTGTAGTTTAATTATATACTTTGATCATTTATGAGGCTATTACTTTAATACTGTAGATAGATTCATCTATAAATTAATCAAAAGTATTTGGATCTTACATACCAAATGCCATACTAAAAGTTTAATGAGTCATAATGTATTATTCTGGCTACCTTAAGCTTTCTTCTGAAAAATTTGTGACAGGATTTTACTTTAAAAATAATTCTGCTCCATATGAATAAGCAACAAAAATAAATAATCCTGCATTGAGCAAACTAATAAAACCTCCAAAAAAGGTCAAATGTTAGGGTTTCTCTTTATAAAGAAGTCCTATTTTTTATCCAAACATATCAAGTTTTGTTATTTGTTTTTTTATTTGAGCTCTTTTACCCATTTTTACAAAAGTAGAAGTTTGTTTTTAATAAATTCTTTTTGCTTATTTTATGTTATTGGTTTTTAATTTATTATTCTTATTAATAGAATAAAGTAATGTAGCTTTTAAATAGTTATTAAAAGACGACATATGGCTAATATTTAATTCTATTTAGCTTAACAATTTATATATTTTATTCAACTCTCCATATAAATAAGAGGTGTTAGTAAGGGTAGTTTCAACTTGCATTAAAATAAAAGAAAATTAAATTTTATTTAATAAGTTAATTCAGTGTTGATATATAATCATATGTCAAGTGAATTTAAAAATATTAATTGATTATGAAAGCTATTAAGTAATTTAAATAAAAGTATATAATTTATTTTCTTCTTTATTAAACCTTTTCTGATTACAATTTAAAAAAACAAACATAAAACTTATTAATTTTGATTTTTTCATATTTTCGAAAACATTTAAGGTAAAAAGATTAAATGACTAAATTATATAATATAAAAAACTAAATGAAAAAAATATAAATAAAAAAATAATTAATATTTTTTTATTCATTAATTCAATTTTCTTCTGGTGATTTGGAGTCAGATTAAATATCTATTGAGTTTTGATTTTCATCAAAATTATTATTATTTTATTTATTATCTTACTTTTTATTGCTAAAATGTGATTATTCTTGTAAATTATTATTACTTTTTCCTGTATAATCATATAACTAATCTATTGTTTTCTATTTGTTTAAACTTTTGTTAAGAATCTAACTTTGATTCTTATGATTTTTTTGAAATTATTGTGTTACTAAATTGATGTTAGACTGATCTTCAAAAAATCCATCTTCTTACATATATTCATGATTCATTCTATAGCTTGAAGGAGCATTTTAGATATCAAAATTAGAATAGTCTTACTGATTTGCATATAACTACTCGTTATCTTCTTTGTTTAAAGCAAATTAGCTATACTATCTTGATCTCATTTACTAATTACCTAATTAAGAAATGTTGGAAGATTACTTCTAAATCTTGCTTTCTTGTAATTAAGTATTGAGGGTTTTGTGGAACTAATTAATATCCTTTTCATCAAGGAAGTAATCTAATATTTTAGGATCTAGCATCATTAATAGTTTTGTGTCAATTTCACTCCTATTTTAAAATTTCTTTAAGGTTTCAAAAGCAGAATAAGCATCAGCTGCTTTTTGAATTTCACTTCTTTCATCCATATAAAGTAAATTAAATTTTTCAATTTGTAAAAATCTACTTGTCTTACCAATTTAATTATCACCTTGATTTTAATTATTATCTGTTTTTTCAATTCCTACTTAATTTTTATTTGAGGACTTTTAAAATAGTTCGGCTTCTCTTATCGTCGGTTTTGGAAGATAATTAAATAATTTAATTTATTCTTCAGAGAGTAAAAGCATTTTTAGTTTATCAATTTCCTAGAGCTTATTAATGAGGTACATAACATCTAAATGCTTGTTAAGAAGTTCTTAACTATATTAAATTTGCTTTTTCTTCCTAGAGATAGTTCTAAAGCAAGGGAAGATGTAATACAATATATATTCATAATAGTAAAGATGAATTACTTGGTGTGAAGCCTTTGTTTATTAAAAATATTTAATTAAATATAGGAAAGCTATTTAATAAACTTTCATTTAATTACTTTAAATAGTTTTGAGATAAGACTTTCGTACTATTTTTCTTCTTTTTAATTAGGCGTGGTCTGGATTTCTTTTTTGTAGTTTTTGATATAGGAAGAGAGAATTTCACTGTGCTATCTTTTTAAACCAGGATTTTTGGCATCTTGATTTTCTTTTTACTATTCATCTAATTAATGTACTTGCTCTGAGAAATTATTTTATTCTTTGCTTGCTACGCTTTTTGGAGAATTTTAAGAAAATTTGCTTGATTTTACAAGTTAATTTGTAAATTTTCTAACAAGTTTAGATGTTTTCTCTTCTTTTTGCTATTTAGCTTGGTGAATATTATTCTCTTAAGCTTCTTCTTCGGCACTCTAAAATGAAAATACCTCATTGACTAAACTTTAACTTAAATCTAATTTTGCGATTCTTTTACACATAAAAGATGAAATAATTAAGAATAAATTCATAACACCAGATACTTAGGCCAAAACATCTTAAATTTTTATATAAGATCTAAAGTATCTTGACTACTTGGCTTTTTCAAATCTAAATACAAGATGAACAAATTAGTTACTCTGACCATAAGTAAGTTATTCAGTTGAGTAAGAAAAGGTGACATCTCTTATAACTTATATATCTTAGTTTACTATACCTAAATCACTTTCAATGTAGACATTACGCCAGTACATAGTAAGTTCCTTCACTTGAAATTTAAAATTAAATTATAAGTATATATTTATTTAAAAATGAAAAACTAATCGGTTTACTATTTAAAAAATATAAGTAATATTAATAAAATTGTTTATAAAAAAGAATGAAATATATTTATTTTAAATGTGTTTGTTTTTGCTGATAATCATCATGTTCATTTTAATAGTTTGGGTATGAGTAAAAAATTAGATTTAATAACATACATTTTTAAATAAAACTAAATTATACAATATTAAAACTAAAATTGAGCTGAATAATTAATTGTCTTACCAAGTTTGTTTGAAGTTGGCCAAAATATGTCTCTAGGAAAGGTAGTAAAAGGTTGATCTCTTAATTTTGGATTAATGACTTTATCAGTATAGTATGCAGCAAAGTAGCCGTTAATTAACAAGTTATCTATTTCTTCTTAGCTCTTGCATACAACAACCTTCTTTCCTTATTTAATTAAATCGGCTGCTTCTTCCTCAGTTCTATTGTAGCATTAATAGATGAAAAATTCTACCGCTTGATAAAAATCAGCTTCAAAATCACCAGCTATCCCTGCCATATCGTTATTCTAATCAAAGCAATACATCTAATCAATTCCTGATAGTTCCTAAAAATAGGATAAGCTTCCTTCGACCTTTAAATTTTACAATTAAAATTTTTAGTAAAGATTTAAAATATTTTATTCATTCAATAAAATTATAAAGTCAATTAAATATAAACTACTTAGAAATTCGATAGTTAACAAGGGTATGGCCCCAAATCAGTTGATGACCAAACCTAATCATATAATCCAGTTGTGTCATTATAAACTTTAGTCATTTAAGTACGTAAAACGGTGATAGTGTATATCGACTCATCTATAAACTAGTCAAAAGTGTTAGGATTTTACATCCCAAAAGCCATATTGAATGTTTTAAGTGTCAAATTATATTATTCAGGTTGTCTAATACTTTCTTCTGAAAAGTTAGTAACAGGATTCTGTTTCAAGAATAATTCAGCACCGTACGAATACCCTACGAATATTAGAAGAATTCCATTCGCAAGTGTAATCAATCCGCCAAAAAATGTAAGATGTTATGGCCTTTTTTAGTATAGTAGTTATACGTTTTAGCCAAACATATCTATAGAAGCTACTTATTTCTTAATTTCAGCTTTTTTACCCATTTTCTAATTTAAAGTAGAAGATTGTTTTTTTGTTTATTTAAATTTTGTTTATTTGAATAGATAAATTCAAGTTTATGAGTATTTGATATATGCTTAACAAATCTTTAAATAAACCCTCAATTAAAATAAGTTATTAATTAGCTTTCTCCTTAATATTTAAAAACAACAATACATCTACTTAGCTATAAATTTCTATCTATCTATATATCGATTTCTCTCATCTGTATATGTGTGCATTTATATATTAATTTTCAAGTACAATTATTCAAATTTTCAAAAGCAACTCAAATAAACATAGTGTTATTTAATTAAAATTACCATGCATTTTGAATTTTGTAGAAAGTAATTAATAATATTTTTCTAAATGAAGTTATTGAAAAACAAATATTGAAGGAAGGAATGAATAAATGAATAAATATATTAATTAATTAATTAATTTAGAATTGATTATCTGATAAGCAAATAAAATAAAAAATAAATAAAAACTTTGTTAATTTAAATTATATACCAGTTTTAAATAGCATAAAAGTTTTAATTTGATTATACTACTTCTCTACTTTATTTTTAAATTTAAAAGCTAAAATATTTATGAAAGTTTCATTCATTTATACATCAATAAAATTCATAGTATTTTTTACTATTTTACCTGCATCTTTGATTCGTTTAATATTGTTTAAAGTAAAGTATCTTCTAGAAGTCCTTGATTTATAGGTTTTGTTATGTAAAATTACATTCCAGATTAAATAGCTTTAGCTTTTTCTGATTGCTGTACATAGGCCGTGCAAGCTGAAATTGGTGGAGGTTTTTAGATTTTTTTTTCTTTGTAGCACTGAAGTATTTCAGAGGTAGTTTCATAACCATTTTTAACTGGCATATCAATATCCATAAAAATTAGCAAGTAAAGGTTACAGCATGTATTTATCTCTAACTTATTTCTAACTAATTAAATAGCTGCCATTCCGCTTGTTGCACGGTCTGTTATGAACCCGTACATCTTGAGTCTAATTTCTAATGTGTAAATATTAAATTCATTATCGTCTACTATCAATATGTTTGAGCATTTGCATGTTCTATTCTTATTGTATTCAATCAATTTAGCTTTATTTTAGTTATCTGTACTATTATTTTTCGAAATTTCCATATTTTAATATGAAAGTTAATTCATAGGGTCTTCTATTTATTTAAAATTAATTTCTTAGCTTTTTGATAGCCTATTTTCTGAAATAATTATGCTATCTTTATTAGTGCCATTACTATTAGCATCTGCAGACTGTTTGTAGTTATGCATAATTTTTGAATATTTATCTAAAGTTTATTGTGTAAATTTCTCAATAGATTGCTCCAATTTTGATATTTTTGTGTTTTCTGGAGATTGAGAAAATTTAGTTTCTTTACTATTTAAGTTAATTTGATTTATGTCATAAACTGACTCTTTAAAGTTAAGGGAACTGTGTTTTTCTGCAATTTTTATTTCATCCATCGTTTTACTTAAGTTGCTACCCAATTCTGCGCTTTCTCTTATTTAAGCAAATGAGTCAGAAAAAATATTAAAATCTTTCTTAGCCAATTTTTTTTATATGATTTAGTTAATACTACTTGTTTAGCTGCTGATGTTTTTAACATTGTCATTATATTGTACTTTTATTTCCATAAAATCTTAACCACTATCAAACCTAAAATTGTCATATAAGTTGTTTTATGACTAATAATTTTACTAATCTCCTTTTTCTTCAACTAATTCCTATTAATTTGCTTGGTAAGCATAGTAAGGGACTGAAAATTCATTATTTTGATTGTTTATTCTTTTTTGGGATACCTTTAAATTTAGGGATTTGTTTGGCTCCTAAATTTAAATAAAGCTGCTTTCATTGAATTAAATTTCACAAGATTCGTCATCCATTAATTCCTTTTATCTGCTCTTTTTATCATTGAGATGTATTGGTTGATCTTGGTCTCTGAACTAAGAAAGAAAAGATTTTGCTTTATTAGTTTTTCTATGAAAGCTTTCTTAGGGAGAGGAATCATCTTGTTAATAAATTTATGCTTTTGATTTTAAAGACTTTTAATTTTTGCTTTCTTAGTAGCAATTGATTAAGGATCCACTATTTTACAAACTTGATGAAGGAAGCTATGGCATTAGTTCTGAGTACGTAAAATTTTTTTGGATGTTTCCGTTTTTTGCATTTCTACTGCTTTATCTGCTTTTAGCATCTTAAAAAGTTTGAGTTGTGAAACTATTTTCATATTACTTATAAGCCTTATATTAGTGGGCTGGTGAATAACTTGCGCTTTACTTTATAGGATTTTCAATATTGGATTCAGTATCTGGTTTCATCCTTAAAGTGAGCTAGCTTTCGCACCTTATATTATCAACTAAAATATCATTAAAAAAAAGTTTAGAGTTAGGCTAATCTCCCTATTTAATTTTGTGTCCCTATTACTAATAGTGGTGCTGTTACTGCTAAGGTAAAAAAGAACTTTCAACAAATGAGCCTTATTCATCGTGTTAGCTCAGGTCACGAAAAGAAAGTTGGAACTTCTTACTTTTTACTCCTTCAATTTAACTGTTCACATTTTAGCTCATAAAAAGTGGTTCATTTATAGATTTTGCAATACTGCTCATGTGATAAAAGTGATTTAAAGCTGAGTTATTATTATTGTTATTGTTAGCGTTAATCATTATTTCAGTGTTAAACTTGATAAGTGATTAAATAGGATTGTTATATTTGAGAGATTTGAGTGATTATTCATCATTCCTTTTTTTACTTTTGTTGCTAATGCTAATTAAAGACTATGGTACACCATTAGTGCTTCCATTCTTATTATTACTTGTATTGTTACTTTCTTATTGATTTTGTATTTATTAAGGTAAATAAGGGAGCTGCTTTTATTCAGAAACGTAATCCCATTTAATGATTTCTTAGCTAAATAAATTTTGATACTAGAAATTACACCCAACTTTATTTAGAGGTTGATTGACTATACAAAACGAAAATTTACTCCCAACATTCTCAATGCTCTGCACTTAAAGTCTGCGATTTCCTCCTAGCCCAGTTGCTAAATTGTTTGCTATAGTTAATCCTAAACCTCCCCCAAAAGTATTTAGTTAGTGATTGATATTTTGATGGTCCTTTTTTCCAAATCTACCAATAATTTTATTTAAATTTTTTTCTGGTATACCACAGCCCGTATCCTCAATATCTACTTAAATTAAGTTATCTTCTATTAGATGAGTGCGAATCGTAATTTTGCCATTTTATGTAAATTTCAATGCATTACTCAATAAATTAAGTAGAACTTATCTTATTCTGCTTTAATCGGAATTTATGGTTTAAGGTATAAGAGGATCTAAATCGAGTTCTACATCCAAGTTTTTTTGCAAAGCTTGCATGCTAATCAAATTTACACATTCAGCACATATTTTACTTAACTCAAATTCAGAGAAAAACATAGTGAATTTTCCATAATTGATTTAGGCAAGATCAAGTATGTCATTAATAATATTAAGCAGTAGATGATTAGAATTAAGAGCAGGGATGATAAAAATTTATTTTAAGACATCAGAAATGTCGTCATTTTACAAAAGCATATCAAGCATTTGTATGCTGCAATTCAATGGTGTTTTAAGCTCATGAGTGATAGATGAAAGTATCTTATTCTTATATATTTCTAAATTCTCATCTTCTACAAATTATTTTAGCTTCGTTATGTCTTCCACTTAAACAAAAACTTACTTTTCTTCAAATTAATCTTCTATTTCAATAAAAACCATAAATTTTACTTCTAATACAACTATGTTTGAATTTTCTTCTTCGTTTTCTTCCTCTTCGTCACAAAGATTCACCAATACATGCAATTAATTATTTTAAATGTAATAATTATACATTTTCTAGGTCGAAAAAAGGGTATCAGCCTTACTCCTTTAGCACGTAAAGTTATCTCCAGTAGTAGTAGCTTCACCGTAAGCAGACTCTTTTTCTACTTGGGCATAAAGAGTAGACTATCCTTCTTTTTCTACTGAATTTTTCATCAAATCATCATCTTAAATGTTATTGTTTGGGTCAAAATCTTATTCTATTTCGTTATTGCTAATTCTTAAATGATTATTACTGATGACTTAATCCAATTAAATTGATTTATTTTCTTTAGATTCCATTTAGAAGTAATTTTTAGAAGCCAAATTCACTTGCGTTTTATTGATGAGAGGAGTGTTTGGGCTGGCACAAGCTTTGGGCGAAAATAAGGTATTCTTACTTTCTAGGCTTCCAACAGATAAAATTTGATTATCTGTATTCATTTTCTAAAACTGTGGAGAAACTGAGTGGATTATCAGGTAATTAATTATATCATCAACTTACAAATTCTTTTTGGAGAATATTTTTTTTATACTTGAAGGAATAGCACATTGTAAAACTCTTTTAGTTGATTGATCAACTGATAATTAATAATTTGAATTCTGCTTATCGTTATAGAGAAAAGTATTTTTTTTGTTAGAATTTTTACCAAAGATAGTATTACTACCTGTTTTTGTTGGAGAGATATTTACATTTAAATGACTATTAAAATTACTTGATTAGTTAACGCTGCTATTAATCTATGGATTAGCTGGAACTTAATTCTATGTTTGGACTAATATGCTAGGGAGAATACCAATATGCCCAAGAGATTTACAATCAATACTTAATCTTCTTTCTTAATTATTAATTTGATTTCTATCAATCCTTACTTAATCCTTCTTATCAGAATTAGTTACTACTTCAACAGTCGTTAGTTTTCTAATTTAAGAACGAGGAGATAATTGTCCATTTTTATAGTTTATATTAGAAGAACTTGGAGTAGGTTTACTTGGATGATATTAATTATAAATCACAGAACCAAATTATTCTTATTTTTATTTATTTTTAGGGGAGCTTTAACGTTGAAGTTCTCTCGTTAACCTTTGCTCTTCCAATATTTAATCCAATTTTGTTTCTAGTTTAATTAGAGATTTTTTCTTTTTGCTTCGATTTGTCTTACAATTTTGAGTTTATGTATCTTTTGAGGTTTTATTTTATTATTAATATTGATAATCCATTTAAATTTTTAATTAAAGAAATTAGCTAAAAGCTTTCAAATTATCAGAGTTAGCTTGGTAATTTGTATTTATATTACTGTAAGTGCTTTGTGATCTATTTTTTATCTAGGGTGCAAAATGGCTTCCTGTGTTTATTGCTTAATTGTTACTGTTGAAATTAACAAAGATTTTTCTGAAATGTTTGTTACTATAAAGTAGTTTTTTGTTTTGACTGACAAGTAAAATACCAGTTTGAATTTAATTCATGCATTGTTAAATATATTGAACTTTATTCTAGCTAAATTGGGATTAACTCTATTGATAACTTTGATTATTTCTATTAATTTAACTTACATAATCAAATTTATCTCTCCCTACCATTGATAAATATGCTCCATTTTTTAAGTTTTATTAAAAGAAGCTTTTACTCATATCGTTAGAGGATTATTGAAAAGCATCTTCATAATTTAAAATAGAATTAAATTGCTTTTTGAGTGCATGCAAATTGCTGTTGTGCTCAAGTAAGCTAACTTAATCATTTATTACATGATTATTGCTCTTAGATAAATTGTTCTAAACTACTAAATTATTCATATTATTTTTTAAAAGATGAGTTATGTTTACCTTCTCATTAATATTCATTTTCATCATACTATTTTAAGGTGTAAAACTTTCTTTGAATTGATATACACCAAAACTACATTTATTAGGACATTTTGTTATCGAAAGTAGAATATTGACAGAAAGAAGATAAAAATGCTAAATAATTTGAATATAATTGCTGATATTATTAAATGAAAACCGAATTTGAGTGTAGCATATCAATAAAAATAATAAAAATCGACTGCTATTTTATTTTTTCATATCTTTTACTTGCCTTTGATAAAAACTAAAGAATGCACATAATCTCAATATCTTCTACTAATTTTATGCATAAGATTCAAAAAGAGCAAAAAGCATGCAAAGAGTGATACTCTCTTAAATAGATAAGTCAATTACTTGCTTAGCAATCAGAGGAATCATTAAAAAGGAGAAAAATAAAAGAGCGAGATAAATAATCAATTAATTTTATATCTTGTTGATCTAAAAGCTATTATCTTTACTATTATAAGCATCTAATAACAAATCTATCAGTTCAAGAGAATAAAATATTATCAAAAATACTAATTTGTAGTACACTTTAAACTATTATGAGCCAATAAGTCTCTTCATTAAATCCTTAAACTAAATTTAAACACTTTTATTAACAACATTACTATTTTTTTTTTGTTGAAACCTCATGACTGAATGACTAGTTATTGAATTTTCTTTTTATTTCAACAAAACACTAAATAATTTAATAAGTACCTACAAGTATGCTTGTTTGTATGAATATATGTATAAATAAATAAATAATTAATTAAATATTTGCTCTAAAACAAATTATGATGATCTAATATTATTTTCTACTTATTTGTTTGATTCTTTTTGCAATTATAAAATCAAAACTAAAAATTAACATCAAAAATTAAATAAGTTTTTTCTAAGTCAAATAATAATAACAACCATTTTATTAACATATTGACACATACATACATATTTATACAGATAAATTAAATCTCTATGTTATTTTATTTTATTTTTTTATTTTTTTTTTATAAAGCATATTTTCAAAAAAAAGTAAATGTTTTTTTATTTATTTTTGAAGAATTACCTGATAGATGGCAATGTAGAAAATAAATTGAATATGTTTATAACCTTTACAAAGTTAAATTATTTTTTTATATTCATTTATTAAAAAATGATAAATTATTGTTTAGATATTTTGATGTGTTTTCTACTGTAAAATGCTATAATAATTTAAGTATTTTCTTGCTTAATAATTTTATTGATATTTACTCAATTACTTTTATTTGGAACATCTAAAATTGCTTGCTTAAGTACTGTCTCTAGTTATTATTAATTAACCGGCTTTGTTATGTAATACTTCATCCCGCATTCTTTTGCTTTTTTTTTCATTTCTTCCTGAATGTAGGCACTGCAAGCAGATATTTAGGTTGGCTGATTCACATTTTTGCTTTTGAAATATTTTAAAATATCTTCAGTAGCTTCGTAACCATTCTTAATGGGCATATTTATATCCATAAGAATTATATCGTATTTTTTATGGCATGCATCACTTTCAAACTTTTTCTAGACAAATTCTAGAGCTTCGATGCCACCTGGGGCTTTATCAACTATAAATCCATAAAATTTAAGCTTAAGTTCTAGTGCGTACAAGTTGAATCCTTCATCATCAACAATCAATATGTTTGAACATTTACATAGCCTCTTCTAATTAAATTTAATCAGTTACTATTTTATATCTTCTTATAATAATTATATCTCTCTGGAAGAGTAATTGTTTGGGTATGATTCTTTATGAGCTAGTGAACTCATGTTAACTATTTTCTCAGTTTTTAACTTTTACTCTTGCTACTTTTTTTGATATATTTCATTCGGTATTTAATTTTATTCTAATTATTTAACTTATTGTTCTAATTCAGCCAAATTTTTTTTTTGTAGATTATCAATTTCATTGTTCCCTTCTGAATCTGATAAGAGAATAGATTTATTAAATAAGTTGTCAAACTAAAAACTATTATTTTTTTTAGTAGTATTTTATTCTATAAGTTTTTGAACCCTTGCATCATTTAAATTTAAATGTTTATTTCTATATATATCTTAATAAGACGATTGAATACTTTCTATTTATTCACTATTTTTTTCATATATTTAAGATAGGGCTTGATCATCTAATTTTTATTTTGTAATATTTTTTTCTTCATCTCCCTTAAATTTTATTTTAATTACAGAATCTTCTTAATCAAATCCAAAGATTGAACTCAACATTTATTAACTACCAGCATTTTACTTGGGTTTTAATTGAGTTCTTTTTAAAGATATTTCTTGGCATTAAAACGAATTAGGTATTTTCTTATTTTCTTACTCGTTTAATTCAGTGTTAGAAATGTTGAGAAGATCACAAGACTCTAAATATATATTTTTACTATTATTTCTTTTTATATTTTGAATCGTAGTAATTTAAAATTCTGATTCATTTTCAGTGTTGTTATTTAATACTTTTATAGACTCATGATTATCATTATTGCTTTTATTAAGTATAGAAGTTGATTAAAGAACTTTGTCATCATATAAAGAAGGATAAGCTGTTTTTTCTGTTCCTTAGGCATTATGTGTGCTGAGACGATTAATTGTTTTCTTTGAATTTTTATCTACTTAAAATCTCTTTTTTATGCTACTTTCTGATCTTTTTCCAGGACTATCGATTGTATATTGCTAATGCTAACATGAAAATTAATCTTTTAAATAATCCTCATCCTTTTAAAAATCTGACATATTTTCTGCAAATTGTTTTTGAGTTAAATTGCCCTATGTGTTGTTTTAATAGGGTCTTATTGGAGAGTTGTTATTTTCACTATTTGACTATTCCATAACTTGCTAAGTATTTTTAAGTGAAAGTTAAAATTTTCTACTAAACTTTCCTCCTTCGCTAGGAGGGTATTAGCTGGGAGTAACTACATCATAGCAAGTATTTTCTTTTTTGATACTTTATTTATTATGAGAATTTGAGTTTTATTATATCGGCTAATCATAAAATATTTTATTTTATGAAACATTAACATTTAAGTTAGAGTACAAAATTTCGGTATTAAATCTCATCAAACTTTGAGTAGCATCACTATATTTCTTTTCATATTTTTTTTATTTGATGCTTGAAGAATTTTAATGAAGATGAATATTTTCAGAATTATTTTTTTATATATTATTGATTGTTGTCTACTGCTAATTTGAATATTAAGAAAAACATTCCCAATTTACTATCTACTTACTAAAAAGATTAGTTTATTTATAAGTGCAACCTTTTTAGTTGAGTCCGTGATTTACAATATAAAATGAAAAAATACTACCAGCTTTGTATTCACTTCTTACTTTTATTCTCCTATTCCCTCCTAATCCTGTTGCTAGGTTATTGGCAATAGTTAATCCTAATCCTCCGTTTAAAGAATTTGTTGATTTAGATTTTTCTAACTCATCTTGATACTAAAATTAACCTAAGATCTTATTCAAATCCTTTTTTTTTATTCCACATCCAGTATCCTCAACATCAATCTAGATTAGGTTTGGCTCAACCAAATTAGCTTTTACTGATATGCTACCATGTTATGTAAATTTCAGAGCATTGTTTAGGAGGTTGAGAAGCACTTGTCGTATTCTATTTGCATCTGAGTTGATTAGTTATGGTATTTAAGGATCTATTTCTAGTTCTAACATGATGTGCTTCTCCATAGCTTATAGGCCTATTAAATTTAGACACTCAGTTATTATTTTTTTGACATCAAATTAAGAAAAAATCATTTTAAATTTGCCATAATTTATTTATGCCAAGTCTAGAATATCATTGATGATGTTAAGCATCAGAAAATTAGAATACATTGCAGGATTTACAAAAGCATTTTTAGTAATATCTGAAATTTCTTCACTTTAAGAGAGAAGATCCAGCAATTAAATACTGCAATTTAAAGGAGTTCTAAGTTCGTGAGAAACTGATGATAGTATTTTATTCTTGTAAGAATCAAGATTCTCTTTGTCAACTACTTTTTTGAATTATGTAACATCAGAAACCTCAATAAGTACATATTGATTTTCTGTTTCTTCTTGCTATAAAACACTCAATTTTATTTCTATAAATGTCATCTTATTATCATATTCGCTTGAATCAAAACTAGAGCAATTTAGTTTTGTGTGGATGTGAAGGTAATTATTTTAAGTAAAGTATGAGTAAAGTTTTTAATGATTTTTGTTTTTAGATTTTTTCTCTTTATACTTATGAGATTATTATTACTACTATTTATTTTAAAATCCATTTGAATTTTTAACTCTTACTTCGCTTTTCTCTCTTTTCATTGCAATTTTATTAATTTCACTTTTAAGAATGCTCAAATTTTAATCGTCTTAATTTTATGAATTTTTTTAATCTTCTTACTCTTCCTCTTCATCTATTTAAGGATTTACCTAAGGTTACAGCTATTTTTTAAATGGTAATTCATCTTCAATATTACTTTTACTCAGCTAAGAAAAACTTTTTTTGTAGTTTTTTTTCTCTTGATCAAACATTTCTTCATCTGATTAGTGTTAAATGTGATAATCTGTATTGTATTTCAATTTTTAAGGACACCTTGAGTAAATTAAAAGAAAATCAATAACATCATCTAAGATTAAGTTTTCATTTTTAAAGAGCTAATCGATATTCTCAGGAATTAAGCATTGAATGAATTTAGAAAGCATTTACTATGGAAAACTTTATTAATTTAATTCACTTTATTGAAGGAATATAGAATCTTTATTGAAGCTATTCAAGTATTCGTAATTGTTTACATAGTTTAAACTATTTAAATTATTCTAGTTAAATATACTTTTTGTCATTATTTTAGGGTTCAGTTATCTACAAGAAGGTGATACATTATAAAAAGGCACTCCTGTTAGAGTCGCATTCAAATCTTATATAATATTCTCACTACTAAGAATTTTAGGTGAAACAGTATTGTCTTTAATTACTTTAGAAGTGTTAGCGCCATAAACTTTCATTTGTATAATGTTTTTGTTAATAATATTCTTGCTAGAAAGATTTGAATTGGCTTTTTAGTAGCTATAATCTGTATTCATGTTATTACTGAGATTACTCTGTATGATATTACCTAAATCTTAAACCAAATTGCTATTAACTAACTTTTATGGCTGATAGGAGTTATTTTCTGTTGTCATCACTTCAGCTGTAGCAATTCTTCTTAAACCTATAGAATTTTAAAGTTATTCTCCCTATGCCTTTGAAGTTTCATATTAATTATAAAGGACTGAACCAAACTTTTCTTATTAATTAATTTTCGATTTTTAAGCCTTCCTCTATTTTTGCATTTTTTCATTTTATTCATCTAATATGCTATTAATTATCTGCTTCTTTTTTTATGTTGAACTTTGTTTATTTTTGTTTTCTAAGTTAATATTTTGATTATTTTAATTATTATTTTATTTATCTTCAAAAAACTGAATTTCTTTTTCTGCCTCCTTTTTAAACATTGAAAGAGAAATTGATAGCAACTGTTACATAAAATTCTTACCATCTGAATTTTTATGATTGATAAATTTTTTCACTGTCTTATTTCGATACTGGATTTTTTTATCCTAATTTATAAGTACTATTCCTATTGAGATCAAATTAAGAGATTTATTTAAAAAAGAAAATAGATTTGGAGAAGAGATATTTTATTAAAATTCTTAACTAATCTATGGCTTTTATTCGTTCTTAAGTATATAAGCTTATTTTCTATTATCATATTCAAAAGCATATGAATGAAGATTGCTTTTATTATTATTATTAATATTAAATTTTTTAACAAAATCTGAGGAAATATCATTCATATTGTATTAATTTTAAATTGTTATACTTCTTTATCCATTATTGTTATTTTTAGTTATTTGATAACTTTGATCAAATTCATTGAATTTTTTTTTATTATTTACTTAAATAGACATATTTTGTGAGTTATTTAAATCATTATTTTCCTATTCTCTTAAACATTCTCTATTTGAAAGAAACAAATCATCTTGCTAATCTTTTTTAGATTTTATATTCAAAAACTATTAACCTTTTTCTATATCTTTTTCATCTAAATTAAAAATAAATGAAAAGGCAAAAATAGCCAATTAAAAACAAAAAAACTCTATAATCCCTATATAATTACTTTCACTACTTAGCGAAAATCGAATTTAAGCATATATTGCCAATATTAGCATCAGAAATTTTACGCTTAGATTTTGCAGCTCCATATTTCGAGTGCAAATTTGCAGTAAAACAAAAAAAGCTACTATTCTTAAAAATTTATCACTATCTAAAGCAAAAGATTCATAAACTCCAGCTGTTATTACTAAAATAGACATTTTATGAGTTGATTCATTGATTTTCTCCTTCTTTATAAGCATAACAGTTATGAAATCTAATAAAATAATTGAGCAAAAGACTGAAATCTCAAGTTTTTTTTTTTGAACTTCTACTTTTTAAAAGATAAATCCATCTAACATAATACTTAGTACTTCTAAAATGCTAAAAATAGTAATAAAATAATGATTGATATATTTATTTATCGCAGCCTGCTTCATTATCTTTATCAGCACATTTTTAAAGTATAACCCTAAAATATAAGTGCCATTTTTTTTAGCCTCTTTTGACTACATATATATGATTTTTTAAATATTTGGTAGTACACCTTTTCAATACTTAATTATTAATTCACTTAACTTTTAAACTAATTCTTGTAAATTTTATAAAAATTTGACCCGATATAAGGTAAAGAAATAATAATACAATCAGCTAACAATAATTATTTCCACTAATTAATTAGTGATTAAAATAAAGTATAATTTATAATTACAAAATATATTTTTGATTGTTTTTATCATATTGACAGGTTTTTTCATACTTATAATATTGCAAAATCATTAAAATTTTTTAAGTAGATATAAATACCTAATCTAAATAATCTTATTTATACATTTTAAAGGTTAGGATTTTATCAACTAAATAAGTATTTCTAATTTTAGATACTGTAATTACATTTAATTTAAAATGCACGTCACTCATTGCGACTACTATATGATGCTGTTAATAAATTGTAAATTTTAAAAATGTAAATCATAAAATATTTAAGAATTTTTCATTCTTCGCTTGCAAGTTGTAAGACATATTAAAAATAAGACTAAAATGTGAACAATCTTTATTTAATTAATTTAAAACTGTAATCAATTTTTATTTCTTTCAATAAATAATTTTAAAATTTTTATAAAAAATAGAAAGCAATAATGAACAAATAAAGTAAAAATAATTAAATTAATGATAAATAAGTTTTTACTTAATTTTATTTATAAGACTTTGTAAATCAGATTCAACCAATAAAATTATAAACAATCGTAATTATCATTAATTTAAATAAAATAAAGAAGATTTAATATTAAATAAATCTTATTAAAGTTTTTTTAAAATTTATAATTATTATTTTTGATCATGTTTTTTAGAATTTATTTTAAATTGGTAAATAAATCTGTAAAACATGTTTTTAATTTGATTAATCTAAATTATTTACATTATATAGATTTATTTTATAAGTATCTAATTTCTCTCGTATCATTTATTTTATATTTTTACACAAAAACTTATTCGTTTTAATTAAAAAAAACCTAATATCATCTTATTTATGAAGATTTCTGGAAATTATTTTTATTTCAGATTAGAAAGAGATAATTGATTAAAATTTAAATTTATAGAAATTTTTTATCTGATCATTTCGCCTATCTAAAAGTTATTTTTAATTTTGAACAAAATTAAGCTTACTTATTTGAATGATAAAGAAACCAAACCTAAAATTTGATTAATATTAAACTGATCAATTCTTTAATATAAAAAATTATGCTTCTTTAATAGATATTGTTGATATTTATCAGAAAAGATGAATTTTTTTTTCATAGTATTCAAAAAAATTTAATATTATTAATAATATATGTTTTATTACTACATTATAAATAATTAAAAATATAGTTTGTGTAAAAACTCTCTATTGTTAGCAGATTTTTTTAAAAAGTAATAGACTAGTACTTTTTATATTTAACTAATAATTTTAGTCCTTACGGTGTTTGCTTTAGCCAGTTTTTACATTAAATGTAGAATAAAGGAGTTTAAGTCAATCATAATTTTAATAAATTAAATTCAAACATTTAATAAATTTTTCTTATTATTTTTTTGATTCAAATAATTCTTTAATAAACTTAAAAAATTTATTTATTAATAAATCAAGTTAATTTTCTCTATTGAAAACTCAAAAAATAATAAAATACATTAAATTAAAACATTATTTTATACCATTAAAATACATTTTTTCAATAATAAAAAACAAAAAAAGAAAAAAAATATATTTTAATTTCATATTTAATGCACATAAAATTCAAAATAATTTATGAAATACTTAATATAAAACTTCTTCCAGATCTTTTTAATTTATTGGTTTTGTTATATAGTATTTCATTCCGCTTTCAAATGCTTTATTTATTTCTTTTTATTGTACATAAGCAGTATATGCAGAAATAGGAGGGGGCTGCATGTTTTAGTTTAAAAAAAAATTGTTTATTTCTGCTGTAGTTTGATGTCCATCTTTTACTGGCATATCTATATCCATGAATATTAGCTTATATTTTCTGCAACACTCTTACGAATTGAGTTTTTGTCGAACCTTCTAGATTGCAATTTCTCCACTACCAGCCTTTTCTATCTTGAAACCATATGTTTTTAAACGCAGAAATAGAACATATAAATTAAAGTCATTATCATCAACAACAAGAATCTAAGTGCAGTTACATAGCTATTTTTTATTATAATCTGTTAGCTATTTCAAGATTGTTTCTTTCCTTTAATCTGGTTGAAAATTAGTATAAGAATCAATAGGTGTTAAATTAGAATTTAATCTATTGTCAATACTGCCTATTTTTGATGAACCTACACTGCTAGTTGACAATTTTTTTTTTATATTAACTTTTAAATCTTCATAATTTGGATATTAGTCAATTTATATCTAGGGATAAATATCGTGATTTGAACCTTGTGTCTATTAGTATAGCTCTGATCTTTAGTTTAAAAAATTCAAAATATGCTGGCCTTTGATTGTTCCCTTTATATATGATTCGTTTGGTATATAGAAAGCTTCTTAAGCAGCATCTTCAAGTATCTAGGAAGAGTCGAATCGCTCAATTCCATTTTGCTAAATTCCTTGGTTTGCATTAATCTTAAAGTTAAAATTTTTATAATCAATTTTAGAATTTTTAGTAAATTCATTTTGCTACTTTTCATCCCCAAAACTATTCAAGGAAACATTTTAGTCATAGTTTGAAGATATCCTGTTTGGTCCTAGCTGTTTTCTTTATTATGTACTTATAGTTAGGTTCATAGAAACACTTTTATTACGGGTTGGAACACTGCCTACTTCTTGTTATTATTTAGATGAGGGTTTTATAGTAAATGTAATTAAATTGTTTGCTACAGAAAAAGTTTTAACTGACATTTAATCATTATATAATGTATTTTCATTTTATTCACTTCCTAGTCCACAAAGATTGGGATCAGCATTATATCTTGAGTTATTCGAATAGTTTGTTATACTGTCATTGGTTTAAATGCGCTTCAAAGCCTTTTAGACAATCGATGAGCTACTGGATTTAGCAAAATAATTTTCTGGATTATTATTCATTGTTTCCCATCTTATGAGTTTTTTGTTAAATACATCTTTCAGATTGAATTAACATCCCTTTTTATTTTGTTGTCTATTTATTATAAAGAAACTAAAAATAGTGCCTTGATTCTCTTTTGAAACTACTTATATTCTTCTATTACCACCTAAGCCCATAGCTAAACTATTTGCAATACTCAAACCCAGTCCTGCTCCTCGTGTATTTAGTATGCTTTGTTTAGACTTATCACCAAAACAATCGAATATTTTGTACAAGTTATTCTTTGGGATCCCTACTCCAGTATCACATACATCTATTCTTATGAGCTCATTTGATTCTCTTTAAACATTAATTTCTATGTGCCCCTCTTCAGTAAATTTGAGGGAGTTGCTTAGCAGATTAAGTAAGACTTATTTGATCCTATTTTAATCAGAATTTATTATTTATGGTAAATTAGGGTCTAAATTTAGTTCGACTATCAGTCCTTTTAGGGAAGCTTAGAAAGAAATCATTTCTGCACACTCTGTCATCAACTCTAATATAGCAAAAGGTTTAAAGGAAAGTTAAAAATAACCAGAGTTAATTTGGCCATAGTCCAAAATGTCATTTATTATGTTTAAAAGGAGATAGTTTGAAAGTAAAGCAGGTTTTAAAAATTGTTCTTTTGCTTCTATAATTGGATTTATTTGTTCTTCTTTTTGTTGCACCTTATAAAATTGATCTTCATTTAATTTGAGCTGCAGTAATTCAAGCATTTAAATACTACAGTTTAGAGGTGTTCTTAATTCGTGTGTAACTGAAGAAAGCATCCTATTTTTATACTCAGAAATCTCTCTTTCTTATACATTTATTTAGATTTAACTTTAGTCTGAAATTTCTACAAGAATAAAAATTTAGTCTCTCAGTTCATCTTCCTCATAAGAGTTAAAGCTTTACATATCTGTAACATTTTAATAAACACCTAATTTTAGTTGTAAGTATTAAAAAAAATCACCTTTTTAACTAAAATTTATGATTAAGTTATTTCTTTCAATATAATAATTAATTTAGTTTCCTTCTTGATCTATTTTGCCTTTATTCGAAAGACCTTTAAAACTTTGCTTATTTGATTTGATTTCACATTTTTAATTCATATTAGGATCATTTTATTGTTCTTCTTGAGTATCGTCTAAATTAACTGCACTGTAAAAGACGTTCTTTTTATTTTTAAATTTTGCAGATAATATTTTTTTAATCAAATCAAGCACAATTACTTCATCATTTTAAAAAATATTTAACACATTCAAAGGAATTATTTACTATTTTAATGTAAGATCTTGGAAGGCTTACTTTTTGTCTTTTTTGTATTTTATTTTCCCTTTACTATTGATGTTTATTGAAGAATTAGATTTTTTCAATTTTTAACTTTTTTGCTACAAATAGAATTGTTTCTTTCTTGATTTGCTTTAATTTTACTTTTTTTTACTTTTTGTATGAATTGTTGACATCATTTTCAAATTTTCATCTGACATACTGCATTGTTGTTCTTCAAATTAATTATAAGCAACCATTGTATCAGATTTTCTATTATTATGCTTGCTACTCTTCATTTTTAAACTGCATCCAATCTCTCTAAAATTTTCTTTACTCTCTTTTAATTTATTTGGGATTGTTTTATTCTTTTTGTAAACACTATTATTTATTTATATCTCAGAGAAACTAGAATCCAATATATCATTATCTTCATTTTTATTTGTTTTTTTGAGTTTTTTGATTGAAGCCTTCAACTGTTGGTTTTCTTTGATAAATAAACTTAAAAATCTACTGTATGCATTGTTTTAACTGCTTTAACCAAAAAACTACTTGAAGTATGAATTAGAATAAATTAGTTTATTTTTGCTGTTAATAAGAGCGATTCCTGTTTTTATAGAGTTTAAAATATTTAATCCAATCTATTAACTCAGATGCTACTCTTTGTTCATAGAGATTGTTTTTGACTTTTTAACAGATTGACTGGCTATATCAAAAGAAGATCCGTCATTACCTTGCGACTCTATCTACTCAAGAAAGTTACTGATATTGCTCAAAAACTTTTGGTTTTATTTTTAATGAGAGAATTAAGAATGAGAGTAGCTTAAGTTGTTTTTACTTTAATTCTAAATTTTTTGAAATGAAATTTGATTATCTGAATTTATTCTTGATTGAAATTAGCTTTAGAAATCTACTTACCCTACTTACCTATACCTTTTTGCAAATGTGATATTCATTAGGTGTTAATTATCTTTTTCAGAATTGGTATGAGTACATTAATAGTTATTTTAGTTATTCACCTAATTTTATATTTTTTCGCGAGTGTAAGGTTATATGCTTAAAAAGAAGCTCATTATTGTGGATATAATCAATGTAAATATATTACAAATGTTATTTCCAAAAAAATAGACTCTAAATCCTAGATAAATAATTACCATAATGAGTTAAGATATTTGCTAAAAGGCATGATCTGCATCTCTTACTGATTTAACAAAAAAAATGATATAAACAATCAAATAAGAAATTTATGGATCAATTTAAAGTAATTAAAAAGAATATTCTATCAATAGTATGTTAAAGATGCTTTTGTAGAGGTATTTAAGCCACATTTATTTTATAAGCATCTCAAAAGAAAATGAAAAGATTATCAATAGGCACTAATATGAAATCATAAAATAGTAGAAATTAGGATTCATGGTAGAATTATTCGATTTCTACTAAATGAGAAATCCAAGCTGTAAAAACCCATTTAATAATATCAAAATTGAAGAATGATAATTGAAAAATAATTTATAATTTCTAGATTCTATTAAGTACAATTTTTTTTATTCTATCATTTTATTCATAGAATCATTTATAGCATCCAAAGTAGTGTTCATTTAATTTTATTAATATATAGGCAGATAAAACAGCTTTTTTCTTGATTATCCTTTCCTTAAGAGCAGAGTTATTAATATATTTCTTAACAAAATAAAATATAATTAATTTACTATTTAATTAAGTTAGTTATAAATTGATGATGATGATAATAATATAAATTAACATATTTTTCCTTGTAACTAAAGTATAAACACAATATTTTTAAAAGATTTATTGCTTTATTATTATATTTTTAATTTGCTGTTTGAGAAAAAACCAAATATTTATAAAATTAAACTTTTTAATTTAAATCCAAATATTAATAGAAAAAAATACAAATAATTAAAATTTTCATTGTCATATTAACCTGAAACAATTTGTTTAACAAATAAACCAATTATTTTAAAAATAGTATTTTGTTTGATTCTTATTGTAATTATAAAATTAAATCTAAAAATTAAAATCAAAAATTAAATAAGTTCTTATATATTTTCTAATATCTGAATGATATATCATATCCTAACACTAAAAAATATTTTAAATATGAAATTAATTAAATCAATATTTATTTAAGAAATTTATTATAAGCAATATTATTTATTTTATAAAACAAAATAGTTTTTATTAAATTAAACATGTTTCAAAAGTATTTTTATTCAATTCATAATACAAAGAGTTTACAATATTTAAGTGTAGTTGAATAAATAATTTTGAGTTTTTCTAATAAAAAGGAAATGTTTATTTAGCAAATTAAATTTGATGATTATTTCTTAAAATTAAATAATATCAAAAATAATCTGAAAATGCTTTCTCTAAAAACTACTCTAACTAGCTAGTTTAAATTGGTTTTGTTATGTAAAATTACATCCCAGATTATAGAGCTTTTTTTTTTTCACTTTCTTAAACATAAGCCGAGCATGCAGAAATCATTGGAATTTTTAAATTATAGGAATTATAAAACTCAATAATTTCTTATGTAGTTTAGTGTCCATCTTTAATTGGCATATCAATATCCATGAGTATAGCGGCATACTTTTAACAACAATTATTTTATATATACATCTATTTGCACTTATCGATTGCTATTTAACCTGATGAAGCTTTATCTATGCGGATAGCATACTGTTATAGTCTAATTTATATTGTATATAAATTGAAATCATTATCATCTACAGCTAAGATTTTAGGACATTCACATTTCCACTAAATCGACTTTATTTAAGTTGCAATATCAGGTTTGATATTTGGATTATTTTGCTTGTTTATATGCTTTTGTAGACTTGTATTTTACTTTAACTTTTCATCTCTCGAGTTATGTATATCTCTTTTACTTATAATGTCTTTTACCATCTATAAAGATATTTTCTTATTATCTAATTATGTGCTGCTATCACTCATATGACCATTTTATAATTTGTCTTATTAAGTAAAATCATCGTTAATTGTTAGAGGATTTAAATTCTGGTTTGTTAAATAAAATTAATCATCTGTTTACAAGCTTTCGATTTAATCAAAATTTTAGCTCTTACTTGCTTTAAAAATGATCTAATCTTAAATTTCATTTTTATTTATTTACTAATCTTCTATAATTTAGCATGACTCAGTAATCATTCGAGTATTCGCGTCTATACTTTTATTAGGTGCTTGGTACTAATAAATTGATTGCTAAGTTATTTGATTTTCACTAGTTTCAGATTGCTCAAATGTATATTGATTTTCATTTATGCTTAGAGTTTTATTCATTTTTTTATGAGGTTTCGTTTTTTAATTTATCAATTAAAATAATGATGGTTATTACTATTACACAAATAAAATATTTTATTATTGTAATTGTGGTTGTTGTTGCTATTATTATTATTACTACTATTATTATAATTAGTTGCTGTTATTGTTATTGCTTGAGTTATGTAATGAAATTTATTGAGTAAAGCTCTCTTAGGTCCTTATATTTTTAAAAATTGCCTAGTTGAAATTATTAGGCTTATTTACAGGAGAGCTTAAGTCGTTATTCAAATTAGAAAAACCTTGTGGAAAACCTAAAAATGAAGGTAGAACTCTATTTTTAGGTGATTCATTAGAACTGTATATAATCTAACTAGGTCTCATAGAAAAAGAAATAAACTCTTATTACAAATCCGAATTAACATAATTAACACTACTCCTTATTTTAATGCTACTGAGACTAGAAGTTCTATCTAAATTGTCTGTTTTAGATTAATTTTTTAGACTATTCGTTATATTGTTTCTAATTACTATTTACTATTATTAAAAATTCTTTTAATTATTAAATGACATTGCTTTTAAAAGTGTATTTTCGTTTATTGATTCCCATTTTACTAACCTCCTGTTAAAGACATCTTTCAATTTTATTTCACAACCTTGTTTATTGGAATCTCTGTTAAGTATAAAAAATGAGAAGCATGTTCCTTCATTAACTTTTGACTTGACTTCTATTTTTCTATTTCCACCTAAACCCATTGCCAAGTTATTTGCAACACTTAAGCCTAGCCCCGCTCCTTGGGTATTTAAGAACTTAGAATGTTATTTGTTTCCAAAGCTTTCAAAAATCTTATTTAGATTATCCTAAGGGATACCACATCCAGTGTCTTTTACATCAATTTTTATTAAATTTGAATTGAGAGAAGTCACCCTAATCTCAATATATCCTTTATCAGTAAATTTAAGAGAATTGCTTAATAAATTCAATAGAACCTATTTGATGCGATTTTAATCCGAATTGATGTATTCAGGTAAGTTTGAATCGAAATAAAGCTCAAAAGAGAGTCCTTTTTAAGCAGCTTAAAAATTCATAAGTTCAGCACATTCAGTGACTACTTCAAACAGAGAAAATAAAGCAAATACCAATTTAAAATATCCTGCATTAATTTAAGCATAATCCAAAATATCATTTATAATATTTATTAATAGCTGATTAGAAATAAGTGCTGGTTTAACAAGACTCTAATTGATCTCAGTTATTTCTTGATTGCTATAAGTTGAGCTGTGTTAATTAAATTTATCGAAAAGCATATTTAGCATCTGAATAGAACAGTTAAGAGGAGTTCTTAGTTCATGAGAAACAGAAGCCAGCATCCTATTTTTGTAATCAGAGATTTCTTTTTCTTACAAATTTAGGGTGAGCTAATCTAATTCTAATACTTCAATTATAACAAAGCTTTATGTATTCCATTCAAAATTTTATTTGTGAATGTAAAAACCAATTCTGATTTGGATATATTTGACTTCATATTAATAGCTCTATTTTAAGTTCACAATCAAGCTATTTTTATCTATATAATAAGAGATACATCTATGATTTTATAAATCAGTTGTTTACTTTGGGTTTTGGTTTTAGTTTAGGTTGTTGGTTTTATTATTTTTTAAAAAATTTTCAGTCTTGTTTTTAAAATCTTAGGAGTCAAATCTATTAAAATTTTCTTGTAGATCGTTTTAGCTGTAACAATTATTAAAATAAGCTCTATCTTACTGCTCAAATATAACTTTGATAAGATCATACATATAAACATCTTCTTATTCAAATATTTACAAAACCTTTTGAGGAATGATGCATTTTTTAAAATTATATTCAGTCACATTTGAGTTACTTTTATCAGAATTTCCATTATCTACCTTCGTTTAGAATTCATTGCTTTAAATTGCATTTTAAAATTCTTAAAACCTACCTTGTTTTAAACCCATTTGAGATAAATTAGAAAAACTGATAATTAAATCATCTTAAGCACTTTCTATGTTTTTGCAATTACTATACTAATTTTTTTCTAAACTTGGTCTTTCTTCGATTTATTTGAAATTAAGAGAATTATTTTAACTGAGACTGTAATCTTTTTTTCTATTAATACTTTAAATATCAATTATTACTTATTTATTTTGATTATCTTTTGTAGGATTCTGTGTCAAAGTATTTCTATTCGGATATTTATGAAGGCTTAATCTTCCTTTTTTTTCAACTGATATCTTTCTGATTTAGCTAGTAGTGCTATATGAAGAAACTGTCCCATATTTCTTTTTAAATTAGGATTGCTCATTATTATTATTTTATATACTACTTGCACTATCTTTATTATTTTGACGAAGATCTTAATAACTATTTGAATGTATGAAATGTTTGTTGCTGCTAAAATGAGTTTAATTTTGTATATTTTCTTATCCTTTCAACTTAATTTCCATTAAATTTTCTAAAATAGTTTGCTTGTCTTAAACTTAAAAAAACTTCTTCATTTCTTAATTACAGAATTCTATTTTAAATTCATTATTAATCATAATAATTCCTGTTTGTAAGCTTTAAAGAATAGACTAAGCCAATACTAAACCTTCAAAATCAATCTCTTTATTTTTTGTTTCATCTTAGTGTACCATATAAGTTGAAAGATATTTATTAAAAGATAAATCCACTTAATTCTAGTTTCTGTAAGTAGAAGTGTTGATTGTTATTTTATTTTTTAATTTTTAAGCTTATTTTCTACTAATATTTTATTTCTCACTATTTTTGAGCGGAGTAAAATTTTATATATTGCTATTTGATTACTATTTTCTAATTTACTCTCCTCCTACCTAAATTTATTCATTTGTATTTAGAATTTACCTTTGAAAGCCTATAAAAGGAGTGAAAATGCATATCATAATTTTACAAAAAATACTTTGATCTCTAATTTAACTGATAAAAATTCTGGAAGTCATATACAGTATCACGAACATAATTTACAATATTTGTAGATTAGAGTTTTAGATCAAATAATGCTCCTTAATAATTGTAATTATAAAATAACTGAATTAAAATGAAGATAAAGAGTATGAATCATTTTCTTGAAATGCTTAAAGATAGTATTCGAGTGAAAGCCCTATTAAAAGAAATGATAATATATGCTTTGATTTCTTTCTGATATTAATAAAATCATTTAAAAACGCAACTATAATAATAATAGGAGTCATAATTAGAATCACAATAACTTAATTAGAACTATATTAATCTTTGTTTTTTAAGATTATACATAATAAATAAGAGCCGTTTAAGAGATATAGGAGAAATAAGAAGTACCTTTGAATGTACTGCACCATTTTTAATTAGAATATTGCATTAGATTTAAGCATACTAGAAATACATTACCCGAATAGTCCCATAAAATTAATAAGCTGTGTTGTTGTTATTAATAATTTTAATTATGCTTACAATGCTAATTTTGAATCTCAGTAATTCCTTTTAGTTTATAAAAATTATTAGATGTAATTAAAGATTTTTTATTAGAAAATTAAGGGCCAAGCTAAACTTTAAAAATTCACCTTTATTTTACATTATTAATATAAATATTTTAAAAGCATTTTTAACATAAACAAATAATTTGACTAATCACTTCCTACCAGTAATTAACTATTATTAAACCTTAACTTAAATATAAATAAATAAATTAATGTATAAACAATAATGTTAGTTTATAAATATAGTTTAGATAAAACCTAAAGCTTTGGTTTTTGTGTATGTGAGAAAGGAAATTATAAAATGAATTCTATCTAATATATCTAAACCAAACTAGTATATGTTTCTTATAAATAATTGTTTAAATTAATTTGAGATAAAATTAAATTTTTCATTTTTTCTTCAATTTGCAAAAAAATAGAAATAAAAAATTTTAGTAATTAAATGAATTTATTTATTTATTCAGTAAATAATAACATCATTAATTCATGATTTAGCTCATATTAACAAAATAAAAATATTAATTTACCTATAAAATATAGCTTTAAATTAAATTTATCAAAAATTTAATTGATTTCTGGTATGAGTTTTTGTATTTTGTTATATTATTGTAATATTCAAAATAATTTTAAAAAAAAGTAATAAATTTATTCTTTGTAAAAACTCAAATTAACTTATTTATTATATTATATTTAAAAAGAGGTGTAGAAATAATATTATAAAAATTAAAAATGTAGTATTTCTAAAAAGCCTTTTTTATGCTTTTATTTTAGCTCTTTTATTAAATAATAAAATTTTCAATTTAAAGCCATAGGTCTCCTATCATTTAAGAATTTGTAAAGAATTATTCTTTATTTATTCTATTAATTAACTTTAAATAATCAGATATTTTCAGACAGAAATAATAAATTATTTAACAAATAATTTTTGTGTATATTAAAAATTCCTATTTAAATTTTCAATTAGTTAAAAAATAAAGAAAATATTTTGCCATACAATATATATAAAAAGCAATTTAATTAAATTTAGTTAAGAGTACAAAATGAGTGCTATTGCTCAATCATAGAAGTTTAAGGAATTAGGTAACGATGCGTTTCTAAAGAGCGATTATAAATCAGCTCTATAGCATTATAGTTCAGCTATTGTATATAAATTATATTTGCTATTTTGAGCAATATTTATCAAATTTTTCATTTTAAACAATACATTTTTTATTATAAATAGATTTGTGATAGTCAGAATTCAATTTTGTTTTCAAATAGGGCAAGAGCCTACAAATAGTTATTATAATATTAAGAAGTAAATAACTTAATAATGCATTTAGAAATTGGATTAAAAGATATACCTAATCATTTTTATAAAGGCTTATTAAGATGCATAAAAAGCTATTGAATTAGATAATAATAACATTAAGGCACATTTAATTAGTGGATAAATATTAGCGTAAATGGGAAAAAGTGAAAAAGGAATTAAACAAATCAATAAAGCCATATAGGATATGACTAAAGGTAATATATATTTCAATAAATTTAGATAATTAGTTAATTATTTATTGTATTTAGCTTTAACTTTATGTGCTGGGCAAAACAAATAAGTTTTTGAGAAGGATTTGAATAAGTACATTCTTCGTGCAAAGAAACTTCTATATTTTAAAAATATTGAAATAGAATAGGAAAACATCAAGAAAGAAATTGACTATTTAAAAGTATTTCTAAATTTGTAATTGAATTCTAAATATCTTCCAATTAAGCTTCTTATTTTTTAGATACGTTCTAGAATTATAGGAGATTTTTAATAATTCTAATAAAGTTTAAAAATAAATATATTAATAATTTCTTAGCAGAACTTAGAATTTTAGTTAGTTAAAATTTTTAAAAACAATTTTAGCTAATATTAATTGATATAGCTTTAAAAGCTCAAATTATAAATCAAAAATAATATTTTATTTAAAAAAATATTACATTAACTAAATAGACTTTGTTAAATTAGTAGAACATGAATCAAAAGTAAGCAAATGAAATAATCCAAAAAGTAAAAATTAATAATAAAAAGTTGTTATTTATTTATAAATTATCAAATAAATATAATAGGCAGAAGAATGTTATCAAAAGAATGCTAAAAAAATTAAAAACGAAGTTCCAGATCATTTATGTTGCCCTATTACTATGGTAGCTTCCTTTTTTTATAACCAATTAAAAGCTCTAATTTTCTAAAATTAATCAAAAGAATTTGTATGAAGATCCTGTTATTACTTAATATGGGTTTTCTTATGAAAGATAGGCCTTGCTTGAGCATTTTAAGTTAAATGGTGATATTGATCCTATAGCTCGAAAGCCTATTAACAGGAACATACCATTAATCTCAAATTTGAGTCTAAAGAAAGTTGTTTCTGAGTTTTTGCAAAAGTAATTACTATACATATATTATTATCTTTACATTAACTTATATTTTTATTAACAGTGAACCTTGGGCTTATGAGCATTATTTAGATCAAAATTCAATTGAAAAAATCGAGTTTTGATTTTAAAAAAATCTTAATAATAATTTTATAGAAAATAAATAGAACTAATCAGATAATAAATTACTTTTAAATAAGCAAAGACGACACAATAAAATATATATTAATTTTTATATTTGTATTTAACTTTATATTAATAATTTATTTATATTTATAAACAATCTTTATATAAAAATTAATATTATCACAATTTTTAGTAGCTAAAATTTCCCTTAAAATTTAATGTTCAAAAATATTTACTGATTATTAATATTTATAATGATTAAAAGGTTATCCATATGTAGAATCAAAATACAGAAACAATCTGGTATTTTATCAAAATGAATTAAAAAATAAAAATAATAATTTAACCCTTTTACTAAGGGAATGATATAGGAATTAAGATAGCACAGCGTACTAATATTTAGAAAATAAATAATTTAAAATTTTTTAATAAAAGGAATAAAAATCAAATATCTGTATAATTTTGAAAAAATTTTAAGAAAGAAGAATTTACAAAGATTAAAGAATCTGTTTTTCTGGATAAAAGGAATTAGAGGAAAAATATATTTTAGAAGATAGTATTGAATAATTATTTTTTAAGTATATTATTTAGAAATAATTAATTTGTTAAAATTATTTAATTTATTATTTTCTTTGAATAAATTTATTTTTACTTTATTCAATAAGTCTATCAATCCATTTTTAATACAGAATTTTTCAAAAACGATTAATTTTTTTTTAGATAGCTGACATTAGCAAAAAGCAGGTCCTACAAACTAAATTCTTTTTTTAAATTTAAAAAAAATAAATATATTTGCTTTATTAAAATGAATATGATTTTTATTTATTTAATATATTAAATACCTTTTTTGTGTTTAGTTTTTTCCAAGAGTAAGTTTGTTACCTCATAGCCTACAAGATCTTAAAGCTAAATTAATTTCTTTCTCCACCTTATTAACTTTAAAGAATCTAAAATATTAGATTCTTTTAGATAAAACTCAATTTAGCAAAGCAACTCAAATTCTTTTAAAAGTAATTAATTGTTCCAAGCCTCTTTTATAATGATCTCACTTTAATTTAAAATGTTAGTATTTCCTTCTAAGCATATTTTATCTAACATTTTTTGAAAGCTTAAATTAGTGTTGTTTTGTTAATTATCAGATTCAAACTATTTAACACCACTAGTAAATGAATGTCTTTCTTATTTTTTTTCACTTTTATATGGGAAATAATATTAATCAACCTACTATTGCTTTAAATACGACTTAATCTCTTCAGAAAGTTATTTCTTTTAGTCAGATTCTAAAATCTTCAAATATTCCTAAGTAATTTCACTTTTCACTTCATTTCTCATCTATATTTTATTTTAGTTACCTAAAACATCTAAACCTTAATTCAAGCTCTTTTAGGTTTATATTTCTTCTTATTATTCATTAGTGATGCTAGGGTTAAAAGGATTGACAATTTAGTTTTTCATAAAATCTACTTACTATTAAGGAGTGCTGATTTTATTACTTAATGCAATTTGCTAAGTATTTTAAGTTTCCTTAAAACCAGAATTACTTTAAAAATTTTCAGCTTTTTTACTACTTAATAATTTATTTTGCAACTCTTAATTAGCATTTTTTTCATTCAATTACAAATTATTGTTATTAATTTATAAAGTATTTGGATTTTCAAGAGATTTTTATGAAGATTAAATTTTTTAATCAGATAGCTATAATACTAAGTTTTTAAGAAGCTATATTTCACTAGCCATAAATTCTAGTTTATTTTCGATTCCATCACTTAGCTGTGATTACCATTTATTTGCACTGATTGCTTCAGCTGAATTAATTTAATTTTTCTATTCTTCTTTTTTTATATTTTTAAATTCACTTAAAAGCTAGTGTTGTAGACTTTATCCTTCTTCTACTTCTTAATACTCTTTTATTTTTTCATATGGGCTAAAAACTTATTTTTACAATGGCTCTTACTCAACCATTATTAACTAGGCAGCATTTTATATTATTTTCTAATTTTCAATATCTTAATTTTTTTATTCTAGTTATTAAGCATAAAAGACAGGTTTAGATATTGACTCATCCTTTTTTTCAAATTTAAACTGATTTTATCTTTAAAGAAAACTTTGAGATTAACTTGGTATTTAATTGACTTATTATTTCTTAATCTATGTTATATCTACAACCTCTTCATTATATTATTTACTGATAGCATAATCTTACTTTGTATCATCTCCAGTAGTATTTGCAGCTGAATGATTAGGATCTTCTATATGTATTGTTATTTTTGGATAAGTGTCTTTTCTGAATGTAGATTACTTAATATCCTTTTTTTAGTTTAATAACATCTAATCTGATTAATCACATTCTCCAATACTATTATTTTGTTCTTGTTTATTTTAAACTTGTATTTTATGATTGTTTTAAGTATTCAATATTTCTTCTGAACATTTTCTTAACTAATTTGGTTATTTTTATCCTAATTAATTATCATTCAACTATTTTATTTACTATTAATCCTATGAAGGTTCGTAAACAAATTAACTGTTATAATTATGAGTATCTAACTTATCTTATCCGTTTTAAATATTTTTGGTATTTTATTAATTTTATGATTAGTCTTTCTAATGAATTACAATATTAGGTTTAGCTAATTATTCTTCGAAAAACTCCCGAACATTATCTATTTCTTAAGATTCGTTTAGTTTATTTTATAAATGAAGATCTTATTAGGTTTAGTTGTATAACTCATTAAAATACTTTCTATTTTCATCATCATAATATCTAGACTATAATCTGGATTTTTACTGCTTGTAAAAAGGATTATCATCATGCTCTACATTATCATTACACACCCTAATTATTAGTAAATATTCCAAAAATAATATAGGAATCTAACATATTGAAAGTATATAAAAATAAAAAATAAATTAAATAAAAATTGGAATAGATATAAAATTAGTTTTTATTGATAAATTATGGGATTTATATTCATGTATAAAATTTTACATTGATAAACTTGATATAGATCTATATTTAGACTCATTATTTGGCTAGAAAAATAGTGATTCCCTTTATGTAGTTTGCTATCTTGAGATCTAATTGTCGAAATTAAGGAATTATGGGAATTTTTCATCTAAATATTTGATTAAAAAATTTGTAAACAGTAAAAGTAAACAAAATGTATAAAATTAATTTGCTACCTTTAATTACTGTTTTAAAAAGTTTCTATAGCTCCCTTAAAAATTTGCTGTGGTCTTCACTTTGTCTAAATAAATCTACGTATTATTGATCTTCAAATAAATCCTCCAAATAGTTAATAGTGTTTTTAGCAAAAGATTTTAGCTATCTCATATAACCTTAAGGTGACATTTAGCGAAAAATAAGCATAATAGAACGAAGTAAAGGCCATATTATTTCTAATTAAATCCTCCTACCAGGTCCTTTCCTAAATTTTTCAATAATGAAATTGATAATAAATAAATATTTAAATGAAAGTAACTAATTTAGTCATAATTTTAATATTTTAAAATCAGGTTAAAACAAAAAAATAATTGTAATAAAAATTTCAATTTTTTATACTGTTGAGTGTTATCTGTGTAAGCTAGAACATCAGCCACACTATAAATTCCATTATCGATAATAAAATCTTGAATAAATTCTTGACAATAAATTTCATCAATGTGATTCTAATAAAGCTTTAAACATCGATCATCGAATCCAAACAAACCTTTTCATTGAAAAGACAGTTATTGTAAATAATACTTTTTATTGACATTTTAAAAAAATTATACTATAAAATATTGACTTTATATTTTCTTTTTAAAATAAAATTGTTTTCTTAAGTTACCTTTAAGCAGTAAACATATTTCAAAACCTGAATTCAAAAGTGCTACATCATGACTTTTATATTAGCTTTCTGGATCAAGATGAAAACTCCCTTAACTCTGAATTTTATATCAATTTTATTAAATAAAATCATATTAATAATAGAAATTTGATACATTTCGAAATGCTGAAGGAAGGATTTTGAGCCACTTTTTAGAAAATTCAAGAAAAGTAAAAAAAAATTGTTTTATGACTTTTATCGTGTCTAACTATTCAACCTTTGTTACAAAGTTACATTAATACAAATTTATACAAAATTTATAATAATACTTCATATGGGATTGTAAGGCATGTGTCAATCAAATAGAAAAGGTCACATCTGAGAAATCCTATAATTTAGAATAATTTAGCATATATGAAAAAATATAATTTAAAATTTGATGATTCCATAAGTCAAAATTAATTAATTTATTTTTAAATAAATTTCCTCCAATTTTTTAATAAGTAAGACTCATGAAAACAAAAATTTGTAAATTTTTGATTAATAAAACATAAATTTAGGCATTTGAATCATTAAAAAAATTAACAATTTCATAGATTTTTCACATTAGAAAGTGTAAATTGAAAAAACAAATCAAATATTTATTTCAATTATTTTTTTTTTGTTACACCGAAAGAAACTATTAAAAACTGTAAAAATTCAATTTTTTTTTGGAGAAAATTATTTAATCAACATGAATTTTACTAGTTAACTCATATGGATAAAAGCCTTTGAGCCCTTCTTGTTTCATTAAGTATTTCAATTATATGGTCGCCTTTACAAAAATATAAATTAAATTGTTTGCTTTTTATAATATTTTTACTGATTTAAGCTCTTCTATGTTCAGCTCATAGTCTCTTAATGTTACTTTTTTCTATCCAGTGTAACCAATTGTGTGATATCTGAGAGGTTTTAACTTTTCAGAGTGAATGCAATATTGCTAAAAATTAAATATTTTAATTAAATATGAATGAATGAAAGAAATTGTAAATGAAGAAAAATGAAAGAGTCAGCAATTTATCTAATAAATATATAGTGCAGAAAAAAAAAGCAGTAAAAATTAATTAAATAAATTGTTTTGTTACTCTCTAATATTTAGTTCCCCAGCCATCGAATTCAATAGAACGTAGTGTATCTAAATAATTTAAAGATTACAATTAATATAACTCTAATTTTTGCCAATAAATATGTATTTTTTTCAAATAAAAAGCAATTTTCTATTTAGTAAATTAAATCTTATTTATTTATTTTTAAATTGATCTAGTATTGTGCTTGAAAATTCAAAGCCATTTTGCAAGTAATTGAAATGGTCAAATTAAAATTCAGGCAATTTTACCTTTTGCTGATTTGATTCTACCAAGTCTCCAAACACCATACTCATCTTAAGCATCACACCAATTTTTAACCTTGAAGTAATCAATTTACTGAAGCTATGGCTTAATGAAAGATTCATCTATATAGTTTACAAAATTGAGTGAAATATTTTAAATAATTAGTCAAAGATGGATAAATGCCTCTCTAATATATAAAGTGCTCTAATTTAAATTCATCCCAATCAAAATCAAATAGTAAAAATGTAATTTAGTTAGTAATTTATCAAAAATGAGTTACTATTTGAATTAATTAATTTTAATATTTACTTGTATTTTTATGTGCTAACTTAATAGGAGTTGATTGGATTATAACAGAATTTTATAAACTATCGTGAATGTTAGGGATAAGCGAAGATTCAGCGTCAGTGTGTAAATTATCAGGAGGTTCTAAGAAATTATTCATGACTATTCATTTTAATATATTATGTAAATAAGTGATTATCTATAATGTAACTCAATTAATTTTTATTTATTCTTGGGTAAAATATAAAATTAAATACTAATAAAATTTTAAATGCTCTGAAAATATAAATAATTTTTAATTTATTTAAAGCTTCGGGAATTTCTTTGATATTCTATTTTATTATCGTAATTATTTTATTTGTTACTTCTAATTTTATTTTATTATCGTAATTATAATGCTCAGTTAATTATCCTTGAGTTTAAATGATAGAAAATTTATTTTGTAGAACGAATTATATAATATAAGTATATTATTGAGTGGAATTTTGAGTTATTGATTTTAGATTACTATTAATAGATAGAAATTTATTTATTAGAAGTATGAGAATAAGCTAAAATATTAATATTTAGACAGATTATTATTTTGGTTTTTATTCAAAATAAGTAAAAAAAATGTAGGAGTAAGAAAGAAAAGAGAGAAATAAAAATGTAATTTAGGCTAAATAAAAATGTATCAATTAAATGTTTTGTGTAAATTTACCTAAAAATTATATTAAATTTTAAGTGATTTAGAAAATATTGTAAATAATTCCAATTTGTTCGACTCTTTTCACCAATGTAGAATAAAATTGATCAATTATAAACTACAAATTATCTCTTTTTCCAACTTTAGTTTCTTATTTTTACTTAGTATTTTACTTTCTAATTATTTTTTTCTTATTCTTTATTATTATTTTTCTTTATTATTGATTATCTGGTTTCTCAATAATGCACTAATTTGTTTGTATTTTGCTGTTTATAAGTTTTTCCTCTTCTAAATTGACAAAGAAATCTGTATTAGAAAGAGAATACCTTGGATTTTACCATATCCATTTACAATAATTTTTATTTTCTACTTTTCATTTTTAAATTAATAAATCTTAGCAGTTTAAAATTATATCAAAGCAAAAAAAAGTTAGTTGATTATTGGTTTAAATTAGAAAAGTATTTTCTTCATAAAAATAAATAAATAAACATGCATTGAAAAGAACGAAGAAACTTTATTCGAGTTTCCAAAGTGGGGAATAGGAATATTGAATACTAATAAATCTGAATGAACAGAAGATTTGAATATTTAAAATTTACTAATTTAATTGTTAAAGTTAATTATAATGAGAAAATTGTAATTCAATATAAATGTATATTGGTGAAGAAGCTAATATTTAATTAATATATTAGCTTACAATTCATAAACTCGACTAATTAAAACCAAAATATTGATGTTTTTTTATTTATTAGACTAATGTCTTATAAATCCTGATATACAAAAAGGTTGCACTCAACCCCTGTATTAAACATAAATAAATAAACAAATAAATATTATTGCAGTCCTAATAGGGCCATAAAATTCCTATTTTTAATAATAAAATCAAATTTTCAGTAAATTTGTTTAATTTAAATTGAGTTAAAAGCAGGAAATTTATTTTTACTATACCTGCTTTTAAAAAATCTCTATGAAAAATAAAATACTCTTTTAATTTCAATAAGATAATATAACAATTTAAATTCAAATAGACAATTTTTAAAAATAAAATGTATTTTATGAGTAAAAAATATTATTTCTAATTAAAAAACATCTTACATAATTATTGAATGAATGGAAACATATGTATTTGATTAAATTTTCATTATATGAGTTTTGATTTTACTTAGCACTACTACTTGTTTTTATTTTCAAAATAGGATAGATAGATATATAGGTATTCCGATGAGGAATGTATGAATTTATTTAGATTAAGGGTTTTAATTAGAAATTTATATTCTTTTCTATATAAATGAAAAATAAATTATCACTTATCAAACAAAGATTAACCAGCTAAGATTACTAATAATCATTTGGTTTTTTTTTGCAAATAAATAATGCTGAAATATTTTTTGAAATTAGATTTTTGTTTTTTATATAATATAATGTGGAATTTTTTTTTTTACAATAAATAAAATAGAATATATTGTCTCATTAGGTTTCGCAATATATTACATTAAAAATAAAAACCATATTAAGTAATAAATAAATATTTAGTTATTATTTTCATAAATATAATTAGAAAATCAATAAAAATAAAAAAAATCAAACATTTATACCTAACAATATAAATTAAATATTATAAATGAATGAAAAAATTAATTAATTATCTAATTGACTTACTTTAATTTTTAAGGATGCTTTTTATAGCTCATTATGAAATTATAAATTACAACAAAGAGCTATTTATCAAGAAATGAAATATTTTTTTGCAATAAGCAAATTAAGAATAAAGGGCTTTAAACAAAGATATAGATAGAGACAGATATAGTTGAGAGAGTATTTACTTATAAAGAAAATAATAAATTATAAAAGGGCTCCGTGGTATAAAGTAAGGAAGAGAGAGACAGACAAACAGATAGAAAGAAAGAATTAATAAATGAATCATTAAGTTAAGAGCTTGAATTAATATAAAAATTATGTGAAGAAAGATAATTTATGTAAATAGAAATTGATTATCAAAAATCAATAAATAATTTACCCGATCCAAATAGTTATTGCATGCAGCAGCATGCAAAAACATACTTAGATTTATTGATTAGTAAATTTATTATTTAATTAATAAATTGATTTCGCTAAAAAAAGGATAGGGGAAAAAGAAAAATATACAAAAATTTTTATAATTTTTATAAAAAGCAAAGAATTTTATCAATTGCATAAATCAATCATCTTAATTCTGAATAAGATTTACTCTCAGTTAGAACACAATCAAAAAATAATCAAACAAACAAACAAACAATCTAATAAAAAACAAATAGTTTGTATTCATAAATAAACTCCATACTTTACTACTATAAATTTTCAAACAATGTCTGATTACAGTAAAACCTCTTAATTTAAGGCTCCTAATGGCTAAAATGAAAATTTCGAGTGTTAGGAATGTAATAAAACCTTTAAATATGAATCTCATTTCTTGCGTCATATTCAAACCCACTCAGACTCTCGTCCTTTCGAGTGTCCAAAATGCTAAAAAAAGTTTAAACGTTAAGATGCTCTCAAAACTCATGAGCGTACTCACTCTGATGATCTTCCTTTTAAATGTTCTCGCGAAGGATGCTGCGAAAGCTTTGCAAGCAAGGCTGCTTTGCGCTACCATGAATTACGTCATACTAATGAGACTGTATTCATTTGCGATAAAGATGGGTGCAACAAGAAATTTTTGACTCTTGGCTAACTAAAATAACATTAGCGCACAAAAATTCATGCAAAGCAAGCATGTCCTTAAGTATTCGGAGACTTTGATTAGTACAATAAAGCTCAACCTGCTCAAAATCTCTCTCACTCCCTCAGCAGTAGCGGAAATATTAATAATAATTCAACTAATTCTGGATACTAAAATCAAATTTTTTATAACCCAGCTGCACCTTATATTTAATTTTCTCAACCTCAACAATTATACAGTCTATAAAACTCAACTTAACCTAATTTCTTGTGTGGAAATAATGTCAATTTAATTTAGAGTATGAGCGATTACCTTTCCAATGAAAACATTCCTTAAGTGAGCAGTGTTCCCTCCAACTCTGCTCCCAGCATTTCTACCCTTGAATAAAAAATTAACATAAAGAAGGAGCATCACTAAGAGGACACCTTCCTAGACGATTTTAGTGAGGATGAATAAGTGTTTATCGATCAAATATGGAGTACAATTAAACAGGAAAATACTAATAATGATTATGAATGTCCTAAAAAATCCTCTAATGAATTCAATAATTCTTGCGATAATGCTTACCACAGTGATTATCCAATCCAAAAACGTCGTAGAAACAACCCAGTAAAAAGTGATAACAAAATTAATGCTAGCTCTAACACTTCTAATCTGCTTATGGAATTCACTGGTCTTAATGCATCTGGAAGCTCTTTCAGTCGTCTTAAATAAGAGCTGCGTATTATTGTGGGACTAATTGATAAAATTAAAAAGGAAGATGAAGAATTAATACCCCCAGCTTCAAACAGCGAAAATTAAAACTTCATTGATAATTTCGATTCCAATCAATAAGAATAATAAATCAGTAAAAACTCTGAAAAAAGATTAAACAGCTGTGAATTTTAGAAAAATTCCACTGATTACCAAGAAGATTCCAATTATCACTTCTATTAAAATGATGACAGTCCCTTCCACAACTACGAATGTCAAATGATTCACAACAATATTCCTAGTGAAGTAATTGATAAGGATGAAAAGGAATAATCCAATGGATATTACAAAACCTACGAACGCCCACTATTAAAAAAGAAGATCAAAACTGCTGTCCGTTTCGTCCAATATTGCAAGAAGGTCTTCAAGGAGCAAAAGAAGCAATAAATTTAACAAGATTAATAACAATAATAATAAAAGCGCATGCAAATTCAAACCACTCAAAACTCCTATACTAACAAACCTTTAAACAACTACTTTGAGCAGAACGTTTAATTTAGTTTTACTCCCAAATAAGAGTTCTAGTAATTCTCACAATAGTATGATACTAATTCTTAATTTAGCTAACAAAACACCTATAACAATTACTAAAATTTCTAAAACTTCAACGTTGAAGACTTATATCCTAAGTAAGTTCAAATGGCAAACAACATAAACTTCGCTTCCTCTAACAGAATTAACCAACGTAACTCTTCTTTCAATTTCACTCAATAGTCTTTCTTGCAGAATGGTTAGTAAACATAAAATAACTTCATGAATTAATTCAATAATAACTTCTAGAAAAACATAACCGCAAATTACTCTTTAGACCAATACAGAGTTCAATCTTAGTAATAACCTTCTGCTAGTTACAATGATATGGCTCCTATCTACATAAGCAGCTTAAATAATACTTTGGCTGATGATAGCTAATTACAGTTCAGTGATATCGATATTAATTAATTTAGTGAAATGGCTCCTAATATATTCGATGCTGCTGATGAAGTTCAAAGCGTTTAACTCTATACTGATCACTAATTCATCCCTACTTAATAATTTAATGTCTGCAACTGAAATAAAAGAAGAAATCAAACCAAATATATCTTCATTATAAACTGAGATTATCTCATAATATTTATTATAACAAATTAGCACCAAGAAATATATTACAGAAGCAAAAGTTACTTGAAAAAAAAATATATAAATTTATCATCCATCTAAAATATAAAGGAAGATTATTAAATATATATATAATTTGTATTCTTGAACACAAAAAATTATAAAAGAAAGAATTTAATTAAATATTTCATAGGTAAAAGATCAATTATTCTTCCTTACGATTATCATTTAAGTAAATATGAATATCAAGTATAATAAAAATAAATATAGATAGTCTTCAATTGACAGCATCAAGTACTATCTCATGATTTATTTATCTATATATCTAAATATAATAATATCTTATAAATATATAAAAAATCATTTTATCTCATCTTATATATCACTTAAATAAATTGAATACTTTATTTATAAATTCTATTAAAAAATCAATATTTGCATTTTATCATATATTTATATTGCCTTTTATTCCAAACAACCTTTTACTATTTATCACATAAATTTTGCATATTATTTTATGTTAACTCGCATTATTTTAGAATAAATACTTTCTATTAACTTGAATTGCAGATTTAAAGTTTGATTATTTAGTATTTTTTCATATAATTTTTTAACCAAAGTAAATACTAAAATATTATTTTTTTATTTTATAAAAGCTATTTTTAGGTTTAATACTATAGAATTAAATATCTAATTCTTGTACTACTATGTAAACACAGAATTAAATTTTTTATGGCATAACATAATTAATGAATCAATTTATTTTAATGATAGTTAAAAACTTGATATGCTTTTAAAAGAAAATTTTATTTACTGAATAATTCTTTTTAACAGACCATTTAACTTCAGTAAATAATTAGTAAACTTCCAATTTAGTATCCTTTTTTTTATTTTCTTAAAATATGCTTTCCAGAATTAATTTTTAAATTTCAATTTACTAGCCATTATTTTTGAAGTAATTATACTTTTAATAAGAACACTCCTTACTGGTATATACTATTATTTAATTTAAAAAAATACATTTTTCTACAAAGCATAACATCATACATATTAAAGTAAAGAATCAGCTTTTATGCAGAATGAAAATTTAACAAATAAAATAGAAAGAATATTTTTTAGCATAAAGCCAATGATAATGTGTTGATAAAAATATTTTAATAATGAATCCTATCAATAATATCTTAATATTTTTTTAAAGATAATTTCTTATATATTCAATAACTAATATATTTTTCAAAATTCTAAATAAATTGTTTGATAAATTATATAATTTTATTTTCAATTCTCTTCATTAATTTAATAATTTGATATAAAAAATATTTTCATTTTAAAAATCTGAAAATTATCAGCTTCAAAAGCAATATAAAAAGGAGAAGAAATAGTTTTTTTTGTTAAACTTATCTTATTCCATATTGATTTTGGTGAATATACCTAAATGTTGTTACTCAGAAGTATAAAAAATTATTTTTTTTAGGATATAAATTATTTATTTCTATGATAGGATAATGTAGAATGCAATATAATATTATATTAAAATCAATAAATAAAAAATAACCCAAAAAAGTTAATCTAATTAATTTTTTAATAAAAAATGGAGTCTATTCAGAATAATTTTGAAAACTCTTTAAATTTATTTTTTATATCTTTAATTATTTTATTTTAAAAAATGAGCTTAATTTTTTAAATAGGCATATTTATAAACTAAATTTATTTTATATTTTTAAACATATTTTATAAATTGTGTTGATTTTATCTAAAATTTTGCAAATAAAAAAATTAAAGATTGAATATAAAATAAGTGTTATTAGAATGTTTTAGCGCTTTTTTTGATATAAAAAAAGAATCTATCTAATTTTATAAACATTAATATAATTAAAGTATATTTATTAATTTTCAAATAGATATCCTGAATATCCCAAAAAGTTACTTAGCTAGCTACTAATTTTTATAAAATAGATTTTAAATTTACAATTTAATTACATGTAAACAGATGATGGTTTTATAGAATTCTAGTCATACAATGATTATTAAAGTTTATAGGCAATTTTTACAAAAGCCAGAGATAACAATATTGATTTGACTTAGCAAAGAAGCAAAGAAGAATTGATAGAAGATTATTTTAAGTATTGCGTAAAAGTAAAGATCAACTAGCCGTATATTTATTATCTATATAAAATTAAATATTGAAATAATTCATCATTTTGATTTTAGAATAAATACAATCTGTTATTCGACATATTAAATGAATGCTACAGATATTTACCAATATTTTGATTTTCGAAAATTATTGCTACTTTGTTTAAAGCACAATAAAACATTAATTTTTTTTTTTTTTAAATTTTTTTTAAAACAGCTTTATTTAAATGTATCAATAAATATTTTAAAATAGTATGGATGTTAGAGCACATATGATAAAAGAACATTATTTCTTAGTTTATGCAAGAATCATTACTGAAAATAGTTAAGATCATTATCCTTCCAGAGTTTATGCTGTTGTTTTAACCGATTTTAACAATTAATTTTGCTAAATATAACCCACTTATTATGCAAACGAATCAATGCAAGCAAGAGTCACTCCTTGCTTTTCAGTAAACTAACATTTAGCTCAAAAGCTTTAATCTGCCCAGCTTTCAATTTCTAAAATTCTACTTTATTTGAGCGATTTATAAACTATTTCCTAAAAAGACACAAACCAAGACACTGCTTCTATTAAAAGTGGTTCAAGAAGAAATTCTAATGATAATATATGCTGAATAAATGAATTACAAATTAATATAAAAAGCTTATAAATTTCAACAATAACTTCATAATTACTTCTATTTATATATTTCATTAATTTTTCATTGAAAATGAGTAAAATTATTTTTTCAAAATATATTTTTGTTTTATTATGAGTTAAAGTTTAATAATATTTTGCAGTAAACAAAAATAATTAGTTAAGAAAATATATTTATTATTAAACTTAATTTGTAATATGGGTTAGCTCTTCCATTAAAATTCATAATATTTTATTATATTTTTAAAGGGATTATTCTTAAAAATTAAGTAAAAAATGGAAAAAATTTAAGTTGAAGCATATTTTTATTTTAACATCAATTTTAAATTGATTTAGTTCAAATAATAAATATATTATAAATACTGTATAATCATATTTATCATAATGTTCACAAATAGAAAATCAAAATTAAATTCTTAGTATTATTTAATAGCCATATAACAAAATTCAAACTTAGGGGAGCGCACTCAACTTATGAGGAGTTAGAGTAAATTCTTTTTATAAGAATATTTATTATAAATATGCATATTTGTATGTATTGAAGCTTATTTGGTTATGTATGTAATAGCTATGTATATTTTTTTAAAGTAGATCTTTTTTATAAAGTATAAAGAAATAAATGAAAAATCTTATTATAGGGAGAAGATTTGAAATTCAGGCTATAAAATTGTTTACAAAAAGTTAAATAAATAATAATAAAGTCTAAGATTTGGCAAATACAGCTAGATTTCATGTTATTCTGATAAGATTTGATTCATAATACATTGATTAAAAGTGCTTATTCAATAATAAATAAAAAATCAATATTAATAAGTAATTACCTACTACCAACCTACTCATTTTTACTAAACTTCAAGTTTTTATTTTCTAAAAACTTGTTTTCAATAAGTGCGATGAAGTTGTTTTAAGAGAAATTGAAACTTTTTTATCTGATTTTTATTTACATTTTGCGCCAGACACTAACTCTTTAAATATTACCATATGGAAGAAAACCTATTGAACTATCAGTTAATAATGCAGGAGAAATTAGCTCGTACATTTTCTAATTTATTACATAAACTGATCTACTATCAGGTGAGAAATAAAAACATTCCATCCAATTCAAAAACTACCAACAGTTTAAATTAAAACCTTATCAATAGTATTCTTTGTAAATAAGAATTTTAAAGAAGAATTCATTTTCAATCATAAATTAAAAAATATATTAATCTTTTTAAAAAATGTCATCAACTAAAAAAATTTTGATTTAAAAAATAAATAGGAGACGGAATTCTAATATAATTTCCTGTTTAAATAAGTATTAATGCTGGTTTACTTACAGGTAATTATGTTTCTGGATTAACTTTTAATACAGTCTCATAGTAATGGGAGAGTTTAATTGGTCCTTTGAGCATAAATTATGTAAATACAGCTGGATTATTTGTTATAACTGTCCCAGATATGAAGGCAGGAATTTATAAAATATAAATTAACAATATCTAAAATCCAGCTGCTTAAGTAGGTACAGGTATGTTTAGTATACAAACTAGAAGATTTGCATCATATTAACTTAATTATAACCTATTGGATGATAATAATGCATTTGGCTAAGTAGGAATTATTAGTCCTGCTCCAACTACATTAGTTATTAACTCTGTAACTCTAAGTAGCTAGTTTATTAATACTATATCTAACTATAACATTTAATTTACTACCACTATAGCTGTTCCTATCGGAGGATCAATAGTAGTAAGTTTTGCAAATACAGCTATGTAATTTTAGACTAACAGTGTGTTTACATCTTCGATTGCTGGTGCAGTTCTAACTCCTGTTAATAACAACTAATTAATCATAACCGTACTTACATTTTTTTTCAAGTTACAACAAACATTAACTAGAAAAAGCAATAGGAATTAAAATTAAATCGCATTTTAAAAATGTAAACTGAATATAGCACCTTATTAAAATAAAAATTTGCATAAAAATATATTTAAAGAGATGATGAATTTCCATTAAATAATTTATAATTTAATTAACATAACAAACTAATATTTAATTTAATATTTTTTAATTAATAGTCATCCTCTATTATACCTGCTTCTGCAATTACAGTTACAATTACAAATGTATTAAATCCTGTATCAAAAGGATTGACTAATATTCTTAAAGTATAAAGTTGGATAAATGGTGCAAATACAATTTTGGAATAAAACACTTAAAATCTAGAAACTTAGTTAAATCCAGGAGCAATAAATTAGATATAATTGTAGGCATTCAGCCTTATGTTTGTAAATGCCCCAGCATATCCCTTTATATAAGGTGAATTAGTATAGCATGAACTAGCTTTCATTACTACAAATCCTGTTCCAAAAGGAGGAGTGATTGTTATTTAATATTTTTTAAATGTAGCCAGTCCACCTTAAAGATTTATTTTAAGAGTCGTTTCTGGACTGTAAGATATATCAAGTACAAATTAAGTTTCTATATCTTCTACTACCAATATAATCACAATCTCAAATTTCTAAGCAATTTCAGGTTAAAAGCTTATCAAAATAGCATTTGAAGTAAATAATGGAAATACATGTAACAATTTTAGTATTTTTAATAAAATTTAATTTATTTTTTTAAAACTAAATTCGTCAGCACCTCTTACTTCATACTAAATTACCACATATTATGATTCATTATAAACTTAAAAGATTGATTAAGCAACATCTGCTACAAATCCTTAGACTTTAACAATAAAATCTTCAACAGTGTCTGTTTCTTCTCCACCAAACTTTACAAACCAATTAGCAGGAGCAACTAATAGTAATCTTAATCAAATAATTTATCATTTTAATCTTAAACTTTGTTATTATAAAAAAAGCTGTTTAGTTTTCAATCACGACACAGATATGCGCCGCTTGTGATCTATGGGTTTGGTTTCCTCAAGGTTTCACAATTGATAGAACCAATTGCAAAATTACATCTCCTTCCACTTACAACTGTTAAACTGCAGTTTCAAACGGATATTCAAATATTGCAATAATCACTCCAGGAGTATTAGTTTCAACTCCTATTACAGTTTCTATTAATGTCTAAAATATTTTAAGTTCTTATGCTAATTATCCTATTGGTGTTTCTATTGTTGTAAGTTTGTTTTGCTATTTATAAATGTTTATTTTGATTAAAAAAGATTGAATTAAATAAAATTTAATATATAAATATAGGCTACAGGTACTACAAATATTTAGAATCACTCTACTATGTATAATACATAAACTCCACCAGGTATCTTACCTGTAACTGCTAATTTTAATATCGTTCAACTATCTTACGATTGTTAGCAAAACAGCATGATGAAATTTTACTTTAAAGCAAGCCAAAATTTACCTTAAAGTCAGTGGCTCTCAGATTATACTCAATAGACTAGTAGAGTTGTAATAACTTTTCCAATAGTAGATGGTACAGGAGCAGCAGCATTTGCTAATGACTTAGGCCTTACAAGCTTGTCGTACTCCTTATCAAACTTTCCTTGCTATGGAATTTAGTCTATGTTACGTATAACTTAAAAAAGAATAAATAATAAATCTTTTCGTTATTTAAATAAATTTATATAAAAGCAATCTAATTAAATGGAGATTTGTTGTGCCAAGTAACTTCATCAACAGCAAGTGCTACTCCTGTCACAGTTTAGATAACAAATTATGGACAAATTACTGCTAACTCCTAAGTTGAATTTCATTTCCCAAATTTTAAGAACCCATCAATGACCAACTCTGCCCTAACGATAAAGATACAAATATATGTAACAAATTATAGATTAGAGTAGCTAATATTTTAAGATACTACAACTATACCTGTGTGTCAACCTTCCACTGCTTCATAAAATCCTAACAACCCTTCTAACCCTGCTCCTATATTTAATCCTGCAGGAGTCAGTTAAATGTCAACAACATCTATATTTTACACTCCAGGAGTAAATAAAGGATTAATCACTGGAGACTACTTAGTTTTTATATTTCCGTAGCTTCAAAATACTACTCCTATGTAATATATTCTACCAAGAAATGGACTCTCTTGCTATATCGGTGTTGGTAGCACTGTTAAAATTCCATGTAAAACTTATCCTAAAGCTGGCTGGGTTCTTTTCTTTGTTAATTCAGTAAATTATAAAAAAAAATAAAATATTTAAAAAAACACTTTTTATTTATGAACAGAATATTTTGCAGCAATAGCAAATCACGTTTTATTTTACAGGGATTACGAATCCTTCATTTGCTTCAGACTTTTAAGGAACTCTTTAGATTTTAAGTATCAAAGGGACTACTTAAATGATTATTGAGATTGGTATTTTTGCTTCTTTCACTCCTTTCAACTCAGGTTCATTGGCATCTGCAAAAATTACTTGTTAATACTTTGAATCTCTGAGAACTAATGTGAATTTTGATTTCTTATTTAGCTTCTAGCACGATTTACCAGATAACGGTAGCATAGATCTTATATTTCCACCTAACTTCTTTGATTTGTCAAGAAGTACATTAGCTGACCCGAATATTCCAACAGCTTAAATCCAAGTTTTCTTTGGAATTTCTTCCATAGATGGATAACCTCTTACATCAAGCTCTCATTATCAAATAAACGTAAATATCTACACAATCTTAGGTATTAAAAAGGTTCCAGCTAATACTTTGATTTATGTCAGAATGTTGCGTAAAATTTCAATAAATATATTTAATTTTTGTTACTTTTTTACAAATGAACTTCAATTTATAAATTTTAGATATCAGAAATCCACCTATTTAAGGAATAACAAACTTTTTTGGTATTAAATCAAAAACACAAGAAGGATTAACCATTGATTATAACAGAAGTGTTAGAACTTTGAATATACTTAGGAAGTTACCCACAGGTATAATTAACTTCAACTATTTTACAGTAACTCCTGATAACGGTAACCCTTCCAACCCAGCTGCAAATGAAGTTTCTAATTTTCCAGGAACTTATACAGTATCCTTTTATCCAAACTATGACGTCCCACCTTTAGGAATAATTTAGCTCCAATTTCCTAACGACTTTGGTCCTTCGTTCTTTTTAGATGCTCCTAACATTAGATGCCAGGTAAAATAATAATATTTAAATTGAAATTAAATTTAACAATTGTATTTATGAGATTATTTCCATCAATATTTAAGATAATCTAAGCAATCCCTTTATTTATTTTTATTAAAAGGTATCTGGAGCTATTTCGACATTTATGAGCTGTACAATGGATACGACTTAAACAGCTGCTATTGTTAAAATAAAGTTAGATGATTATTTATATGTTGTAGATGGTATGTAACCAGTGATTATATCAATACCACATGTTAAAAATATAGGACCATAACTTAGTACAGGTGTTGTGGTCGTATCTACTCAATATGATTAAGTTACTTTAGATGAATCAGGAACAACTACAACAAATAGAAAAGCAACAACAGGTGTGTCAGCTTAGGTATTAAAAGTGAAAAATTTCTCATATTCACCTTTGAATGAAGGTTAAATTGCTACTTACACTATATAGCTATATCCTAACTATAATTTTGAGTAAACTAACAATTAATTTTTAAAACTAAAAATCAATAAAATATTTAAATTTATTTTTTTAATTTATAGTTCAAATACTTCTATCCTATTCGAATTTTCTTACGATTATTCAAGTGAACTAGGTTAGTCAGTATAATGTTAATCAGCAGACTTGTAAATAAGTGCTAATAATCCTATCTAATGCACAGTAGGAAATTGGTAAATTTTAATGAGCAATCTTAAGTCTTTTACTTCAACATCATCAACAGTTATCACAATAAATCTGATAGGTATTATAAATCCTTCAAGCGGAAAATCTCCTAATATAAAATGCTTTATCATGTAGACAAAAACTCATGCTTACAGTTATTCATAAAATGTAGCTGCTTCAGCTACTTAAACCTTACCTGCACCTTCAATTCTATTTATGTAAAATCTGAATATTGGTAATAATATAGTTTTAAATATTTATTTATTATTTAAGCCCAATAAAAATAAAGAAATAAAATATTCAATTTGCTTTTTTTTTAAGCCTTTAAAAAAATTTTTTAAATTCACTTTACAAAAATTAATTTTAGTAGATTTGTGTCAATAATTAACAAAATATTTAACTAAAAATAAATTACCAAACTACTTTAAAATAAATTAAAATTTTTTTTGATTACAAAAATAAATTAAGGATTTGTTACTTCATTTAAAATCAATATTTTTAAATATAAACCAATCAATAAATTATGGATAATTCGTTATTATTAAAAAAAAAATAATTTTTTGATTCTATTTTTTATAAACCAATAAATTTTGTATAAATTAATGAAATTTAGGATCATCTTTTACTAGAACAATGGCTGATTATCAGTTCTTTTTGTTATTGGGAACTGCAACCACATTTGATATAACAAGTATATAGTTATAATCTGGATATGATTTATCAGATTTATGGGTAGCTAAATCATTAACCTATAGTCCAGCTGGAACAACACCTATAAGCGTAACACCAATAGGGAATACTGTGTAAATAAATTAAAACACCGTTGCTAGTGCTAATCAATAAATTACTATTAAAATGTCATAAATTCCTAATCCTTACGATTAGGGTGTTCAACCTGGGTACCCTGTAAATTTAGATTATAAATTAAACTTTTTTTAACAAAATATAAAAATATAAAACTAAATCAAAATTTACCTTTTAAATAAACCTTAATTAACTATGTAAAAATAAACATAAATTTGAAAATTTTAAATAAAAAAAATAAATAGACTGTTTCTCTGTATAATAGTGGAACTTTACAGGTTGTTTAGCAGACATTCAATAATCTTAATAATTTCTTAACTCCAGTTTTTACACACAATGGCCCACTTATCACAGTTAATAATGATAATCCTTAAATTTAATTGTAAACAGGAGTTTGGTCATCTGCAATTACTGTTTCTATAGCAAGTGCTATAACTTAAAATTTATAAATTTCACCAATAATCTCTCCAAGTTTTTCTTCTGTTATTTAGTTTACTCCAATTATAATTAAGGTAAATAAATATTTATCATTTATTTTAAATTAAAACTATTCAAGATTAAAATTAATTAAACTAATTTTTATTATTTTAAAAATAGGCTGGATAGCTTTCAACTACGTTCTAAATAGGAATTTCTAATTAAATTTCTATTTAATAATTGTTTGTATAATGGGATAAAACTGGAGCACCATCTAACTTTATCAACGTTCGCCCAGTTACTTTAATATTTTCAAACCAAAATAGCGTATTAATATAAGTAGATAATATAGGTAGTGTACCATCAGGTGGAAGAAGTAATCCAATCAAAGTGTTACTAACTAACGCTCCTTTCAGCAATCTTTATGTAAATGTTAGAATATTAGGAACAATTCCAATGTATTTGACAGTTTATCCATAGCAACTGACTTTTAATACTTAGAATTAGGTTGGATACTTCTGGGTATCTGTAGGGCCATACACATAAGGTAAATGTTTATAAAATAAAAACATTTTAACTAAAACTTAAATTAATTAATTAACTAATAAAAGTTTAATAATAAATTTAAATTTTTTATGAGCAAAAAAATCATTTTTTTTTTTGAATAAAAATGAAAAGGTACTTCTGGCTAAGTTATATTTTTTTTGACTGCTGATGGTTCCGTGTCATAGCAATTAATTACAATATCTACTTTTAAATTAATTAATAGAGTGCAAAATTTTATTATTTCTAAGCCAGATTCAACCAGTCCTTTAATCTATAATGCAAACCATGTTATAAAATCTGATGGATTTGATTTTACTATTTAAGTTAGTTCTCCTTGCACTATTTACATTTTTGCAGCTAAATTAGCTTCAAAGAGAATTAGTTTACCATAGCTAAAAGCAAAAATTTATCCTACAGATTATTTTGCTAGCCCCTATGTGATGGCTGAATATACAACCTACACAGCATCAAATTCTTATTCGTTCACTATTTCTGGTAAATTAGAATTTAAAATAAATTAATCTTTTATAAGAATTAGAATAATTAATTACTCCTTTTAGTAATTATTAAATATTATTAAATTGATTTTATGAAATTTAAAAATAAAGGCTTACCTTCTGGCTTTGACTTTGTAGCTCATGTATATGTTGAAGATTATAATGGTAACTAATCAGGTACATAATTAGATTTCACTGACAGGACATTAGGTGGATCAGCTGCTAACTCTCCAACATCTAAAAAATCATCAGACTTGTAATGGGCTACAAATGCTACTGATACGGTTATGGGATAAATTAGCTCCACTTGGGCATATATAACAAACTTGGGATTGCTATTTAGTGGCTAGATTTATGCAGTTGCATTAACAAGCACAAGATACACATATCCTAATTTAGAACAACCTGTAGCAGGTTCTATTAGATATTTATAAAGTTCAAGTCCTTTACACACATGTACAGGTATGACCTTGAATCCTCTTTCTATATAATGTACTTTAAATGGTTAATCTACTCCAGATAATACTAGATCAGATTATATTACTTTTGGTTCTCCTTCTTAACCTACTGGATATCAAATTTATTAAGGTTTGGATCAAGATAATCTTTATCCGAATGCTGCAGCATCTGCTTACTTCCCTGTAAATAAAGCTTAAATTAATATTTAGAATTTATTAAAAATCATTTTTATAAAATTTATTATTAATTAAAATTAGGCTGAAATCACTTGGATTTTATAATTAAAAAATTTGCAACCAAATACAAAATACACAGTTTACTACATAGGAGTTTATACAGAAGGAAATAACTATACACTAATGGATGATAGTAACATACGTTCAATTACTTTTACGACAGCTAGTTCTGAATTGGCTTCTAATTGCTCTGCGCTTCTAAATTATTTATCAATAATAACAATCACTGCATTTTTGATATACTTAATTTGAGTCTTTGTTTAAATTTTTTATTCATTTATTTTTGATAAGCTAGTTAATAGATTTTTTATCATAAATTTAAAACTTTTTTTTGTATTTTTAATTCATTTTCTATTTCATTTATTAAAAAAATTAATTAACAAATAATGACAGAAAGTAATTCAAATTTTAAATTCATTTGATTTCATAAGGAGGTGGGAAATTTATTTAATATCCTTGAAATAAAAAAGAGGAAAAAAAAAATTATTAAAAGTGGGGGAAAAATCTTTATCTGAAAGAATAGCAAAGGAAATTAATAGAAAAAAATAATAAATTAAATATTAAAAATTTGTAATAAAAAAATAAAAAAGAAGTTTAACTAAATATGTCTATGAATGAATTGAGGAAAAATAAGTTTTTAAATATCCAAATATCTCCACCATCATTAAACTCTTAGGTGCAAATAACAATATTAAGATGTTTAAGGAGATATCTTTCTCTCAAAGAAATGAGAGCACGCTTTATTTAAAAGCGCCTCAAAACAGTTTTTAAAGGTGATAATTATTGAAAAATAATTATTATTATTAACTCAATTCAAGAATTAGATATATTAATTAGTAAGCTAAAAAATATAATTAGGACCTCTATGAGGTACCGGTAATTTCAAAATTCATCATAAACTCATTCATCATCATCAAATATCATCAATCATTTGGAAGCATTTTATTTCTACTTAATATATAAAAAGTATTTTTTAAAATATAGGAAGACAAGAATCATTATAATTAAATTAAAAAAAAAGATAATAAAATTAATTTTGAAAGATTATTTAAATAAAAGAAAAAGAAAGAAAGAAAAAATTAACCTAATAAATAAACACAATAAATAAAAAGACAATTAAATAAATTAATTAATTAAAATATATAAATAATACAAGATAAAAATCAAATAAAAAAAATCAAAATAAATACATTATAAAGCTAATTTGTTTTTATGAAACAGAATATTTTATTTTTTATAAAAATACTCCCATATTAATTTTTTTTTTTTTTAACATCAAAATTCACTTTGGCTTGTAATTTATGAGTATAATTCACTTTATATAAATAAATCTATCTATCAAACAAATTTTTTGTTTATGTTTTATTAAATGTTACTTCAATTATTTATTAAATTTGCTATGACTACTAGCATTTATTTTATTTACCTATCTTGATTTTAGTTACTTAATATGGTTTTAGTTTGATTTATTTAACTTAATAATAAAGTTCAAATGTTTTTATTTTATGGAAATAATAAGTATTTAAAATAGAAAACCTTAAAAGTAATATTTTACAAATTTATGTACAACAAACAAGAAACAGGAATATAATTAAATGATTAACATAGCAAAGTAATTTATATAAAGTAGTCAACAAATTTAATATATAGTAAATAATCTAATTAATCAGTTAGTTAGTGGCCAGGATATTGATTCATATGGTTTATTAGATATTGCATTTTTAGTAGATTGTTATAAGATAGAATCGCATCTAACTTATGTTTTCATTTAATCTTACAAATAATTAAACAATATTTCATAAATCTTAGTAAATATCCTCTTTATGATTTTAACTAACTAATTTCTTAGATTAAGAATTAATTATTTAGTTTTAATAGTTTTTTCTTTATAGGTATTTTAAATACTAATTATTTGAGTGTGTGTAGTTTTCTTTTTAATTTAGAGCAAGAATGAAAGTTATTTAGAATTAAAGATTATTAAGTAGATTATTATTGTTATAATTTTTTGTATTCAGTATAACATATTTAAGTCTATTAAAATATAACTATCTGTCACAACTTATTTTTTTGAATTCTTATTTAAATTGGTTAGGAGCTGATTAAGTTATAAATATAAAAAGCTTTTTTATCAGCTGTTGTGATCTTAAACCAATTTTATTATTTTGAGGTAATCATTCGATTTTTAAATTATTAAAGGCCGCCTATATTAGCAAGATAAATATTAAATTAACTTATAAATATATTTATTCTCTTTTTAAGAATGACTTATTAAATTACATATTTATGAATTGCCTAAAGATCCTTATATTACATTATGATATTATTATTTCTTTAATCTACTAAGTAGTGAGAGTTATTAGTATTGTGGGCATAGAAGATTGAATAGGGAATAATTATTAATGTTATTATATTATTATTGAAAATAGTTATATTCAAAAGTAGGTTAGATGGTGATTATAAATAATTGAATTGACTTATTTAAAAAAGTTTATAAAACAATGAATGAATTTCAAGATTTTAGTTAAGTTAGAATTAAAGAAAAATTAGTTAAGCTATTAAAAATTAAAGCAGATCTTACGTGAGTAATTTAATAAATAAATAAAGGGAAATGGTATTTCTGATATTATTTTTTGAAAAGTATTTAAAATTTAATTTTTGCAAAAAATATACATATCAGAAATTTTCTTTAATTAAAACTCCTTTCGTTGGTAATTAATTAGAGTGTTGTTTTTGTTTTTCTCTTTGGTTGGTTTTTGGTTTGCTTTGCTTTTTTGTTTTTTTTTAATTTTAAATGAATTCTATATAAAAACTACTGAGTTAAATTGTGAAAGTTATATCGATTAGAAATTGGGTGGGTGAGTGAGTGAGTTCAATCAATAATTTTTAATGTTTTGTTGGAGGGAAATTAGAAGGTCAAAAGCGCTTATTTTTTAACTAAAACTAGAAGCAGATTGTTCTGTCTTCTTGCATTCATTTTAAAACTCCTTTAGCAAGCTGTTATGGATTTAAATTGCTTTCTGGTAGGAGCTGTTTGAATGCGGACTTGATATCATTAAATTATAATCATCATCCTCTATAAGCTGGACCTCTTTCTCTTCTAATTATATTTCTACTTCACTAATCGCATGGTATTTCTGGAGTATTCCATTAGCAGGTGATTAGACCCATCTGTTTTCGTTTAAAGGGTCTGTTTCAGTAGAGAATTTTTAAGGAGGAATTTTTTTTTGACAAGTTTAAGTAGTCTATTACTAGTTTTACATAGAATTATGAGAATTTTCTTCACAATCCTTGTTGCTAATAATCAGTTCAATTTAGAGCTGTGAAAGATGAGGAGTTTCTTCATCGACATTACTTTTGTTGTTCATTACCTTTAGTGCAAACTCTTCAGGTGAGGATACAAACGTTATGTCATTTTTCTTGCAATAAATAGATACTATAGATGTTTTTCTTAGTTTATATTAATCATCATGATCATTATCTAAATCTTCGCAACTCTAAAAATGATCTTGTTAGTCTTCAAGGTTGGTGTTAACCCACTTTTACTAGCAGGAATTCTTTTAGGAAAACTCTTCTGCTGCAATTATGGAGGTCTTTGATCTGCTCCCAGCAGCGCGAGAGATTTCATTCAGAACCAAAGAAAGTTTTTCTTTATTGCGAGTAGTGGATTTGAATCCTCGTTTTATATCAATACTTTTTTAATTAGTAGTACTTTCACTAGTAAGATCACTACCTTCTTCTAAACCTTTGTTTTTTTACAAGAAGTGTTTATTAATTTTGTTGCTCTAATTCTCAACTGCAACTGAGTTTCTTTAATGATGAAGCTACTCATCTTCTTGGCTTTAAGTTGATAGAGTTAGCATATGATCCCTATTATCGCTAGTATCAGCGAAAGAATCTTTTTTCATGAAAGACTCTTGAGGAATAAACTCCTTAATTATCTTTTGTTTTATTTAGTATTAATCCTTTTCTCTCTTTCTTTCTTGTATTTGTTATTTAGTGAATGAATGACAGATTCAATGAATAAATTTGTGTATGTGTATGTTTATATGTATGTATGTGTGTATATTAAAAATTCACTAAAATACAAGTTTGATGATGGATTTATTAAATTTCTTTTTATAATATTTATTATATATCATCAAAAGATAGCTGACTCATTCATCCTTTAATCTTTATTATTATTATTATTATTAGTAAGATAAAGCAATATGCTAAATAATGATAATATAAAGAGGTAAGGTGGGGAACTATTTATAAATCATATATTTGTATATATTTGCTATCATTTGTGTATATATTATACAATTTCACATATAAAAATATAATTGTTCTTAATCTAATTAAATAGGAGACTGCAAAAATAAATAAAATACATTGAATAATACAAAATTCAATTTATTGTTTTTATTTATTAGAATTTACTTCCATTTATCTTGTAAAAAAGTATTATTAAATTTCAATCAAAAATGAATTAATTTTTTGTTTTTGTAAAGATTTTACATGAAATATTCTTGGTATTTAAATAATCGAATATATTGCTTCTTTATTGCTAAATAAGTAGTTTTTTATAAAATATTTTAAGTGAAATCAATTTATTTATCTATCAAATTAATTTGTTATTTAAAAGATAATAGAAATAAAAGTATTTTTTTATACAATATATTAATTAAACTAACTGTTTGCTGCATTTAATACAAATTTTTTACTTAGATAAAATGAATTCAATAACATTTTATTCTAAACAATAGTTTAAATTCTTTAAAATTTACTACTTTGATGTATTTTTACCAATTTATTAGAATTTATTCTTTTTTCAAAACTGAAAAATAGGCGCTAGTACTAATTTTTTTAATAATATATTGCAATTTCCTTTAATAAGTCGTCTTAAAAATATATTTTATGACCATTAGTTTTTATTTTTTAAGTATTTTCTACTAATAGTACCCATAAATAAAAAAATATTGTATTTAATTAAAAACCGTTTTATAATATGTAGATAACAAAAAGTAAAAATTAGATTAGTAATTAAAAGAATATATATTTTTGAAAGATCAGTTGTTAAGAAGCTTATTTCTATCATCATAATATCAAAAATTTGTATTGATTTTTAAATTTTTTATGGTTTTTGTAATAATTCGTTTATAATATCTCAAGATAAAATAACTACTAGATAAATATTTTAATAGTTTTAACTGTTTATTAATTTTTAATCTTAGATGTTATATTAAATAAAGTAGAGTGATACAATAATTTTCTGAATGATAAAACTTAAAACTTCAATCATTTTTAATGAACAGGTTATAATAAGAACAAAAAAATTCAGAATAGTAAAAAAACTCATTAATATTTAGATTAAAACATAAATGCTTAACATTAAATAAAGTTTAAGTAATTAACAAATCCTTAACATATATTATAGACCTAAATTATTCATTGAATTTCATTTGAGATAGGCTATTATTCATATACATAAATAAAAAATGATCACAAAAAATAATTGAAGAAACACCAAAAAGGTAGTTTTTAAAGAAAATTCTAAAGTGTTTGAGTTTTAATATAAAAGAAAATCAAGCAAATGAAAGAATAAATTAATACTATAATTTTTTAGTTTTACAAAATGAATGGATAAAAGTAAATAGAAAAAATTTCACTTAATTGATTAATCATTTAGTTAAAATGACAATCAGATTAAAAAATTTTAGAAATAGTTGCCTATAATTAAATTTGATATAGTTTGAACAAATGTATGAATTGAAAGATGAAGGAATCTATCTAAATATTGATTCAAAATATAGATAAATAAAATAATAGAGAAAAGAAATATACATTAAAAATTAATAGTCTTTTGTTAATTGATTTATTTGTTCACTATATATTAATTTGAAAAATAAAAGAAATAAAACATCACTATATTAGTTTTAATATCATATAATGATGACAAACTAAATTATAAATGAATTAATTAATTGTTAATTAATCAATTGGTTTTTTTATTTGACTTTTAAATTTTACAAAAATAAAAATCCATAATAGATCATTTAATTTTAATACGCATTGAAAATTGATCTGACATAATTAAAATCTTGTAGAATATGATTAGCTTTTACTTATGAAATCCTCAAATTTAAATTTAAAAAAAACATAAATAAGAAGATAAATACGGAGTATTCATTTTTTTACGGCATCTTTTTTTTATAATTTCTTTTATAAAGTAACAACTAAAGTAATTTTTTTAAAATATAAATATAAATAACTTAATTATAAATAATTTTATCAACTCCTAATTATGTTTTGTAATTAATTTCCACTACAACTTTTCAACTCTCAAATTTAAATTAATTTCACAGATAGGATTTAAATGTTAAGCCACCTACTTATCTGTTATTAATTTAATAAGCTATTCATTTGATTTTTAAAATAAATGTTTTTAAATATTTAGAATTATCCACTTTTATTTAAAAATATTTAATTTTATTTAAAAATTTTGTTATATATATAAATACTTTTTCCAAATAGATTGTTATGAAGCAAACCAGAATATTTAAAATATCAGGTACAAACTAATATCCTTCCAGATCAAATATGAAAATAAAGAATCTAGTATCTAATTTAAAACAATAAAGAAACAATACCAATTAAATCTTATAGACACTTGTGAACATAATAAGCACTAGAAAAAAAAATCAGATATAATCAGAAAAAATAATTTAAATATAGCATTTAATGCTTTAATAATAAATACTCATAATTAAATATCAATGAAATATTTTATGATTAATTCTATCTATTTTTTAATTAGTATACAAAAATGGATGAATATCATCCTCTTATGAAGGTTTGTTTTTTTTATAATTTAAGTATATATTTTTAACCATATTATAATTAAAAGAATATTTTATACTAATTTATCTATCATAATTAGCTGTTGGTGATATCTCTGAGGCAATTTTTTAGTTTTTATCAGATTATTTTTTGTAATTCATCATCTAAAGTATAAAATTCATCTTCTAAAATACTTTTAAAAACTTATTTTATCACCAATAACTATTTTAATATTTCTAAATATTATTTAGGTAAATAAATTATATATGATAAAAATTTATCCATGAGACTTTATAATTCATAGAATAAAATAATATTTTTTGCCTTTTTGAATTCAGGACTAGAAAATTAACAGTACTGGTCATTATACTTAAAATATTAGCTACTTTTATTTATCTATTCTTTCTGTAAAAATAGATTTAAATTTTAATATTTTTTTGCAATTTTAAATATTTTTTAAAACCAATAAAGTATTGAAATGAAATTAATTTAATTTTAAGAATATTTTAGAACATATTTGTAGTAGAAAACAACTTAACAAAATTTTCTTAAATATCTGTTTTAGTACAATATATTATTATTCTTGAATACTCTTAAATTTTTTCTTTAATAAATAAAAATCAAAATAATTAAAATATCATTTAATATTTTTACTAGATAAAATTTTTGTAAAATTAAAATGGATTAAATTGTTTATTTCAAATAAAATTAATATTATAACATAGAAATTTATCAATAAATTAATTTGAAGAATTAATTTCTTTTAAATTATTTAAAAAACATTTAGATCTAATAAATATATTTTATAGTTACTTTAGATAGTTTTTTTTTAATAAATATGTTTGTTAAAAAAGTATGAGAAAGAAATTTATTGAATTTTCATTTAAATTAATAATGCTACTTAGTGTGTTGCAAGAAATATTAAATAAATTTTAGATTAGAAACCAAATAAATATTATTTATAATTATTTATTTTTACTGGTTTTTACTGGAAAGAAAATTTTTATCCAAAAAACAAGAAAAGGTAGTTAGAATAAATTTTAATTTATAATTTTATTTAAAATCACTTGATCCTTATTGAAAAATAACGTAATTTTTACAAAAAAAGTAAATAAATATATCTTAAAATAATTTTTATTAGTTTTTTTAACTTATTTTATCACTCTTTATACTAAATATGGAATTCTATTAGAGAATTGACTAAATAATTATATATAAAGTTAGCTTGTTTGTTTGTTAGTTAGTTAGTTAGTTATTGGATGATTAGAATAAATAATACGCTTAATTTTTAATTTTATGAATGCAAAAAATGATCAATTTAATTTATTTAGGTCTTCCATGCCTGATCCATGGACATTATCGGGTACTTGTGACTCAAGGAACTCTTTGAATTTGAAGGTCTCATTCATAATTGTATCCATAGAGAATTTTTCTCTTTCTTTCAACTTGGCTATCAATCCCTAATACTTAGCTATTTCTGCATTAGTTGAGCGAATTGAATTAGTAATAGACTCTATCTTTTGCTAGTACTGTCTTGAAGCTTGCTCAAATGCTATTTTTTCACGATTGCGTTCATCTTCAAGTTAAATTTATTGTTCTCTTTGTTGATTAATTTGATGGAGAAGCTCTTTTCTTTTGTTCTCCCAGTCATCATTTATATTTTATAATTCTTTTCTCATAATTTAGATTTATGACTTAAAGTCATTCTTCTTCTTTAAAAGATCTTCAACTTTTATCTTTTGGTCACGTAACTCCTATTCTAAATTTTTAGTCTTTGTTTGCAAACTACTTTTTTAAGAATTTAAATCTGTCAGCTTCCACTATAGATCTTCGTTAACCTTTTTTTGATTCTCTAATTCTTCATTTAATGTTTCAATCGTATTCTATGTTTGCATAAAAATGTGCTTGACATGTTTTTCTAGCCCTAAAGTATTGGTTTATCCTTACATACTCATATATGATTTATTAGGTGATAATGGGTCCATAGGAGCTTAATTCATTTGTAACTTTAATGCTTATATTTTTAAATGTTGAAATTTGAGAATTTTACTTCTAACAGATTTTTGTTTAAAATTTTTATATTAATTAACAAATAATAAAATTTCTTTCAAAGTAAGAGTTATTTAAGTTATTATATATTTTGTATATATGTATGCACACATGCACTATTATATTATTAAAAAACTAGAATCTGTAGTAACATAAATAGAATATTTTACTATATTAATTTAGGATAGTTTTACAATTTAAAGTCATTTTTATAACAAGCTCTTGAACTAAGGTTGATATTCCTAACAAATTAAATTTAGATTATATTTTTGAATTTTAATTATTAATATTAAGTAGTTTTGGTAGGTTATAAATACTTAATAACTACTTAAGTACTACAATAGAAATCAGTTATTTTAATTTTATTATAAAGTTCAATTATTGAAGTAAAATTTAACTTTATCCTTAAAATTTATTATATTAAAAATATTTCATTACTGAAAATAATTAAAAAAATAACAGTGTTTGCAACAACAATAAATGATTTATCTATTTAAATTTAAGTACTTTGAAAAGTTATGGGATTTAATTTTTGTTAGCATTATTATAAAAATACTAAGTGTATTTGATTTCTTAAAAAAAAATTGTGTCATATATTGCTCGACCAAGTTTTTAATAGTTAAAATTATATTTGAAACGATATTATTTTTTTAAAATTATTATTTGATTTCAAACACCATAAAAGCAAATATTTTAATAAATAATTTTATCATAAAATTATTAATATTTGTTAAATGAAAATTTTTTAATTTTAAGTTTAAATTTTCATTGATATTATTTATTTGGTAGTTCATATTAAGTTCTTAATTATATTAATCATTTTTAATCTTATACTTACTTTCATAATATTTTATTTAAAATTGCATAAAATTTATTTATGTTTAAGTATAGTTATTTTAAAATAGAAGTATTTACTAATTTTAGTTGTTAAATTGATTAACAGCTCGAAAATTTTTTAAAATAGAAAACAATTGAGTTAAAATTTGTAAAATTATCTTTAACATAGTCGTATGAATTCTGAATTATCAACTATTAAAAAAACTAATAAGTGAATTTGGCTATATTATCTAAAGAATATATTAATTTCAAAATATATGATTATTATTGCTTAAAATAAATTATTGATTTGCAATATTCAAAGATAACTCTAATTTTATCAAAAACTGCTATTTTCAAGCAAATTTTAACATTTAAGAGTAATTATTTAAAATGGGAAAGAAGGATAAGTTGTAGTAGGTTTCTTTTCTTATGGAAAAGTTATACTAAATTAACAAGGATTTAGGAGGAAATGAACTAATCAGTAAATAATTAGTTTCTTATTAAGCTCATAATTAATTAGTTTTGACCATTCATTTTATTTAATAGAGGAGAAAGCTAAAGGTACTGAGGGAGAATTCGAAAATTTATTTAAAGATTGTAGCGATAGAATGATGAAAGTCAGAGGACTTCAAAAAAATTTAGATTAAAGACAAAATAAATAAGGAAGAGATAGAGAAGTCGTTGTTTAAGAACATTAAATTCGTAGTGAATTATATGATTGCTAAAAATTAGTTGAAGAAATGGATAGAGTTTTGACTAAATAAGCTAAAAAAAAAGTAAGATTAATATTTATTAAAAAAATTTAATTAAATTGGGTAGAAATGTCTTAAAATTAAAGCTATTTTACCATTTTAAAGGAAACAAATAAGCAAGAGTTGGAGTTGAGGAACAAAAAATATTTAAATCTGAAAAATATCCTATATAGAATGATGAAAGAGAATGGAATTAACCCTCCAGAGGAACCATTAAGCGAAGCAGATGAAAGCAAAAGTGCTATTCCAGATTCAGATAAGCATAAATTAAGTAAGGCATACATATGAAAATTATTATTTCATTATTAAACAATATTTTTAACTAGATGTTTTTGGAGTGGCTGGACCAAGAAATGCAGGATAAAGGTATGAAGCAGATGAAAAGGAACAAGCAGCTTTAAAAAATATTGAAGCAAATAATAAAGTTTAAGATGAAATTATTGACAACATTTATGAGCTTGTAGGAACTTTAGACAACAAAGTTAAAAATATTGGCAGTGTAAGATCTATTTTAAAATAGATTTAATATAAATGAATAATTTCTTATAATAAATAGAAATAAGATCATATTTAAGGATAAATCGTAAAGGTTACTAAAAAAGTAGATGAAACTAATAAAATACTTGACACTTAAAATTAGAGGCTTAAAGTTTTAATTACAAAAGTAATTTATTATAATCAATCAGCATAATCATTTAATTCATATTTTTTATTAATTAATAAACAGTATAGAGCTCCAAGTAAATTTTGTTTAGATATCACTTTAATCCTTTTTATTGTTGGTTTAGTTGGTATCCTTTGGACTATGCTTAAATGAATAAATAAATAAATTCTAATTTTTACATTCTTTGCTTATTCAAATATTTTATTATATATTAAAAATCATATTTATAATTAACAATTGTTAATGTATTTTATTCATCTCTTTATATTAAATTTGTAATCTCAATCTAATTAATTAATAAATAACAAAAGTATTTTTTCATATTCACTTATCATAACAAAATACAAAATTTTTTGTTTTCGATTTCAAAAGATTTTGAAATAGAAAGAATTTATTTTGAAATTAATTGGTTCAGATTTTTATTCTTAGTTATTTGATCTACTTATTCTGAGAGTCAATTATTCAAATAAATCATGAAACTATTTATTAAATCATCTGACTGACTCTCTCATTTTAAATTAAGCTCATGAAAAGAATAAATTATTTATTATTTTTAAATCATTACTAAACTAAATCATTTTTTTTAAAGCATAATGGGTAAAAAAGATAAATTACATTAAGTTTCTTTCTTGTTGGATAAGTTGTATGATATTAATAAGCAACTAGGAGGCTATTCTTTCATCAGTAACTATTAACATTCCTTTCCTAAATTTGATTTAAATTTTTATAAATAAAAATAGAATTAATTTTTGTATTTAATGATAATAAATATTTTTTTTAATAGAGAGAAAGATAAATTATGCTGATAACAAATTTGAAGTTTTATTTGTTGAGTGTAAAGATAAGATAATGCAAATAAAATAAATTTAGAAAATCTAAGATTAAGGTTAAAATAAAAGTAAACCTAACCCAAAAATTATAGTTTAAAAGTACTAGATAAATAATATTATAAATGATTGTTAAATATTGATATAATCAATTTATAATTTGCTCAATAAGCAAGCTAAATAAAAAGTAAAATTTTTATTTTAATAAATTTTAGTCAAAATTATTTTGAATTAATTATAAAAGGATACATGTAAATAGCTTTTCGAGTTTTAAAATAAAAAATACAAAGATCTGAAAAGAGAAATTGAAAATATCATGTAAGAATGTGATTTAAATTCAACAATACTTAATCTAGATGATATTGAATTAGTATAAAACCCTGTCAAATATTCTGAAGTAGATTAGCAAAGTAAAAATAACTTTAAATATTTTTTTAACCTAAAAATTATGTCAATAATAATATAATTAGGTATTTTGGATATAAATAGATAAACTAATAGGATAAACAGATAAGAACCTGATAAAAAAGATTTAAGTTGCTTTAAAAATATTGAACATAATAACTAAATATAAGAATAAATTTTAGTTAGTATTTATGAAAAAGCAAAAATTTTAGAAAATAAAGTAAATGAAATTGGAGAAGTAATTTTATAATAATCTATTTTAATAATCTAATGTTAAGTTAAATATTTTAAATTTAAAAATAGAAATAAAAATAGATTGGAAGCTAAGTTGGAAAATCAAATTAAATTATTTAAAAAACGAATACTATCCTTAGTAATTAAACCTAAAGAATGAAAAATTTAGTAACATAAGTAATATTTTAGTTAAAATTAAATTATTCATATTTTTATTATTATAAAAATAGCTTAGAGAACCAAGTAAGTTTTGCTTAGATATTACTCTAATCCTATTTATTATTGGCTTAATTGGAATTCTTTGGTAAATGCTAAAGTGATTCTATCAATATAAAATTTAATAATTCATTAATTTTTTTTTGAAATTTAAATATTTATATCATTAGTTATTTAATGTGAATCCTTAAAAAACTTAAAAATATTAAATAATTTTTTAATAATATTAATTAACATCTCAAAATCTAATCGAAATTAAAGATTTTTTAAATTTAAATTTTAAAATAATAATATTTAGGGTATTTTTATTGTTAATTTTACTCATATTTTAATTTTTATGTGTTGCGTTTAATCAAATATTTCACTTTTAAACAAAACATAAAAATACAAGGACTAACGTATGAATGCATGCATCCATACTTACATAAATAAAAATATATATCCATACACATATACATACATATAATATCTTAATAATTTTATAATTAATAGCTATTTTTTATAATAAAATATTATTTATAAATAATTATTTTAATAAGGATAATTTATAGAAGTAATGTCTACTACTTAAAAAAGCTAGTTAGACCTTTTGTTTGATTTAGACATTGATAAAAATGTATAATAGTTATTTAGTTTATCTAAAATTCAATCAAATATTTTTTTTAAATGCTACTATTAATCAATATCCCTAGAATGATTTTTTTATTTTCTATAAGCCTCCCTTATATGATCTTCAGTGAGATGCACTCTCTCATCTGACTCCCCTGATTCTTTGATTTCTATTGCTATTTTTTCATTTTATTTCATTTAATATTGACTTACACTATTTAATTAATATGTATAATGCTAAATTTACCATCTTCTACTAATCTCTATATATAAACTCTCCCAATAGAAGTCAAAAATTGTATAAAATATTTATCTGTATTCATTTTTTCATCTATTTCATTTATTGCCTATTTCACTGTCACTCTCCACCCATTTAAAGAAGGATTCTATTTTAAAATGCATAAAATTACTTTAGAGTTGTTCATTTAAACTATGCTAATAATATAAAAAGTATACTCTAAAATTTTAATATTATGTTTCATAAAATTAGTCGTAGTCTATCTTACTTTCCTAAAAATATTTCCTATTTTTGAATAATAATAAATATTAGTTTTATTATCATTGATTTTTTAGATACTATTTTGCTTTAATTTCTCCTTCTTTGATGATATCAATCTTCCTTTATAGTTTTTTCAAATCCCTTTGCTTGTTTTTTTTATCTTTTTCGCCATTCTACTAAGGGTTGTTGGCAGCGTTGTCTTAATTTTCTTACATTATGAAATTACTTAAGGCTATTTAATTATTATCACTTATTTAGCGGAAAAATTTAATTCAACCAATTAATTAGATTTTTAAATTAAAATATACTCTAGAATTTCCTGATAAATAAATAAATCAAACAAATAATCAAAAAGATAAATAATATCTATGCTTAAATAATAAATTCTATCAAGGAAATACATTTTGAATATTATTCTAGTAAAGTTACAAGTAACAAATAAATAAATATTTTTTATATACAAGAATAAAATAAATAAATTTAATAATAATTACATAAATTAAAATGGTTTTAAATTTAATACATTAATTTAGTTTTATTTTCATTTTATTTCTGCTTTTAAATAAGATTTAACCTTCAATTTTAACTTTCTTTCAAAACTTTTCATTTATCTTTTATAATTTAGATTCCTTCAAGTGATTCGATAAGTTTTATAGCTTCATAAAAATCATCAACTACATATTTAGCTGGATACATAGAATCATTTTCTTTACCTTAGAATACTCCAGTTCTTTATTTTTATATTATTTTAAATTTAATTTTCTTTAAAAATAAAAAATATATTTGTACTTAACTAATATGGATTTCCAGCCATAGTTATTTGCTCCTAATATGTCACTGTAAGGATCGTCTCCAATCATGTAATAATTTGATATCAAATCTTCTGATCTTTCAATTTTACCTATGCTTTCAATTATCTACTTTCTAAGCACTCCTCCTTTGTTTGATAATAATATAATTATAATTTTAGCTTATTTAAATTGAATGGTAAAATAATAACATACAATATTTATGATATATTAACATATAAAAATAAACTATTTGTTGTAAAAATTGCTATTTTTTAAATATAAATTCATTTTAAATTATTACTTGAATACTCAAATGACTCTCTTTCAGGTTTTCCCATCATATTAATTTATGGATCTAAGTGATACAACTTTGAATGTAGTTTTTTAAAAATCTCATTAAAAGTACCCATATTGATTCTTGGTAGAGTACAAATCTATTATTCATTAAGTTCAACACTATCATTATGCATAGCAATAAAGGAAGGGCTTTGAAATAATTAGCTCTAACGATAACCTATAGATTATCTTATTGAATCAAATATACCTAGAGCCACCTCCCAAAACTAAGGGCTGCTGAATAAAAGAACAACTTCTATACTCTAATTTAAATTTTTTTCTTCTTCAAATAAATTCTTAGATTAATATTGCTATATTAAGTTCAAATAATCATTTTATGTCAGAAAATTTTTTATTTAAAGCTGGTCTGCAACTATTTAGAAATTTTATCTACTTTAATCTCCAATAAATAAAATTTACTTGTTTTAAAAAAAATCTTTGTATCTAAGTAGAGGACTGAAGCTAAGAGCTACATGTTTTTAATCTAACTAAAATTCATTTTATAATTGAAATTAAGAATTAATCATATCTGCTACCAGACTTTAGTTTGCATAAAATTCATTTGTAATACACATAAATGGTATTTAAAATTTAGCATGAGTTGAAGTAAATAGTGGCTGTCTCAAGTCTTGAACTGCTTGCTTAATACGTGAATTTATAACTAATTTATTTCTAAGTAGAACTCCATTAATATCACTTAAAATTGCAGGAAATTTCTTATGCATTCTTTTGATGTTTAATTAATATTAACCTGTTTGTTTCAGTTAACAAATCTCAAATCAATCAAAAATTTGTCTCATAAATTAACTTTTAATTTTATAATTTCACAAAAATATCTTAATTATTTTTTATCACAACTTTATCTAATTTCTACTAAATAATACAATAAAGAACAAAACAAAATACATTAATAAACTAATGATTGGCTGACTTGTTTGAATAAATCTTTCTCTAAACCTTTATTTTTTTAACTCGAAGTATATTTAAAATAAATAACAAAAATTCATAATTTGTCTTATTTAATTGCATATATTATCTCATTGAAAATAGCATAATTATGAATTTAATGTATTTAATAATGGAAAACAATTTATAAATAAAGTCTAAAATTTTCATTAAAAAAATAATTTTCCTTATTAAAAAGTCTTCTTTAATATCACAAAATATAGCTAATTGATAATAAAAATAAATTTAGTGGTTTTGATATAAAAATTTTAATTGTATTCTTAAAAATATTTAAAAAATATTTTAAATAAATTTGCAAAAGATTTAAAGTAGATGATATGGTTGTTTATTTCATATATTTAATTATGATTTATATACCATTTTGTAAATTAAAATGTTTTTAAAACATGTTGTGGTAAAAATTTTAAAGTCATGGATTTCAAAAAATATTAAAATAAATTTTTCAATATATTAATAATTGTATTTCAAAAGAAAAATTATAGTATATTAAAAATTTCTTTGATCGTTTTTATTATTAACCTCAAACATTAAAAATAAAATACGCTAATAGATTAAATTAAATTAAGAATTGCATAAAATGATTATCTGTTTATATTTTTACTAAACTTTTTTTTAAAAGTAATTTGAAAAGATTATTCTTCTATTAAAAATAATTTTAATCTCGTAAAATTTAAAAATATATTGGGAAAAAGTGAACAAAATACTAAAGGAATATACATTAATAAATTTTCATGTTAATAATAAAATGAATATTCATGAAATTGTAAAAAAATAAGGGAAAAAACATGAAATTTTGAAAAACAATTCTTATGAGGTAAAAAGGTTGATTCATTGATTATAAAATAAAGAAACAAATTTATTTATTTATTTGAACTACCTAAACATAAATAACAAAATTAAATTCCAATTATCATAAATGTATTTAATTATTTATTTATTTATTGAATCTACTATTAAATAATTAAAATGGCAAAAATCCTTATTTACTCCTATAAATCAATTCTAAATTAAAATTTTAATCAAAAAAACAAGAATAAGAAGAATTGATATTTAATTAAAAAGCATATTTAGAAAAATAAAGCTAATAAAAACGACTGATATATTAACATCACTCACATATCAACGGTTTCAACCTTTATTTCTTGTTAACCTGATTTTAGCGTAATATCAACAATTATGTATTCCAAAAAATCTTTTCCTATTTTTTTACTTAGGACTGTATCTTATATATTTCCACAATATTTAGACTTTTATTTGTTAATCATCTCATATAAATAATTTTAATATTCTTCGGAGTGATCATCAAACTATCTTATCCTAGCAACAACTTTATATTCAGAATAATTATATTTAAATTTTAATTTTAGTACATCATCATGAGTTATTGAGTACCTAATTTGGATTCCTTATATTTGCTTATGCTTTTAGCCTTTTAAGATTTCGTAAGCATATTTATCAACTTAGGTCATTTTAGCCACACTACCAATACTAGTAATAGATTTTGATAATGATTTTCTAACAATAATTTATTTTCTAAGATCATATGTTTAAGTCTAATCTTGGTAAGACATTTAATCATAATTTTAAGTTTCAGATTGTTAAGTTTTGTTAATATCATTTTGATTATTAGATTGATTTTAGCCCTAACTTATGTTTGCTTAGCTTAAAATAACTTGTTAGTTATTATTTGATTCAATAGGGATTTGATTCAAATTCTATTCTTAGATACACTTTAATATTTTTTCTTAATTTTTTTCTATATTAGATAATCTTTTTTCTAGGTCATTTAGGTTATTGACTTAAGTGCACATATTTGAAGTGTTATTAGTTAGATTTACAGCACTCTATTAAATTTATATGTCTGAAACATTTTGTTGTTGATTGGAAATTTCTTCATAATGATTTTGTTAAAAGCGTGTATCACTATCAGTCTATGTGCCTCCTCTAGTTCTTACTGTTTAGTTTAATGAGCTCTTATCAGATTTTAAACAGCAAAGATTCATAATATAATTAAAAAGGATAGAGAGTTGCTTTTAAATTTAGAAAAAAAAATATCTTTATTGAAAAGAAACATTTAAAAACAATTAAAATGTCAAAATTTTAATTTAGTTTAGTTAGATTATAAAAGAATAAAAAATTACAAAGTAGGTCACTATTCCAAGAATCAATCATCTGATGACGAACTTTTTGAAATTATATTTCTAAGTTATTTTTAAATATTTTACTATAAATTCTACAATAAAAATAAATATTTTTAGATTTAACTAGAAATCTATTTATTAAAATAATCCTAAACATACCTATTAAATTTTAGTAATAAAAATTTATTTCTCTTTTGTAAACAATTTTGAGTGTTAAAAAATATTTAATTACTTAAAAATCTTTGCAAAAATTAATATAATCAGAAATAGATAAATTAAAAATATTAAATTAGTTACCTTTTAATATGTTTTTATTTAGATTTTTATTAATAAAAGTTATTGAATTCAATACATTTTAGTTAAAATAACAATTATTTTAATTTTAAGAATATATTTAAATCTAATTTTTAGTGATTTATTCTTTTTAATTATTTTTAAAATATTTTTCTTTAATTTCATCTTGAATTTTTTAATGGTTTAAGATAATATTAATTTTTGATGGAACATTATTTAATTAATTAAAAGTTTTAATAAAATGAAAATTAAATGCATTACTTTTGATAAATAAAATAATTCAGTTGATTCATCCTTAGTAACTCCTTTATTTAGAATATGTATAATTATACGTTAAAATCTAAAAAAAAATTTATTAAATTTAATAAAAATATAAAATTAATTAAATACATATATTTGATTTATAAATAGCACACATTTAACGAATTATAAAAATATTTTTATATGTTTTATATTGTAATTACTTTTATTATTAAACTTATTCGATAATATTCGATTTTGTAATTTCTTAACTAAATTTCTTTAATCATAAAATTGGGTAAAATACTTATTTAAAAATTATCTTATTTAAGAGCACTAACGGTAATTACTATATAATCGTTGTAATATGGAATTTCAACTTCTACCCCATATTTTGCTCCCCACCCCTCATCCAAAAATATTCTATTTAAGTCTAGTAAAAAATAGACAATAAAATTTTATTTGACCCAAAAATAACTAAAAAGTTTAATAAGTTCAATTTGTTTATAAGTTAAAGTATTATAAACTTTAATGTAATATAAAGTAAATATACAAATAGCAAAAATATAAATCTGATAGGAAATTTAAATAAATTAGAATAATGATAATATTTTATAATAAAAAAAATTTATATTCTTTGATAGAATTAGAAATAATAATAAGATGAATGCATAAATATTAATATAAATTTAAAAATGTATACTATAAAATTACTGATCTATTTATATATTTATTTTTCTATCTATCTAATTATTATATTTTTAATTTTTGAAAGTATATGTTTATGATTATTTTAAATATTTTTAAGTTTATTTTATTTATTAAATTAGTTAATGGAGTTGAGTAAAGTGAATAAATAAATAATTAATTAAATTAATGATTACTCATTTAATTTGTTTGTTTGATTTTTAGTTAGTTAGTTAGTTATTTATTTCATGAATTAAAAAACTTTGATGCAGTCATTTTCATCTGCTTATTACTGTTAACTAGTTTCTACTATTTCCTAATTTTGAAAGTGACAGGTTCCTTACCACGCTTTTGATTTTCAGATGAAATCATCAACATTTATGATTTTGCAAGATTAGGGTCACCCCATGTAGGGTCTTTAATATTTTATAAATCAAACTTTTCAATTTCTAAATGAAGACGGGTTATAGGTTCTTTTTACTTATTGGTCTTTGGAGAGGTCAAGGCTGTCTAAATAGCATATTCACCATTTTCAACAGTTTTTTCTATTTAAATTTTAAGTTATTATAACATAAAATAAAAACATTTTTGTTACCTATTGAAGGGTAAACTGTTATTTTTTCTAGTTTAATTTATTTTTATATTTCCTTTTTTTTTCTCTCTTTTTCTTGCTTTTCTTTTTCCTTGACTATTAGCTATTGTCTTAGTTGATCTAAAGAGTCTTCATTCACGTTTTCTTATGATGCATTTGATTTCCTTTTCTTTTTGTCTTCTAACATATCCTCTAAAGCTTCTTTATTGATGATTCTCATTTGAGACTTATAATAAATAAATTTGAAAATAATATTTACAACTAAAGATAAATATTTGTAATTATTTACAGAGCTATGAAGAGATAATCTTGGATGTTTTCCCTCTTTTTTCATGAAATCTTCCATCATTTGCTAATTAAATTATGTTTAAGTGCCTCCTAAGTAATTAGCTACAGGTCTATTTGGTAGACTTTCTATCATTTTATCGTACTCTCCTTTTCTCATTCTATTTTACATACTCAAAAACCCACCTTCCATTATCTATCCTTGCATAGTCATAACTTTGTTTCCTGGATTAGGCTAAATATTAATTTTTAAATTAAAAAAACTAAGAAGAGGTATTATATTAAAAAAAATATTCTAATTCATTTAGACATTTCATTAATATTATAAATTAGAATGAAGTAATCAAGATTAAATATTGTTTTAACATACCTTTAATGTGAGGTGAAGCAAAGGCTAATTATGAAACTCTAAAGTTTCAAGGAAATTAGGCTTTTATTGTGATCGAAAGTTCATTTATTTAACCTTTTTACCATCTTCATTTGGCTTATTTAATTTGAATTGATAAATTAAGCAAAAATACATATTTAAAATATTTTACAAGGATAGCCTCTTTCACTATTTCTGATGGCGTCTTGGTTTTTGCATCTAAATTAATTATATTATTAGGAATTGGCACTTAATCTCTATCCTTTTTAAGATAAATTATATTTCCATTGTAATCATGAGTAAATTATTTGTGCTTGAGTAGTCTTTGAGCATCCTTTTTTTTGTTTTCGAAATCTAATTCATCTTGCATTTATTTTTTTTGTTTTTCCAACTCTAGGGCTTTCACATAATCCTTCTTTTCTCTAGCGAGTCTCAATCGATCTGCTATTGGATCAGGTTCAGGTGGTGCTTCATCAGGCATCCTAATAAGTTCTGGCTAGTACTTTTCAGGCTTTTTTTGTTTTACTGTAGATTCTATCATGTTTTAGTTGATTTTACTCAGAGTCATAATTTTTTGTGAAGCAGACAATAATTTATTTGTTTTTCTTGATGCGAAAGAGAACTTGCTCGAATTACTCATAATAGATTTAGCATCGCTATCATCTTACTCTGTTTCATCAATAATTATTTACTTGAAATCTACATTAACTGCATAGATTGACCTTGAATCATAGTTTAAAATTGGCTTTATTAATACAAAACAAATTAATATAATGAAATTGAATTAGCTTTTTAGATTATTATCATTTCTTTGTTTATATTTGCATTATTTTTTCATTTCTTAATATTTGTAAAATCTAATTAATTGATTGTAGAACACAAATCTATTATAATTTTACTGGTTCTTTCTCCTCTTTCCAAAACGTTTTTAATTCTTCCTACGATTCACCTTTATCTCCATACATCATTCCCTATTAAATTAATGCACCCATCAATCCATTTACTTCCTTAGCCTGAAAATCAGGCATTTTTGTTATGAGGTATTTTTCATACAAATTATTTGCTCCTTTTGTGAATAACAAATCAACAATTTAAGATGTAATCACTTAAGTTTCTAGACTGAGAAAAGGCTAAGAATCATAAAAATTCAACATTTATTAATATTTCTCAAATTTATCTAAGCTCTTTTTTCTAGAGGATTAAAGAGAAGAGTCTGAATACCGAGATCTATTTAGCTCGCTATCTTCATCATCCTCATACATATTTACTAAACTAACTTCTAAGCAACTATTATCAAAGTACCTATCTATTATTAATAAATCTATAAATATCTTATTCTTTTAAACTCAAAAAAAAAAATAAGAAACTGACTGATTCATACACAAATACATAATTTTCATATTAAATAAGTTTTTGCTCAAAAATTAACTATAAAGCATAAGTTATTAAATAATACACTAAAAATGCCAATTATTATTCATTTATTTTTATATTTTAAAAAAATATTTTAATTTCAAATAAATTTCAACATCATAAAAAAATTGATTGCGAAAAAAAATGATAGGATTAAAAATTTTAAAAATTAAATATTAAATAAATAAAAATTATAATATTAATTGTAAAAAAGAAGATCAAAATTATTAAAATAATCATTGTTAATTTTGAAATTAATTGTTTATTAAAATTAACGAATTAATATTTATTTAGATTATTCAAATAAACAAATATTTTTTTTTATAATTAAAATTTATAAACCAAAAAATCTTATCAAGTATTTTTTTTAAAATTATTTTCAAATTTTTATTTTATATCAAGCAGCTTTATTTAATATTTAATTGGTAATAATAATTACGATTGAATGTTTGTTAAATAAATTCAGTAAAAATTAAAAGAAAAAAATATATAATCTATTATATATGGAGTTCTATCTAAATCTAATTATAGTTTTTATTATTTTAGAGCTTAACAAAAAAATTTTATTTCAAAACAAGATCTATTTTGTTACATTCGTTCAATTTACAAACTGCTTTTAAAAGAAGAAATGACATGCAAAATCTCTAAAATTAAGCAAGTCTATTTTTAAAAACAATAAGCTCTCCTTTATTTTTTTATAAATTTGATATGGCTTTAATATATTAAATATTTACTCTTTTGTTTTATTTAAGCAAAATTTAATGGCTAAAAAAAATAAATTAATAATTCTTATTTTTACTTAATTAATTAAATAAAATATTCTATTTTTAGAATTAAATGATAAAATCTATTTATAATTTTCTCATTAAATTCATGCTTTATTTTTTTTTAAGGGAATAAGCTAATTATATCAAAAAGTTATTTTGTTTTGTTTGAGATCAAAAGTTTTTTATTATGGTGCTTTTATTTAATTTGAAATAATCCGTTTACACTTTGTTGTTTTATTTATTTACTAAATTTATTTATTTATTTTTTTGCTTATTAATTTTTTTTGTGTAAGACCTAGGTCATATAATTTTTAATCGTATTGCAATCTTTACTGCTTTAATTTTATGAAATTAGCAAATTCTTATTACTTTTTATTTTGGTTCATTATTCAATATAAGTAATTGAATGTTATCTTATTAATTATATAAAAACATATATTATTTTTTAATTAAAAAAAAGAAAATTAACAAGTTTTAGATAAAAAAGTCTGCTAGATTTTAAGTTATTATTAATTTAAGAGTACTCATTTAAAAGCAATTAGGTTTAACTAAATATTACGTACAAAATAAGGATAGGTGTTGCTATATCTAAACCAATCATAAAGATCTAGATACATAAGAATGAATAAACTAATTTTATTTGGGTTTAGCATATTTTATTTGCTCCATAATAAAATAATTTAGGCTGAAGAGATAAATTATGAGAATAATTTTAAATTTACTAAATTATAAGCAATCTAATCTGAAATAATGATTTAATTATCTTAAAAGAAGACTTAGGACATTTAGATATTTTTATTTGATAATAATGCACCAAACGAATTGACAATTTAGCTCTTTAACTCAAATTTAAAGCAATTAAATAGGTAGAAGATGTATGAATTTCAAATGTAAATTTATGAATATCCTCTTAAATAGGACTGTGAAAAAGCTTTTCTAGAATAGAAATTTAATCCTGAAAATTTGATAGCAAGTTTGTCATTTACTCATATATTTGATCATATAACATTTATTAACAGTTACTATTATTTGATGTTTTCAAGAGTTAATTATTATAGATAGCCCGGTAGTGTTGATGTTTCCGCTGATTAAGAAGCTTTAGATACTAACTTGATGCTTAAATTTACAGATAAACCTAATTGTAAGTAAAATGGCTATTATAATAGCGATCAAAATAAATGTATATGTTAAAAGAATAGATAAGGTCCATTCTGTGAGTATGATGTTTTACTTGTAACTAATTACTATCCCTTTGAAATAGTTATAAAGCCGTTTGAAGGTAAATACATACAAATCTATAAAATATAATAAGAAGATGAGTTAAAATTAGAAATGAATATTAAACATTCGATAATTCCAGATATACATATGTATAGATCTGATAATCCAAATGAATTCCCTACACAATACAAATACTTTGAAAATCTAGTCTTTAATTCCAAAAATAACACAAATATAATATCAGCTAATCCTCACGAAGGATAAATATTATTATTTATAAGAAATCCATCAAACTCTCAACTTTATGCAACCTTAAACATTAGAAACGTTACTCTTATTGACGAAACTAACTTGATATTATTTATATTGCTTTCTCTTTTTATTACTTTGGCCATTTCTTTTTTCTGTATCTTCTGCTTTAACAAAATCAGCAAAGTAAGTTAAATTAAATTATTTAAAGATTGTTAAATATTTATTTTTCAACAAAACATTTGGTAAAATATATTTGGAATCACGCAGTGTTTATTAACATTAGGAGATGCTAATTAGTACAAAATATATTAATATTTTAAAAGTATTTTTAAATAAGCAATTAATATACTTAATTAAATTCCTCCCAAAAAGCATAAAATGTAAATAATATTTGACAACAAAAATTAGAAATCTAAATTAGTTAAGTTAATTAATTTTTAAAAAGTATTTCGAATGCGTTATGATAATTAATACTATTGATTAAAAGCGAATTAAAATTCAAACTCATTATCCTTCAATTCACAAGAAAAATAAATAATAAAAAAAGAGAATCATATTTTATATACTAGCTTAAATTCATCCTGAGAATGTTTTATTTAAAAAAACTAAAAAATATTTAACTTATTTTAAAATTAAAGTGACAACTAAATTAAACAAATACCAAATCTTTAGTTTCCTAAATACTTTCATTTTGAAATAAATCATTTTGATTAAAAAAGGATTAATTTCTTTTAGTGAGGTTACTTTTTACAATTATTTATTTGTTCTTTCATTTTTGTTTTTGATCAAGTTTCTTAAGTTTATCAAAAAAAGGATAAAAATAATAATTTAAATGGAATCTCATAAATTAAGTTTTCTATTAAATTACTTTTTAATTCTTATCATTAATTTTGAAAAAATTATTCATAATAATAGAAAAAGAAAGCAGATAAGCATGTAGAACTTTAAGAAACAAATGAAGGATAAAACAAAGAGAATTAATAGAATGGTTAAAATGGGGCTACGCCTTAAACAAATAGAAATTTAATTGATGAAATTAAAACTCAAAGAGAAAACTAAATTAAAAGTGAGATGGAATAAATTACTCAAGGCAATAAATATGAGTAATTTTAACTCGAAACTTCCTTTAAAGAATAAATATGTGCTATTTGTTTAGATGATTTTGAATACGATGACTTAGTTAGAAAGACAAAATGCAATCACATGTTTCATGAAAAATGCTTATATAAATGGTTATTTAAGTATATCAGTTGCCCAATGTGTAATTAAGATTTAACATGAAATTTAATTCCTTATAATACTCTTAAAGCCTCAGATATATTTAGATATATCCTTCCTTCTATTGATATAATATTTTATATGCATAAATATTATTTTTCATTATAATTTATTAGTTAAAATAATTTATCAATTTCTTAATATTATATTTTTATATACTAGCACTTGTGTAATTGTTTATCACTTTAAATTTAGCATTTAAAACATAAAATCTTCATATCAAAATAACTTATCAAAATTAATTGAAAAATAAAAAAATTTGTTATAATAAATTGAATTAAATTATAAATTTTGTTAAAAATATAAACAAAAATAAATTAAGAAAGTTAGATGATCTATTTTAATTTCACTTTTTAATAATTTAGCTTACTTCTTGAAAAAATGCTGAAATATATTATAAAATTATTATAGTTTCCAAGAGACCACCGTTTTAAAGGTTAATACATTTTTTATACTAAAAATATTCTAAGTTTTGATATAATTTAAAATGAATTAATTAGCTTTTTATGAAGAAAATATAGTTTTGTATGAAAAATATCATTACAATTTAATAAAAATTTTATTCACATTTTATTTTTAATTAAAACAAAATTAATTAAAAATAAATATTAAACATAATATACAATTAAAATGTTATATACCATAATAGAATTTAAAACAAAAAGCATAAATAAACTCTGAGTTTTTATTTATGTTTCTAAATTCTGATTTATATAATTAAATTTATATTAAGTTATAAAATGCTTTAGTTATAGTAAATAGTTTATTTCTGCTAAATTTATTAAAGCTTGCAAATGGGCTAAACAAAAAATTATCTAAATTGTTTAATATGAAGTTAGAGCTAACTTTGTAAGCTCTAATACAAAAACAAGGGCATTGCTACTTTAATTTAAGAACTGAAAAGTATCATAAACTAAATATCTTGCTTACAGATAACTAAATTAGTAAAAAAGGAGCCAATGTTTTAGGAAAAAAATTTAGTGAAAAATTGTAATTTTTTTGATGAAAATTATGTATGAGATTAGAAAATTTAATTTAAAGTAAAGGCACAATATAATTTTATCATAAAATTATAATTTACAAATTATTTTTTGATTAAAATTTAAATCAATCTATTTAAATGAAAAAATATTTTTTAATTTTTTGAAGGAATAAAAACTATTTTAAATAAAAATTTATTAGATTAATTTTCAAAAATTTTCTTTATTTTTGGAATTTAATAAATTTATGGCTTAAAAACATTTATCAGATCAGTTTAGATATATTTAATTCATATGAAGAAAAATATGTTAAATTTACAAAATGCAAATATCAAGCTTAACTTTTAAAATAGCAAGTTTTTTAATTTGAAGGAATATATTGAATTAGACAAACAAACAAAAAACATCAAAATTAGACTTGTTTACAAATTTAAATGATCAGACAATATCAGTAAAATTAGATCATTTACTTAATGTATATCTTCTTTTTTAATTAAGATAATTCTTTTATCAAATTATTCTATGAATTAGTTAATATGAATTTAGAAATTTAGAAAGATAGAAAAAATTAATTTGTGTATTTTCTGAGAGTTTCTATTTGATAGTAATTTTTTAAATCGATTTAGTCTTATGATCGATTTCAAATATAAAAAAAATTTAAAAGAATCTCTATGTCAAAAATAATTAGTGAAATATAAAATTAAATAGTAGAAGAGAAAACATCTTCTTCTATGGATATATGCTACAACAATTTGAGCTACTCAATAGTTTAGAAGTAAAAGGAAAGGATCATTTTGAACAATATTTCTGGTAAATTTAGTAAAGGTTTGAATGCAATATTAGGAGGATCTGGTGCTGGTAAAACTTCTCTCTTAAATATTTTATCTAAAAAAATAAGGTAATTTATTATATGAATAATAAAAAATTAACAATATTTTATTTTTAAAAGCTCTGAAAAGCAAAAAATTTAAGGAAAAATAACTTTGAATGGTGTAGAATATGATAATTAAATGTTTCAAAAATTTGCTTGTTATGTAATGTAGGAAGATATATTATTACCAACTCTCACTGTTAGAGAATATTTAGAGTTTGCAGCCAATCTAAAGCTAAAACATCTAAGCTAATAAGATAGACTTTAACAAGTAACAAAAATAATAAAATTGCTAATGCTTTAAAAGTGTGAAAATACTTTAATAGGTGATCATTTAAATAAAGGAATTTCAGGTATTTTAATTTAAAATATATTTATTTATATGATCAATTTCCTTTTTGAAATTATAAAATTAATTCACTTTTATTTCTCAATAAGTTTATTAATAATAATTAATAAATAAGGTGGTGAAAAAAAGAGAGTTTGTATTGGAATTGAGCTACTTAGAAACCCAAAAGTATTATTTTTGGATGAGCCAACAAGCGGATTGGATTCATTTACAGCTTACATGATTATAAAAATGCTGAAAGATTTTGCATATTAAGAAAATCGAACTATTATATTTACTATTCATTAACCATCTTCAGATATATGGGAACTTTTTGATTAGGTTACTTTATTAGTGGAAGGAAAATTTATTTACAATGGACCCAGAAAAGAAACAGTTGATTATTTTACAATTAAGGGATTTTCTTGTCCTAAATATTCTAATCCCGCAGATTATTTAATGAATCTTATGTAATCTAGAGACTATGATATTTACAAAAAATTATGGATATAGGAAGAAAATAAATAAGAGGATAATTCAATTCATTTATCTATTTTATAAAAAAGGGATTAATAAAATAATTATAATTCATAAAAATAAAATAATATAAAAGATTTCTTTTATGCTTTAAAGATTTTAACTAAACGTTAATTACTAAATTTAAAGAGAAACAGAATTCTTTTAAAGGCTAGATTTTTTTAATCTCTTTTTATGAATGTATTTTTAGGTTTAATTTACCTAGACTAAAGTAGTAAAACAAGTACTCCTTAGGATATTTTACAAATTTGCAAATCAATTCTTCTTATTGGATTAGGAAGTTTTTTTTCAAGTATGAATCCTTAAACATTGGCTTTTTCTTCAGAAAGGGCTGTTTTCCTTAAGGAAGAAAATTCTAAAATGTATACAACATTAAACTACTATATATCAAAGACACTTCCAGAAATATTTGTATGCTCTTGGTTTGGATTATAAGTATCATTGATTTGCTATTTTATGTATGGTTTCGGGGGAGATGCATCTAATTTTTTCTTTTTTGCTCTTAACTTCATGCTCATAAATAATATAGGGAGCTCAATAGGTGTACTTTCTTGTTGCTTATTTGAGTAAGCTAGTATAGCAGTTTCTTTTTCTATTACTTTTATGATGCCTTAAGTCTTATTTTCAGGAATATATAAAAATGTTAACGACTTACCTGCATATGTTTCTTGGTGTAAATACCTCACTCCTACATTTTACTCAACAAATGCAATAGTAAATGATTAATTTGAAGGGAAAAACATTCCTTTTAATCCAGTAGAGTAGCTTCATTATGATTTTAATAAATGGCTTAGTATATTGATTTTGATTTTACTCTATCTAGGAATTAACTTAATTTCCTTCTTATTACTTTAATACCGTAGAAGAGCTTTGCAATGAAGCAAAGTATAAAAATTTATAAAATTTAATTAACTTAATTTAATTATGCTATATTAAAATGTATAAAAATGAAGCAAAATAGTTATTATTTTATTTTTTGTTTAATTTTAAGTGATTTAAAGATTAAATAATTATTATTGAATATTAAAGTAGTTTTAAATATATTTTTCTTTTTGAGTTTGATATAATGTATTTTTAAGAGTAAAATTTATTATAATTTTATATTAAGTAAATAAATATTTAAAATGGGTAATATAAAAATTTTCACCCATTTTGAAGTGGACTAGACAAATATTAATTTAATAGATGCTTTTCATATAATTAAAATGTGTTACACATTATTTTTAGAAAACTACAAATTACGTATTTTAAGTAGATAATAATTAATTTTTTGTCTTAACTTTATGCTCATAAATAATATAGGGAGCTCGATAGGTGTTCTTTCGTGTTGCTTATTTGAGTAAGCTAGTATAGCTGTTTATTTTTCTATTACTTTTATGATGCTTCAAGTCTTATTTTCAGGAAGATATAAAAACGTTAACGACTTATCTGCATATGTTTCTTGGTGTAAATACCTCACTCCTACATTTTACTCAACAAATGCAATAGTAAATGATTAATTTGAAGGGAAAAATATTCCTTTTAATCCAGTAAAGTAGCTCCATTATTATTTTAATAAATGGCCAAGTATATTGATTTTGATTTTAGTCTATCTAGGAATTAACTTAATTTCCTTTTTATTACTTTAATACCGTAGAAGTTCATTGCAGTGAATCACTATATCAAAATAAATTTATAAAATTTAATTAACTTAATTTAATTATGCTATATTAAAATGTATAAATATGAAGAAAAATAGTTATTATTATTTTTTTTTAAGTGAATTTAAGATTAAATAATTATTGTTGAATAATAAAGTAGTTTTGAAAATATTTTTCTTTTTGGGTTTGATAAAATCTATTTTTAAGAGTAAAATTTACAAAAAATTTTATATTAAGTAAATAAATATTTAAAATGGGTAAATAAAAATGTTTCACCCATTTTGAACTAGACTAGACAAATATAAACTTAATAGTTGCTTTTCGTATTCATTAAAAAGTATAACATATTATTTTTAAAATACAACAAATTACGTATTTTAAGTAGATTATTACTAATTTTACACTTGAATACTTTTTCTATTGTTAGGTAAGAAGCAAATTAAATAATTTGTAAAAAAGAAGAAGAAAATTAAAAGTTTTATTAAATTTGTTAAATGTAATGTTAAGAAGAAATTAATAATGATGATATCAGACAAAAATCTAATAAAAATTTAAAACCATATAATGGTATGAAAAATATTTATTTATATTGTTAATATGAGTTATTAATTGAAATAAATTGTCTAAAAAATATTTTAACAAAACATAAATTACAAAATATTGAAAGAAAAATAATTTATTTCTTTTGATGCTTAATAGCCACTTTAATTTATCTTTCTAAAAACTTCTAAATTATCAACTAACTAATATCCTTTTTATTAATTCAAGTGTATGAATTTATTTATTATTTACTATTCAATTGCTCAAAATACTAACTATTCATTTATATATTTCTATCAATAGTATGTAAATTATTTATGAATTCAAAATTTAGATTCAAAATAAATAAAAATTATCTTTTATTCAAAAAAATTATTTTTTTAATTTTTTTTACAATTTTTAAAAATTTGTTTTAAAAAATAAAAAAGAGGTTTCAAAAAAAGTAGCTCTAATTATTATTATTAGTATCATATATATATATTATTAATTAAATAATTTTTTTAATTTTAAATTTTGTTAAATCATATTATTAATTCCACCGCAAAAAAGTACAGTTACTGCTTTCGAAAAATTTGTATAAATTATTAATTATTTGATAGAGTATTTGTATACTTTATTTTGTTTAAATAGGTCTATGATATATATTCAAGCTAATTTTGTAAAAATCTATTTATTTCAGTAGAAAAAAAATTGAAAGGGAAATTTATTAATTTAGTTTTGTTAGTTTCATCTATCTAAAAAAAAAAGATAAAATGAAAATATGATTGGAAAATTATTTCAATTTTATATTAAATAAATTTTCCTTAAAATATGATCATTATGAATAGATATTTTTTACATAAATAGATATATTTTGAAATTTAGTTTTGTTCGATCTAAAGATAAATTAATTATAAATTGATGGTAAAAAATTAGCATTTCTGAATAAATAAATAAGTAAATAATTAATCCTATTTTTAAATCAATATGTTTTGTAGTTATTACTTAAATCCAAATATAAATATAACTATTTATTTCAATATCTTCATTTTTTCACCATTTTAAACTATTTTGGAAAAATATTAAAATATTTTTTACTTGATTAAAAATAAATCTAATTATTATATAAATTAATATAAATAATGGCATTTGAAAGTAAATAGTTTAGCTTTTTATTCTGTCTACAAATTTTGACTCAATTTAATTACAAAATAGTTCGATGCATAAGTATCTATTACATTATTTTACATTTAAATATGTTTCAAAAGCTTTATTTTTGGTATTATATTAAACTAATAAATAAATTATAAAATTCAAAATTATTTCTAAAAATGTCCAAATTTGATTATGAGGAATACCTTTAAACATAACCATAATAATATAACTTGAATATCAGCTATAACAACATTTGCTATTATGTAAACGATGGAAAAAAAGAAAGAAAGGTATTAGATAACTTAAGTGGAACCTTCAAAACAGGGTTAAATGCTATTATGGGAGGATCTGGGTCTGGGAAAACTTCTTTCTTAAATGTATTAGCCAAAAAGATAGAGTATTTCAAATTAAAAATTAGTTTAATAAATAGATAAAAATAATAATAATTTTAAAATAGCTTCAAAAAGCATAAAGTTGAAGGTCAGTCAACAATTAATGGTTTAGAGTATGATTAAAGATTGTTTTAATGTTTTGCTAATTATGCTTAGCAAGACGACATTTTACTACCAACCTTAACTGTCAGAGAGTATTTTGAATTTGCATCAAACCTTAAACTATAACATTTGAGCTACGAAAAAAGATAATAATAAGTAGATAAAATTATTAATCTACTTATGCTTTAAAAATGTTAAAACACTTTAATAGGTGATCATATAAATAGAGGAATTTCAGGTAATATTTTTATTATTAAATTATATTATGATTTAATTTCAGTATTCAAATGTTAAAATTTAATTTAATAAAATAGGGGGCGAGAAAAAAAGAGTTTGTATAGGAATTGAATTAATAGGAAACCCAAAAATTTTATTTTTAGACGAGCCTACTAGTGGATTGGATTCCTTTACAGCTTTTGTGATAATTAAAATGCTAAAGAAATATGCTGAAGAATAAAGTTGCGTGATTATTTTCACAGTTCACTAGCCTTCTTCAGATATTTGGGAACTTTTTGATTAAGTTACTTTTCTTTGTGAAGGAAGATTTATATATAATGGTCATAGATAAAATATAAAAGACTACTTTGAAAAATAAGGATTTTATTTTCCCATACTATAAAATCCTGCAGATTACATAATGAGTCTAGTGCAATCATAAAATCAATTAATTTAAGAAAAATTATTAAATACATAACAACAACAAAGCGATTAATTATCTAATTAACTTGAATAAGTAAATTAAGATAACACTAAAGAAATATGCAAACATAAATTAGATTTATTACTGAAAAAATAAAACTTTTAAAATTTTACTAGCGTATGCAAAATTTTGATAAAAAGATAATTATTAAATATAAAAAGAAACAGAATTCTGTTAAAAGCAAGGTTTTTTTAATATCTTTTTACTAATCTATTCTATGGTTTAATCTATTTTAATATTGGAAACAAAACTGAATCTCCATAAGATGTCTTTTAAATCTGTAAATGTATTTTGTTACTAGGGCTAGGATGCTTCTTTTAAAGTATAAATCCTTAAACTATTACTTTTTCTTCAGAAAAAGAAGTATTCATGAAGGAATATAATTCTTAGATGTATTCAGCTTTAAATTATTATTTATCTAAAATGCTTCCTGAAATAATACTTTGCTCATATTTTGGTTTATAAGTCTCTTTAATTTGCTTTTTTATGATAGGATTTGAAGGATCTACTTCCAATTTCTTTTTTTTTGCTTTGAATTTCATTTTAATTACAAATATCGGAAATTCGGTAGGTATCCTTTCAAGTGCTATGTTTCAATAATCTAAAGTGGCTATTTCATTTATCATTGGTTTTTTGGTGCCTTAAGTAATGTTTTCTGGTGTATATAAAAATCTCAATGAATTACCTGAGTATGTATCTTGGTGCAGGTATCTTACTCCTATATTTTATTCAAATAATGCCATAATTAATGATTTATTTTCAGGAAAAACTATGATATACAATCCTGTTGAACAATTACACTTTGATTTGGACAAATGGGTATGCGTAATATGCTAAATAATATTATTTATAAGTAATAATATAATAGCATTTTTGTTTTTATACTATAAAGCAAAATTGCTTAGATGAAATATATCAATATTGATATTTTATTTATTTATATATCATAAAAAAGTATTTATCTTATTATATTTAATTTCAATCTTTATTTGATTTTGAATGTTTATGATTTAACAATTTATGATAAAATTAAGATTATAAATTTTATTATTTTTAAATAATTTACAATAATAAGTATTATGATTATAGTGTATTAATTTTATTTTATTAAAAATATGAATACTATTAAATTTATTCTATTTAATAAAAAAATTAAATAATTTGAGAATTAAAATATTTATAAACAAAAAATAGGATTTTAATAATAGAAAATTAATCTAAAATAAATATTAAAGGGGTAAATAAATAACTATTGAATAAATATTATTCAATTTTAATTACTATTTTTATAATAAATCAAAAAAAATAAAGAAAAAAAATGATTTAAATAATTTTTAAATACAGATAGATAATTACATAAAATAGATAATAAAAGTAAATTTATAAAATATTTAAAAAATACTTTTGAATTTCAATCATCAATATTTAATATATCCTACTTCAGTTTTAAGACGCTGTATAATTTTTTAATTATTGTGCTATTGGTTTTAAAATGAAGCTATGCAATAATAATCTTTAGTAGTGATACAAATGTTTGAACTGCAATAATATTAATAGTGACAAGTATTGCAAATAATTAAATAAATTAATTTGAATCAGATGGTTTTTGTCCATAGGTTAATGCTACCATGCTGTAATAATAAAATGACCCTAATAAAATCTAGAATATTATTGATAAAATTTTTCCAACTGCCCCTTTTTAAAATATTATTGATAACATAAATGAACCAATTTCTACTATGCTAGCGTTCAGAAATCCAAAAAGAATCTATTTGAGATTTTGTATAGAGTGAAAAGATTAAATAGACAAAGCCAAAGAATGGATTATTTTTAAGTAAAATAGTGAGAAACGAGCTGATCTTGAAATATTATTGCTAAAAATATAATAAATACCAAATGTTGGATGAAAAATTAATATTTTTTTAACAAAAGAATGTCTATTAAATATATTTGCTGTGTTTTAACGGCTCTATCTGTCTTCAATATCTTCAATATAATTCTACTTTTTAATTTGTTATATTTTTTGTATTTAATCTTATTTTCTACTTTAATTAATTTCATTTGACTTATTATCTTCTTATTATTCTAACTAATTAATGTTTTCCTGATAATTAACAAATTTTACAAATTTTTTTCTATTTTCTTATTTTTAATTAGATAATTTTTCTCCTTTTTCTGATTTTTATGATTTTTCTGATTTTTCTGATTTTAAGAATTTTTCTTCATTCTGCTATGATAAAATTTTTTAATTGCTAAAATTATCTTATTCTTATATTTTATTTTCTGTTTTATAAAATTAATCTTCTTTCTTCAAATTTAACTATTCTAGCTATAACTCTAAAATTTAATTTGCTTATTTTTGTTGATTTTCAATGGTATTTTCAATTTAAAAGTTTTATTTTTGCTTTCTATAATTATTTAGAGTTGAAGTTTTGAAATCCAAGTGTCTGCCTAAAACAAACAGCCCAAAGCAAATTATAGTAAATACTTAAGCCATCCAAAACACTGCATAATTATAAATTACTTTCATACCATATTACTCGTAACTGGTCTATATATCATTTGTTAGTACTATACTATCAATGTCTTCAATAATAGTCGTTGGTAGCTATTCTTTACATAAACAAGTATATTAATTATCTCCTTAATTAAGTATGCTACAGTTTTATTTACTCCAACTAGAATATTTATATTATAAGCAAGTCATATTATAAATTAAATTCGAAGAACTGTTAATAAATTAATACTTAATGTTATAATTGTTTATTTACGTTTTATTTTTGGTATTTGTTATGTTAACAAATATTAATTTATTCTTAGAAAAGGTAAATGTATTACTTTATGTTTCTTTATTTAATTAATTAACATAATCTTAAAAAGCAACAGAATTTTCATAAATATTCTCTGTAAAAGTATTTTAAATAATATTGAATGTGTTCAGTTAATTTAAATTCTAAATATCTTATGAAGGCAGAGCATACTTGCGTAAATTTTTTTCAGTTATAGTGTCCAATAAAATACTTGATACATTACCATTTAGAGTCATAACTCCTTAATTTGGAAATGATAAACTTTAAAGAATTCCTCCTATGTCATTTGATAGTTAGATATAAAATTAATAATCAATATCAGTTTTATTTTTTTTTTGTTTCATAATTTCATCTAACAGTTTATATGAATCTATTAAATTTTAAATGACATAATCATTGTTTTGTTGATTTTATGTCATATTATTATTAGAAATTAATTCTTAAGTTTTATATATTAAGGTCTAAGTATAATCTAAAATTTATTGTTATTAACTTACATTTTCTTAAGATAATATTAATGACTATATTATTTTTTATGTTATTTTATTTGTTGAAGTTGGTAAAAGTGAATATTTTGGTAAAAGCAAACTTTGTTTCTATTAATATGCAATTAGATTTAATTTTAATTTATCTATTCCTTCAAATTTTTGCTAACTTAAATCTTCTCCTATAATATTTAAAACAGAAAATTAATCTTTATTTATGTATTATGATTATTAGTTCTGTAAAATAAGTACACTTTTGTCATTAATATAATCCAAATTAGATTTATTTTATTACTGTTAAACTTAAACTTACACAGTAGTATTTGAAACTCCATACTAAGAATCAATAGCCTAAGCCATAATTATTAGATTTCCTTATGGTAAAATTGTATTTATATAATTATGTATCGTTTAATCTACTATTTATCTTCTTAAAATATTCTATGGTTAGATCAATTCTAACTAGTAATCTTGTTAGGAAATATAATAAAAAAATTAGTATGTCAAAGGAGTATCTTAGTCTTAGCAATTAGACATCTGAATAAAGAATTGTGTTTGAAGAGCTATTCCTTAAGCTGGATTAATAGTTAAAATACAATTTTAAGGAGGAATGTTTATATAAATATTTATCGTCGTTAAACTAGGCATCAGAGAAGAAGGAGAATAGAGAGAAAAACGAATTTAAATTATATTATTTGAAGGATCTACTTCAGAAAAATAATTCCAAATTCTAAATTTGACTTAATAATAATCAAAATTTAAAGTTCCAACTACATTTTCATTATAATATATTGTTCCTGCGTAAGTATAACTATCAGATAGTTATTAGTCGTATTCCATAGAAATTGTGATATCTTAATTTAAATTAATCTTTTATTCTTAATACTATGTTGGTAAAACAACCCTTAAAGGTAATATATCTATTTCAGTGAAAGTACAAACTACAGAAAAATTTGATTATCGAGTGTCTTTTATTGCAGTAACTGTAAACTGGAGTACACTATATGGCATAAATGTACCTGCTGGGATCAATAAGCTACTTAATTTAGATTGGATCTAATATTTATTATTATATTAATCATAGCACAAATTATCTTATGAATTAAGACTTTTGCAATCCCATGAGAAATCAATATTTTAAGGAGAAAATTCTTCTTTTATTTCATAATCTCTAAATTTTGAAGTTAGATTAAGCTAATTTTAGTAGCTCGAAATGAAGTTTGATCCTCCTAATATCGAAATATATAAACTAGATTGTAATATATTTAGTTATATATTTTGGAATTTGATGATGTTCTTTTATTAATTTAAATTCACAGTTACCTTTTTTTAATTTTAAATATATTATTTAAAATTTTATTACTATTATAAATTTAAAATTATTTATTGAAATCATTTTTAGAGCTCAAATTAATAATTTTTTGAAATATTTACTTAATATTTAATATACTTTAAATTTTAAAAATCTTTATGATTTCAATGAAGTTTTTTATTATTTAATTCAAGTTAAGAAAAAAATAAAATAAATGTCTAAATTATAAAAGGAAATAAAAAATTTAAACGTATTTACTAGTTTTATTATTTGAATTAATTCAAAATTAAAAAAAAATTAAAATATTTCATAAAAAAATTTTCTCATTCTTCTATTCACCTAAAAATCTTTTTTATCTCAAAATAATAATATTTCCTTCAGTTTCTTGAAATTAAAAAGGTAAAGATATTTTATTGTTGCTGCTTTAGTTGTTAAAACACATACTTTTTGCTAACTAAAATTATATTCAAATTTCTATTCTACTTCTATTTGAAGCTCATTATTTTTAATATTTTTTTTAAGTATCACTTTTTCTTTATATTATAGAGGAGAATAAAAGTTTAAAAGAATTCATTAATAGTTTTAGAATTTTAAAAGTTGTTTTTTTAACTTATGTTAGAAATTTATGAATTATCAACATTTATTTGATGAAATAATTTAAATAAGATAATTTATTTTATTAATATTAAAAGAATTTAATTTATTAAACAAAAATTAATAGATATTTCATTTAAAAATCAATGAAAAATGCTTTTTCGAAGCTCTTATTTTAAAAATATTTATAAAATTTAAAGAATAATATATTACATTTAAATCCAAGGTATAATTGTAGGGCAGTGTATATGGAGGGATGTTAATTTCAAAATTTTACTGTGCATAATTTTTAAGAGTTTATCTAAATTAAGGATATTGTGAATCTATACTTATATCTAAAGGTTCATATTAATTCAGAATAAAATTTCCTAAATCGCATATCTAAACATAAAATTAAAAGTAGAAAGACAAGCTCATATATCTTTTTTTTTAAAATAATAATTTTTATATGAATAAGATAATTAAAAAATTTACCTGAAAAGTGGAGGATAATTTGATTATACCCAATTAAGAGAAATTACTTTTTATTTTTGATAAAATATTTTAAATTCCTATTAACTAGCCTTATTAACTTTGAGAAGATAATTAAATTAAATTGTAATATTTTAATCGGAGGGAATGTATTTAGGATTCAAAATTAAAGTAGTATTTTAGTATTTATTTGCTTGAAAAATCATTTAATTAATTTATGATTATTATTCTGATGTCAGGTCAGTAGTTATATGCTAAAACTACCATTTAATTAACTAGAAACCTCTTTAAGCATCATTTTAAATATTTTTTAAAGATATAATTATAGGATCGCATGTATTTTAAATAGGTTTAAAGTCAAATTATATAATTTCAGGGTTAATATAATTTTAATTTACTATATTTCTATAAAAAGTATCAATAGGAACGTCATAATCTTTAAATTATAGCTTTAAGGGTTATAATATTACTTTGTTTCCTTCCATTATTGTCGATGAATCAGCTTTATTAATAATATTAAAATAATTAATTTAAACTTTATATCAATAAAAATTATTTAATTTATATTTAAAAATAATTGCTTTCAATTAATTTTATTACTATTTTTAAAATTTTAACCAAATATTATTATTAAAAATTTGAAAATTAAAATTATTTCTAACAATCTTAATAAACCAAATTAAAATGTTAAATTTAATTTTCCAAATTAATGTTTTATAAAGTAAAAATTTACTTAAATTAACAATTAAGAAATTTTATGAAATTTGGCAAGAGGAGTCTTATCCAATTAATTTAGTAGTTAATGGATTAAAAATATTCTAACATAGGGATTGAGGTGATGAAGCTTAAGTAATAAGACTAATAATAGGCGATCCAAAATCAATTAAGAGTTAAGGAATCTTTTCGCTTAAAAAAATATTAAGTACTGCAATATTTTTATAGCTGCAAAAATAGAAATCATTTCTTTTATCATTAGGATTTAAGCATTGACAGAAGTTATTTTAATCTAAATATCTAACTTAACTAAAACAGCTTATACATTAATTTGTTTATATTCCACCTATCTAACAGTACTTACAAGTAGAATAACAAGATTAACAAGATTTATTGGTATAGTCTTCACAAAAATCACAACTAAATGTGACTGGGTTACCTTAGTATCCATTTGGGCAATTTTTAACGCAAGTATTTTGGAAAAAATAATACCCTTTATTGCATTATAAGCAATTTTAAAGTCCTAAACAGCTTGAGCAGGATATATCACATTTTATACAATTTTTGTTTTAAACAAATTCATTAATATCACAATTTGCTACACATAAAGATGTACTTTGTTAAAAGTATAAGTTATCCTTACACTTTATGCAATCAGTTTTAGCTGGTCCATTGCATAACTAACATGAATCATCACATTGAACACATTAAACACCATCAAAATATTACCCTTAAATGCAAGGAGAGCATACATTACCACTCAAGAAAAAGCCCTAAACGCAAGATGTGCATATATTTTAAGCATCACAAGTTTAGCATAAACTTCCACATGACCTACAAATTTATTATTATTAATTTGTGTATTTATCTATAAATTAACCCTATGATAAGTCACATAATGATGTACATATATTATTTTATATAGTAGAAATAAAAGAGTTTGGCTATGAGCATACTATGCAGTTATTTGGTCCAGGCCCATTACAAGACAAACAGGAGCTATCGCACTATAAGCACTAATTTCCATCTAAGTAATAGCCTTAAAAGCAAAGAGTACATTAGCTTGAGCTTAAAAAGAACCCAGAATAACATGAAGTGCAAGAAGTTCCGCTACTGCAAGTTTAACAGTTATTTGGGCATTACCTACAGTAACTTTATAAAGCATTAGTAGTAGAATCTATATATTGAGCCTAATTTAACTTGCAAATTGGAACACATAAGTTATTTTAAACTTAAGAAATAAAGTAATTTGAATTTGAGCAAACTATACAATTATTAGGACCTGGTCCAGAGCATATTTTACATGAATTGTCACATGGAGAGCATTAATTTCCATTTAAATAATATCCCTACATGCATGGAGAACATATGTTTCCATTTAAATAAAACCCCTGCATACATTAATTGCAAATTGTTGAGCTACTACAAATTAGACAATTCAAACTGCATTATTGACATATCTTTTAATCTGGATTAGTTATAGAGTCTACATAGTATGATTAAGTAGTATCACATTAAGAAGTGCAAATATTATTCTATTATTTAGAAATATAATAGCCAGGCTTAGAGCATACAAGACAATTATTAGGACCAGGTCCTACACAAGATAAGCATGTAGTATCGCATTTATAACAGTTATTTTGAAAGAAATAATATCCTTTTATGCAACTAGTGCAACTTTAAGAATCTTAACAAGTCTAGCATAAAGTAGAACATTAGCTGCAATATTACTATAAAGGATTTATGGTTAAATTAATATATTAAGCTTATGACAAATCACATATTGGAATACAAATGTTATTTTATCTAACAGAAATAAAATATCCTGGTTGTAAGCATATAGTACATTAATTTTGATTAGGGCCTGTGCAATATGAGCAAGAACTATCACATTTTTAGCATTAATTACCAACCATATAGTAACCTTAAGAGCATTTTGTGCAACTAGATGAGTCTTAACATGTTTAACATTACTATTGACATTATCTACAGTAAAGTTATTATGGGTTACTTTTATCAACATATTAGGCTTAACTCAAATCACATGAAGAAACGCAAATATTATTTTATTTAATTGAAATATAATAATTAGATTATTTACAAATAATACAATTTGATGGATTTGGGCCAAAGCAAGATAGACAAGAAATATCACATGCAAGGCATTAGTCTCCATTTTAATAATATCCTTAGTTACATGTAATGCAGCTAACTCCATCTTTGCAAGTTAAACAAGATTAATTACACTATCTACAATACATTTATAATGGATTTGTGGTATCAATGTACTATGATTAAGTTGTATCGCACTGTTAAACACATTAGTTATTTAATTTTGTAGAAATATAATAGTTCGATTATTAGCATATTGTGCAGTTACTCACCCCGGGACCTTTACAGCTATTACAAGACCCATCACATGGTAAACATGTATTCCCACTTTGGTATTTACCTTATCCACAAGCCTAGCAAGTACCTCCGTTCAATACGTAACCTTACATGCAAGTTGTACAGCTGGTTGCATTTGAACAGATTTAACAATACTAAATACACTATCTACAATATTTCTATGAAGGATTAGTAGTAGAATCAATAAACTAAGCTTAAGAGATATCGCATTCAGGTATACAAATATTATTTTACTTAATTGAAATATATTAATTTGGCTAATAACAAATAATACAATTGCTTTGGCTAGGACCGAAGCAAGTTGAGCAAGAGCTATCACATTACAAACATTAGTTTCCACTTAAATAATAACCATCTATGCATGTTAAGCAAGTTGCAGAATTATTACAAGTTTAACATAATAAATTGCACTATCTACAATATTTTTGAAATGGATTAGTAGTTGAATCTATATATTAAGCTTAACTGGTATCACATGATTATACACAAACGTTATTAAGCTTAGTTGAAATAAAGTAGCCTGATTAAGAACAAACTATACAATTATTTGATCCCAAGCCAGAACAAGATTAACAACTTTTATCGCATTAAAGACACTAATTTCCATTTAAAAAATACCCTGTTATACAGCTATTGCAACTTGACTAATTGCTACAAGTCTAGCATAAACTTGCACATTATCTACAATATTTTTACTGTTAATTGGTAGTAGTATCTATAAACTATGCCTAGCTTATATCACATGAAGAAACACAACTATTATTTTACTTAGTAGAAATATAATATCCTGCTTATTTACAGACAGTACAATTTGTTGGTCCTTATCCAGAACAAGATAAACATGAATCATCGCACAAATTGCATGAATTTCCATTTAAATAATATCCTTAGAGGCAACTAAGACAACTTATTTAATTGTTACAAGTTTAGCAAAGAGTATTACAAGGCCTGCAGTATTTTTATAATTAATTTGTCGTAGTATCTACAAATTAAGCTTGGGACTAATCGCAAGATGGAACACAAATATTATTTTACTTAATTGAAATATAATAATTACTTTATTAGCAAATGACACATTTTGAAGCTTCAGGTCCTGTGCAAGTTTTGCATGATACATCACACTAATTACATTAACTATCCTTTAAATAATAACCCTGTATGCATGAATTACAAGTTAATTAATTACTGCAAGTTTAACAGACTGAATTACATTGTCTACAAATATTTTGTTAACTATTAGTGGTGCTATCAATATATTAAGCACTGTTTAAATCACAATCTTATACACAAATATTATTTTATTTTACAGATATATAGTAACCTAATTACTTACAAATTATACAATTGTTTTGACTTGGTCCGCTGCATGTCAAACAAGAATTATCACATGCAAAGCATTGATTTCCATTCAAATAATAACCTTATATACAAGAATTACAGCTTGAAGAGTTACTACAAGTCTGGCATAGGCTACTGCATTATCTGCAATACTTTTATAAACTATTAGTTTAACTATCTATGTATTAAGCTTGATTAGTATCACATACTGGCACACATTTATTGTTTTCTTTTATAGATATAAAATATCCTTATGAAATGCATATATTACACATGCTTGGGCCAGCAGCAGTACAAGATAAGCATGAGCTATCACATTATTTACAAGAATTCCCATCCATAAAATAACCCTATATACAAGAATCGCAATTTACTTAATTACTACAAGTTTAACATAAATTAGAGCATTATTTGCAATATTTTTGTGATGGATTTGTTGTTGTGTCTATATATTAAGCTTAAGTTAAGTCACATTATTGAACACATTAATTATTTTATTTTGTAGAGATGTAATAGTTTGGTTATGAGCAAATAATACAGTTTGAATTGCCAGGTCCAGAACAAGATAGGCATGAATCATCGCATTTTTAGCATTAATTGTTATTCAAATAATAGCCTTGGATACATGAAGTACAGTTAATTGAATTTGTACAGGTTTGACAAAAAGAGGGGCAAACTCTACAATATTTTTATTTTTAATTAAAAATTGTATCTATGTATTAGCCTTAGGTCAAATCACATTAAGATACACAAATATTATTTAATTTTATTGAAATAAAATAATCTGCTTAAGAACAAATGTCACAATTACTTGGATCTGAACCATAGCAAGACTAACAAGAGGAATCACATTTCTTACATTAATTTTAATTTAAAAAATAACCATCATTACATTATGTGCAATTATTCTAGTCTGAACATATTAAGCAATTACTACTACATTACCTACAGTACATTTATTATGGATTTGTAGTACTATCAACATAATAGCCTTAATGGACATCGCATTAAGAAACACAAGTATTATTTAGCTAAGTAGATATATAAAATCCTGATTAATAGCAAATAAAGCAAGCAGATGCACCCGCTCCTGAGCAAGTTAAACAAGAAGAATCACATTACTAGCACTGACTTTGGTTTAAATAATATCCTTATACACATGAAGTGCAATTTTATTAGCTACTACAAGTCTGGCATTATGAGTTGCACAACTTACAATACATTTGCTTCGGATTCGTTAAATTATCTATGTACTAACCTTATGTTGTATCACAAACCGAAACACATGAATTATTTTATTTAGCAGATATATAATAATTGGATTAAGCACAGATGATGCAATTTACATGTCCTGGCCCTGAACATGTTAAGCATGAAGCATCACATTAATAACATTGATTCTAGCTTAAAAAATATCCTTATGTGCAAGATGTACAACTTGTATCACTGCTACAACTCTAACAAGAACTAGGACATTTTCTACAATACATTTATTAAGGATTTGTTATTTTATCTATATATTGAGATTATGTTAAATCACATTCAGGCACACAAATATTATTTTATGAAACAGATATATAATAGTTAGATTAAGAACAAATGATGCAATTAGTAGGTCCTAACCCTGAACAAGATTAGCAAGAATCATCACATTTAGTACATACATTATCTTTCATAAAATAACCTAATTGACACTGAGAACATAAACTTCCAACAAAATAATAACCGTCTTTGCATGAAAGACAACTATTTCCATCTTTACATTTTAAACAGGATTAATCACATTGCTTACAATACATCTGTGAAGCATTTGTAGTGCTATCCACATACTATTGCTAACTTGTATCGCATTCTGATACACAACTATTATTTAGTTTATTAGAAATATAATAACCTTATTATTTACAAATTAAGCAATTATTTGATCCTGGGCCAGAGCAAGACAAACAAGAATTATCGCATAGAGAGCATATATTTCCATTTAAATAATATCCAATTTTACAAATAGTGCAACTCGATGCATTATTACATACTTGACAAGAGTCAGGGCATTATCTGCAATAATATTGTTGTGGGTTAGTAGTTGAATCAACATATTAAGCTTGTGTAGTATCACATTGTTGGACACATTAATTATTCAATTTAGTTGAAATATATGATCCAATTTATTAGCAAATTGTACAACTACTTGGTCCCTATCCAAAACAGGATAAGCAAGAATCATCACATTAAAAGCATTTATTATCATTTAAATAGTAACCTTAAACACATATTGCACAATTTTATGAATCAGTACATTACTAACAAAAGCTAGAACATTACCTACAATAAAATTATTATGGATTACTCTTGTCAATATATTAGCCTAAAGCTAAATCACAGCTAGCAACGCAAATATTATTTAATTTTATAGATATTAAGTAACTATTTTGCTAACAAACAATACAGTTTGATGGCCCAGCTTTTGTACACGATAGGCATGAAGAATCGCAAGCAATACATTAACTTCCTTACAAGTAATAACCTTGTATGCATGTTGTGCAACCTTAAGAATCACTACATGTTTAGCATAAAGCACTACATTATCTGCAATAAGGTTATAATGGATTAGTTAAATTATCTATGTATTATGCTTGCGAAGTATTACATGAAGCTACACATTATTTATTCAAATTAATAGAAATATAGTAGCCATTTTATGCACAGATGATACAATCAGATGAAGTAGATCCAGCACATGATTAGCAAGAAGGATCACATTAAGAACATAGACTTCCATTCAGATAATACCCTTGAATACAAGAAGTGCAGCTAGTTGAATTTGTGCAAGTTTAGCATGAACTAATGCATGTTCTGCAATATGCTTGCTAAGGATTTGAATTATCAATAAACTGAGACTATGATAAATCACATAGTGGAGCACAAATATTATTTTATTTAACTGAAATAAAATAACTACTTTGATTGCAAATAATACAATCAGAGGAACTAGATCCTTAACATGTTGCACATGAGCTATCACACTTACTACATAAATTATTAGCTAAATAATAGCCTTATAAACAAGAAGTACAGCTTTTACCATCATTACATGTTTAACAAGAATCAAGGCATTTTCTACAATACAATTAAGATGAGTTACTTGAATCTACATATTATGATTATTTAAGATCACACTATGGTACACATAGATTATTTTAATTTATGGATATATAATAACCTGGCTGTGAACAGATAGAGCAGTTATTAGGATCAGAACCTGTACAGGATAGACAAGAATCATTGCATTTTAAGCATTAATTTTGATTTAAATAATAACCTTATATACAACTAGTGCAATTTTATTAACTAGTGCAAGTTTAGCAAGAGCTTAAGCACTATCTACAGTAATATTGGTTAGGATTAGTTTAATCTACATACTAAGCTTAATTAAGATTGCAATCAGGTACGCATATATTATTCTACTTTACAGAAATAAAATAGCTATTTTAGCAGATATCACAATTCCCTGCTCCCTATCCAGTGCAAGATAAACATGAACTATCACATTTAGAACACTAGTTTCCATTAAAATAATAACCTTATATGCATGTTGAGCAACTAGAAGCATTATTACATGTTTAGCATAAATTACTGCATGGCACACAATATTATTATTATGGATTTGATAAGTTATCTATAAATTAAGCTTTACTTAAATCACACTGATTAACGCAAATATTATTTAATTTAATTGAAATAAAATAACCAGATTATTTGCAAATTAAACAATTACTTGGCCCTGTACCATTACATGACTAACAAGAATCATCACATTTAATACATTAATTACCATTTAAATAGAAGCCTTATTAGCAAGAAATGCATGAAGTACTACTATTACATAAAATACAAGGGCTATTACATACTCTACAATACATTTGTTATGCATTAGATGTATCTATATACTGACCCTAAGCTGGATCACATGAAGAAGCACAAATATTATTTTACATAATTGATATGTAATAATTAGCCTATGAGCAAATTGTACACATTTATGGACCTGCTCCAGAACAAGTTAAACAAGATACATCACATTTTAGGCAATATCCATTGTTTAAATAATACCCGCTTATACAGCTTGTGCAGCTAGTAGAATTCGAACAAGTTTAACACAAACTATTACCACATTTTTTACAATATTTTTGCTTTGGATTTGAGGTATCTATATATTATGCTTATGTAGTATCACATTATGAAACACACAAATTATTTTAATTTTGAGAGATAAAATAACCTGATTACTAACAAATACTACAATTTAATGGTCCACTATCGATACAGGATAAACATGAGGGGTCGCATTAAAGACAATTCAAACCAGCAGGGTAATATCCTTATTAACATGAGTAGCAAGCACTATCATCGCAACTTGTACAATAATTTGGGCACTTTAATATTTTAAATTTTAATAAATAAAAGCTTATTTATAATTTTTATTAATATATAAATTAATAAAATAATATATTTATTGTGGTTACTATTTTTATACTTATGAAATTTAAAGATTTTTAATTTTAATTATAAAATACATAGTATAAAAATTTTTAGAAAAATTAAAAAAATTTACATATTATAAAGCAACTATAATTGCACTATATATTGTTTAGTAGGATTTTTATGTCAGTGGCAAAACAGAAAAAGTTGCATTCAAATAATTTGTTGAGGTCATTGTGATTGTATTTTAAAAAACATTATAGTAGTAGTTAGTGCAATATTTGGTAAAGTTTAGAGTACTATAACTATATGCTTAATTATTCACGTAAAATGAAGGACCTGTTGATGTTATTGTTGAAGCAGTATTTACAGATCCTTTTATGTAAAATCCTACTTTTGAAAAGTATTAGACTCTTATAAAAAATTAATAATATTTAATATGTTATAAAAGAAAATTAATCTAAAATATCTAATATTGTCATTTGTAAAAATTTAATTAAATTAAATAACATAATGAATTTTAATCAATTTACGAGTTATATATAACCGATATTTAGCTATTTGACATACAGTTTGGACCTGAAACATAAGTAACACTAGATGAGCAAATATTTCCTACAATATTTAAGCAATAGGTTGAAGATAAGTATTAACTAAATTCACTAACAGAAGTTGGGTGTCCTTAGTTAACAAGGCACACACTACCTTTTTAAAAATTAAAATATTTAATTTTAGCTTTTTATAATTATAATGTCTACTTGTAGTATTAAATCCAATAGTTTGTAAGAATGTTCCGCAATCCTAGTACTAGGATGCAAATATATCTAAATTAATATTAAAATAAATTTATTTATTTACGCTTACAAAAATTATTAAATTTACTGAAAACTAAGATATTTAAGGTAATTATTAACTTTTTTAAACTCATTATTCTTTTCAGAAAATAAACTTAATCAATTTTTCTTAAATTAATTATTATATTTTTTTTTCAAATCAATCAATCATTTCAAAGAATAAATTATTCTTAGTTTCTTTTTTTTGAAATGTAATTATATTTTGATATTTTGTAATAATTAATATTAAAGGAGTGGGGAGGAACACAGATAAAACTGTTAATTTTAATTTATAAATTGGAAATATTTTGAAATTAATATCTTTGAATCTTAATAATAATATAAACGATAAGAAAAAGATTCACACATTTTTTGTATTACAATAATTAATAAGCATAATCTATGGGGTAAAGTATTTAAAGAAACATATTTCAATTTTAGAGTTTCTAAATCATGCACATAATCAAATAGAAAATTTCTAGAAGATTTAATTTGAGAGAAAATAAGCGTTTTTTTTGGATTTGAATATTAGATTGAAACAAAGTAAAGGCATCATATTTTAATATAATTCAAACATCAATATATAATAAAAAGGATTACATATCTAATACATGAAATAATTAACTATAAAAGTTTATATCATCAGTATTTTTAAAAAAATTATTGATGATAATAATTATCCAAGAAGATATTATAAACTGAAATATAAATATATTAATTGAAATCGAAATTCCAAATAATATGAGAAAATCCTGAAATTCATCATATTCCTTTGCGTAAGACATTATCATTGCTATATAAAAGTAAATTATAAGCATTATTATTAAAGAAAATAATGATAGGCATTTTCCAATATTTTTTTATTTTATAAATTATTGAATTAATAGAAAAATAATTTCTAATAAAACACCGTCGATAATTGCTGTTAATAAAATTTCTTCTACTTAATTATATTATGCAAAAGATATTGAAATGACTAAAATATGTGTAATTTTAAAGAACAAAAGAGTAAACCGGGTGGATCGAGAAATTTACTTATCGAATGTGTAAAAGGTCCCTATTGTAAAATGTAATGATACCAGTTTTTTGAAATAGGAGATTTGTTAAAAATTTTATTTTGTTTATTCACTTATTTATATTTAAGTATTTTTTTAAGTATTTTCAATGTAATTTTTTTCTGGAATTTTCTCACTTTACTAAATCTTTTCAATTGTTAAATCTTCTTCATCTTCCTCTATATCTAATTGTTTGGTAATTTATTTTACATTATTTTAATCTTTTAATTTAATAAATGTTTTTTTTCTTTAAAGAACACTTTTTTGCATCATGTATTTCTAGTAAAATCTTGCCTAGAAATTATTTTCAATGTTAACACTATTTGAAATTAATTTTGCATGAGTATGCATTGGTGTTGTTAAGAATTATTGCTAAGTTTATTGTGTTTAAGAAGATAAAACTTGAATTTATTGTTAATATTTTTATTAATAATCTTTTAGCTCTTTATTTTCAAGTAAGTTAATTAAGTTTATCTTTTGTTCACTTTTAAAATCTAAGTTCTTTCCATAAACAAATAATATGAGCCAAATTAATGTTATGGCTAATAATAATTACATGATTGAGTACATAAAAATAAATTTATCTTAACTTTTTACTTCTTTTTCTTATTTTATTATCATATCATCAATGTCTTCTATTATAGTCGTAGGATATTAATATTTGCATAAGCATTGATAATTATTATTATTTTGGTAAATTAAAGAGCAATATTCTTTAGTCCATTCATTAATAGCCTATTATAAACAAGTAATTTAATACTTTTATGAATAGTTAACACAATTAAAAGAGTAAATAATATCAGTAAAAGTTGTATTTTGATTATTATTTATTTGAATTGAAATTAATGAATTTTTTGAATACTAAAAATTGCTATCTATGTCTTTTAGTTTTTAAACATATTTTTAAAAACTTGTTGTATTTTCATAAATATTTTAATAATATGTACTCTACACTATTTAGTAAGTATTCGTTTATTTTTAAGATGGAGTAGCTTAAACTATCGCATATCTGCTGATAAATTGTTAAGTTATTTAGTTTATTAAAATATTAGATAAATTGGCTTTCAAAACAACTTCTCCCTAATTAGGCTACATTTAATTAGAAAGCATTTAACCTATCTGGCTTGATAAATTGTCATAAGTTTAGAGATCTTCAGGAAAATTGCTTGAATTTTAATTAATAGTATAATTTAATATTTTGAATTAGTCAATTAGATTTTATATAACTAAGTCATTGTCTTTCTATATTTAAGTTAAACTATTGGTTAATAGGATTGAGTTAATATTTAAAATATTGTATTTTATCTAATTAATTATTTTGCTTTTATTTTTATTTTCTATTTGAAAATTAGTTTATTATAATCTGGCTATTACTTTATTAGCAATTGTAGGTAATAGAGAAAATGTTGGTAATTATTTAGAATTTTCGCATAGCTAAGAAATCATTGTCATTTTTAAATAATCAATTAATTTTGAATTTGCTAATTACTGATTTATACTTATATCATCACCGATAACAGCTAAAGTAACAAGTTTTTAGTCTAATTATGGTTATGTTTATTATTATTATTAAATTATTTAATTAGCTAACTATTGGTATTGTTCATCTGTTTTGTTTTGCTTATAGACTTTTATAGTTTGAGTTATGTTAAATGTAGCATATAGAGAATCAATTACTTATGCCATAATAATTATATCTCCTGAAGGTAGTATTGTTTCTACCATATTATTAATACTTTAATCATTAATTTACCTTCTATTAATATCATACGGTCCATTAAGCTCTTATTAATATTCAAATTAATTCATGTAATAGAAGAATTAGTATGTTAATGGTTAATCTTAATCTTAACAGTTAGATAACTGTATGCTAAAAAAAGTTTAAATAGCCATTCCTTCTGATGGAGTTATAATTAATTAACAATTTTGTGGAGGTATATTTATTTAAATATCTTGTACAGAGATACTTGGTGATGAGTAAGATGGATTAGATACAGTGAAACGAATTTGTAAAGTATTAAATTAAGAATCTATTTAATTAAAATAGTTCTAAATTCTAAATTTGACTTAAAAATAATCAAATTTAACAAAACCCACTACTTTATTTTTGTATGATATAGTTCCTGTATATTATAAATTATCAAGATTATTATTATTTTCGTGGATTAATTAAAATGAAAGCTCTTAATTTAAATTTACTCTTTAATTTTATTATTTTAAAGGACTTATTACTTTTAATGGTGGTATATCTATGTCATTAAAAAAACAAGTTGTAGAAAAGCTCTATGATCTATTCAATTTAGTAATGGTTATTGTAAATATAATTATTGTATATGGTTAAAAAGTATTCTCTAGAATAGAAATACTATTTTGTCCTTGCTAAAGTTGAATTTACTAATTTTTTTAGTCGTAGCAGATATGGTCCTTATTTGTTGGATTAAAGCAAGTCCATTTAAATTGAAGGTTTTCTTAGGAATTAGAATTTTAAATTTCTAAATCTTGAAAGTCTGAAACTAAATAAAGTTTTTTATTGTAGTTGACTATTTAGTTAGATCCACCTTAGATAGTAACATACAGATTAGAGGTTTCAATGTTTTATGCTATATTAAGTTCAGTCTTTATATTGCTTTAAGAGTGAATGCTAAATATCACCTATTAAATAAAAGCTTTAATAAATATTAGTTTCGCAATTTTTTGTTGCATAATTTATAACTTATCTAACTAATTTTATTCTAATTAGTAAATTCAGAGAACAATAAAATTAATAGAAGATATAAAAAAAATGGCTAATACGTATAACATATGCAATTTAAAAGTTTATCTTTTGAAAATCTAAATAATAAGTCTTACGCTAAAGTTGAACACTGAATTAGATGGTAAGGAATAAGGAGGTATATCTAACTCAAAATAAGATTAATTATAGTTCTACATGTTTTTTTATATTAAAGATAGCTCAGGAGAGATAATTTATATATCAAGCGATTCTTATTATATAAATATTTGGCTTCCTAATTCACAGATTTAAATAGAAAATTAAAAGTAATAATTTAAGCTCTAAAATCTAATTTAAATAATAAAAAAATATATATATTAAATCTGGATAAAATTATTATCTACCTATAAATTGGAGGATATGAAGATTGCAGATAATTCGCTTTTATCATTTTTTATTTTTAATAAAATATTTAAAAAATTTATTAGCCATTTTTATTAACCTTTAATGTGTAGTTAAAAATAATTGTAATATTTTGATTAGGAGGAATTAGCTCAGGTTTTATTATTAAGAAAGTATTTTAATTTTAATTAGCTATTTAGAATAAATTATCTATTTATTATTTTTATCCTGCAGTTAATTGCCCTGTAACTTCTTAAAGAATCCATTAAATATTCAGAAATCCTCTTTAAGCGTCGTTTTTTATACTTTTAAATTCTATACCTATAGGATTACAAGTATTTTCAATAGAGTTATATTTGAATTCTAATAGAGGATCACTTACTGACTTTTAAAATACTTAATTTTGATAGAATGTATCAATAGGGACTTAGTAATCTAGAAATTATAAGGTATTAGGTAAAATTTTTATTGAATTATTTTCCATTATTGTAGATGAGTCAGCTATATTTAAATAAAAAAGAAATGTTTTTATCAATTAAAAATAAATAATTTTAAAAATTTACTTAAATTGACTATAATTTAGTTTGCTTAAATGAAACATTAAGAATTTTATCCTATGAGATTCAGTGTTTAAGGATCAAATATATACTGGCAAAGCTACTATGAGGAAACTGAATCTTTAGACAAAGCTTTAAAAGGTGATCCTAAATCAATAATTAATTAAGGAGTTGTATTACTTAAATATACATTAAGGACTGCAATATTTTAATAACTACATTCTACATAATTATTTCTTTGATCTTTAGGATTTTTACAGTCACATTAATTTTATTAATCTAACTATTTTGTGTTGCTTGAACAGGTTAAGCAATTTGAAGGATTATTGCATGTTTAGCAGGATAAACTACATTATAAGCATTATTAATTATCTAAATAATAACCAGAGTTGCATTGTAGGCAACCAGAGCTGCTACAACTACTACAATTATCAGGGCACTTTTATTTTTTTAATAAATAATCATTTTAAATTTATATTTTTGCTTTATTGTGATGGAATTAGAAGATTAATTTATAAAAATAGCATCATTCATTTAAAATTAAAAAAAAGAATTTTATTACATATTCAACTGCTAGAAAAATTTCTTTGAGATATGTGCTAAAGGATTTGCTGTAATTTGGTAAAGCTGAAAAACTTATATTTAAGTAATCTTAATTAATATTATAGACAACTTAATCAAAGATATTAGAGTAAAATGGAGATGTATCACTACAAAATTGCTAAAAGGCTTAATTATCATAAGATAAAAATTTATTATTTATACTCAAGAAACTACTGATGGGAGTGATTTACTAATTAGAACTAATAATAATTGCTAGTCTTAGCTTAAGTCTATATATAAATCTATTTCTAATATTTTTAGTAAATTCAAAAATTATATAATTTAAAATTAATTTCAAATAATTACTATTTAAAATTCATGGTAAATAAGCTGTTTGATTTGCAAGTATTTGCAGAAATATAATTAGATACTGTACCATTACAAGTCAGCTAAGTAATACCCATACATTGATCAGATTAAAGATATTTACAATTTTAAGTGTACTCGTTTACATTATCTGGAGAACCCTAATTAATCAAGCATTCACTTCCTTAAATTATAAAAGAAATATCTAGTCTTTATATTTAAAATTTGAAAATTACTGTTCAAATTAAATTTATCTTCCATTAAAATTTGTGTGCAATTTTTATACAGACTAATGCAATTAACACTAATAACTTATTGTATTTAAAAGAATGTTAATAAAATTTGTAAATTTTATGTATAAATAATTTACTATTAAATATAAAAACTAATAAAGCGGTAACCTGATAATATTTCATTGACTTCTTTTAAGAAAAAAAAAATTATATTGTTTGTTTTTTTTATCAAATTATTATAAAAATCAAAACAAATGTAATTCTATATTACCATAAAAAATCTTATATTTTAAAAGTCTATTAATTTTCATGAAAGAAATTTAGATTTTTGTAATTATATTCATGAAACCTGCTTTTAATAATAATTAGGTTAGATAATTAAGAATCTTTAATAAAACAAACGTATATGATAAAAAATTAGAGAAAACGCTTACTACTTTATTTGCTACTACAGCAGTTTTTTTATAAAATGTTAAATATAAATGAAATACATACTTAAATAATTTCTGCTTTAGTAATAAATTTTATATTCCACTCAGACATTTAAAAAGTATCATGGATAATCACATTAAAAAAATTACTCTTTGTAAATTGACATTTTTTTTTTAAATATCTAAATTGTTTGAAATGCGAATCAAGCAACAAAATAAAATTACTTTCTAAATCGTATATATAAAAGTTTAAAAGCTAGTTATCTTTTTAAAGTTTCTACTTCCTTTCGCGCATCAATTTAACTTTTTATAATTGTTTGTGCTTTAAATTTTTTTAACTATCTTTAATAGCAAAATCATGCTATTGAAACATAATTGATAAAAATATTGATTTAAAATAGATTAAAATCAAAAATAGGTAAATATATTTCAATTTTTAATAAATGTTTAATTCTATTTATGAGTATAAATTCAAGAGATAGTCATATGCTTGTAAAAATTCATATTTTAAATTGCTTATGCCTCAGAAAATGAAGAAAAATATCATAAAATTGAATCTAGTCATAATTTAATTAGTATCAATATTTGTATTTACTTTTATTCCTTCAGACTACAAATTTAATTAAATTATCATGTAAATGATTCTTCTTTATTCTTTTTCTTAAAAATTGAGAATCAATGATATATAATTTTCATTAACATAAAAAAGATTTTGAAAACATTTTCTCATATTTTAATTTAAAAAAATGGATAAATTTATTTTTTTTAATTATTATGCTATGAAGAATATTAAATATTTTAAATTTGAGAATTTATTAATTTCTGCAAAAAATTGAAAAATAATAAATATCTTTTATTTATTTTTATTTGAAATCTACTTTCTTTTTTTTAACAGAAAAATATGTTTAATTATTTATTATTTATTTACTTATTTTAGAAATAAATTAACTTTTTTCTTTTTTTAATATTGATTATATAATTTAATAAATCAGTAATTCAATCAAATAAGCAAGAAATAGATTTTTTATTGGATGCTAAATGATGACATTAAAAATTAATTTTTAGATTTTTCTGATTATTTATATTTAAATATATCTAAAGGTATGTAACTAATAAAATTAGATTAATTCCAGAAGCTCTTTTACATTTATTTTAAGTAATAAAATTATTAAAAAATTCTAAACAATAAAATACTAATGATAAAAGTGTAATAGTAATAAGATAATAAATGTGTTATAGGATTTATTGTAAGTTTGTCTAGAAATTTATTTAATTTATAAGGATAAATCAATAATATTATAAAATTAGTCAATTTAAATCCTTAGGATTGTTTATTTTTTTACAATCAACTCATTTAAAAAGCTGTTTGACTAATTTTAGAATTCTTAAAATTCCAAAGATCAAAATTAAAAAGTAAATTAGTATAAACCTTAACGTATATTTTAGCCATATTCTTAATGTTAAGTTTAGAAGCAAAATATTGAATTACTAGAGAAATTGCTTAAAATTAGCTGAATAAAGAAATTTCCTTGCTAAAAGCTTTAGAATCCTGATGTTTATATGAATATAAATAGAAATAATAATTGTTTTCATTTTAAATGTAAGTTTTAAACACATAAATATAATTTATGGTAGGACTTTGCTTATTTAAAAGAAAAGAATAAATCCAGAAATTTAAGATATCATTTAAATACATTTAAATCAAACTTATAAAATAAATAATTAATAAAATATCTTATATTAAAGATCAAGCAAATAAAATCATCATAAATAGAATAAATGGAATACAGATTATTAGGTAACACAGGTTTAAAGGTATCAGTCATAAGTTTTGGTAATTGGCTTAACAGTGATCTTCCTGATTGGCAAGATAGAACTAATTTACATGTAAAAAAAGCTTGGGATTTAGGTATTAATTTCTTTGACACTGCTGAGCTTTATGGCTACGGAGAAGGTGAAAAATAATTTGGTGTTGCACTTAAAGCACTTAATGTTCCTAGAGAAGATTTAGTCATCTCTACAAAGATATACTGGGGAACTAGTGACCTTAAAAAGGTTAATGCCTTAGGTTTGAATAGAAAACATATTAAAGAAGGTGTTAAAAACTCTCTCAAGAGACTCCAATTAGACTATGTTGATATCGTCTTCTGCCACAGATATGATCATGAAACTCCTCTTGAAGAAGTTGCCCGTGCCTTTACTGAATTAATTTAAGAAGGTTACATCCACTATTGGGGTACTTCTGAATGGACTGCTGCCTAAATCTACGAAGCAAGAGAAGTTTGTGCTGAAAAGAACTTAATAAAACCATCTGCAGAATAACCTCAATACAACATGTTTGTAAGAGATAGATTTGAAGCTGATTATGCAACTCTCTTCGATAAAACTAGAATGGGTAGTACTGTTTGGAGCCCTCTTTCCGGAGGTATTCTTACTGGTAAATATAATATTGGAGGTATTCCTTCAGGTGCCAGATGGGAAACTTTTTCAGAAAACGCTTTCCTTAAAGGTATTTGGAACAACTATTTTGCTCCTGAAAAAAAAGACAAACTAATTAAGATTTTGACTAGTCTTGAAGCTCTCGCTAAAGAATTGGGCATGAGCTAAGCTTAATTAGCAATGAGTTGGGTTATTGCTAATAAGGATGTTTCCACTGCTATTACTGGTTGTTCTAGACCAGAATAATTAGAAGAAACAGTTAAATGTGTTGAACTATACAAGAAAATTACTCCTGAAGTAATCAAAAAAATTGACGAAATTCTTGGTAACACCCCAGACCAAGGCGTTAACTTTAAGACTTTCGCTCCATTCCCTCCCAGAAGATGATAAAAATATTTTATATCATTTAAATTCTAAAATCGTATTATATATTTTTTATAACGAGTAAAGTTTTAAAACAAAATTAGAATGATTTGAAATATCTTTATTTCTGATCTGATTTTTTAAATAAATAATTAGATAATTTGAAGGTTAAGATATCTCATAAAAAATTATTAGCAAATTAAATATAATAAAATTTCATATTTTTACTATTAAGATAAATAAAGGAGTAAAAAGAGTACTTTTTTGAAACATTTTTAAATATTTTCTCATACTTAAAGCATTTTTTTATTTGTAAAAAAATAAAGATTTTCTAAAGAAAAAATTAAATAAGAGAATATTTAGCAATTTTAAATTTTATTTATTTTGATAAATGTAAAACAAATAAAAGTTTACAAAACAATTCAACCTAATGATTAATAAATTTTTTTATCTAACTCACTTATGTTTCCTTTTTTAGAAAATTTCTCTATAAATTAATTAATATACTTTATTTATACTTCTTCCAAAAGTTAAATTGCGAACTATTCTTCAAAGTGACTCATTTAACAATCTATTTTTTAATTAATTTGTATTTAGAATTAATAATTATGATTGAAAATAAGATTTTGATATATTAAATTTTGAAAATGAATATGTTCATCATACTTTTTAATTCATCAAAGCTTTTAGTAAGTTATTTTGAAAATCTTTCTGAACATCCAACTAGCTTTAAAGCAGCAAATTGTTCTTTAGTTAAAATCATCATTATAGCTTTTTTACAAAACAATATTTCCTAATACACTTATGAAAAATCTAAGCTGCTATTAACTTATTTTTCGATAGAGAAGATTGTCTCTTAATCTATTCCTTTCTCTGACAAAAACTCTTTCTTCTTAAACATACTTGTTAAAAAAAATTATTATATAATTAGAGATAATTTATTTTGCTTTATGATTTTATATAAAATTAGGGGTAAAAACTATATTTGATTTATTAATCATCAAATACTAATGAAAAATTTTATTTTTTTTTTATAATTAATTTTAATCAATATAAAAGTCTCCCATACTTATATGTTCTACTTATAAATTAATTTAATTTACCTGAATTTAAAAAGACTATGCTCTACTTTCTTAAATATAGACTAATTATTTATGCTCTTTAGCTTTGACTCCAAACTGCTATTAGGACTTTTTTCGGCTTCGTTGATATTTATTTTTTCATGCTATTGTATCGAAGGTATTTTTGATGGTTTCAATTTTATGAGGTTACTAATTTTATTACTATCTTAAATTGTTGGGGATTTTTCTGTTCTTAAGGGTGAAATATCAAATTTAAGATTATTTTCTGTCCTATCACAACTATTTATAGCAATTTAGCTAACTATGGGTTACATTTACCTTCTTTCAAAAAGTTGTTTAGTTATACTTGTTCTATTGGGTGCAGTTTTTTGACTTTTAAGGTCAGTTAAAATTGATTACCTTTTATTAAATTGTAATATTTGCTTCTCTGAGTCATAGCTAGGATTAACAGTCTATAATCTAAATTCTTATGTTTTTTGCATACTAAAACTATTAGTGTTTGATTCTTCTTTTTTAATTTAATCAAGTATTTTATTTTCTTCATCAGATAATTTTTACATATTATTTCTACTTGAAAAGATTGTTTCTTAGTCAATGATACAGTCTCTTTTAGTGTCTGATTGTAAATCTAGCTAATTAATTATTTGGCCACTAGATTTGATACTTAGTTCAGGAATTATAACTGGGCTTTGACCTTCTCCTACAGAAGCATCTTCTAATACAGCATCCTATATTTATTGTAAGTTAGTGTCCTACTGAGTAAATTAATTCTATCTGGAATTAGTATGTATATTAGGTACTGTAATTGGGTTTGGGTTTTCTTACAATTCAGCTGATTCACTTAAATAATTGATTTTTTTAGGATGATCCTATTCGTTTGGTTATATAAATTTATGTATTCTCAAAACTTTTTCATAAGTACCTTGATAGAAATTTTGTAAAATTAATAGAAAAAGTTCTTGTCTAATCAACTTCTGTGCCATTTGTCTTCCAAAAAATCCTAAACACATCAATAAAGAGAGAGTAGTGTTGCAAAGAGCTAAGATTTCTGGAAGTGTTGGATATTAAATTTATGTCTAATAGATTGTTTCTTCTACATCTACAAAGAATTGCTAAAAATATTTTGCTCCTGCTTATTTTAAAACTAAATCTGTGTCTAAAGTCTAAGTAACTGTTGTATAAGAGATAGGAGAAAAATATTACTTTTCAGATTAAAATATGTATCCGTCCTTCACAGAAGTAATTTAATTTTGTGCTTTAAATTCTGTGTACATAATTTAAGTTGGAGATATTAATAAATTGAAAGTTTTGTAGCTGTCTTAAAATTCTTTAGCTGTAATGTTGTACTATGAAGTAATTAGTTTAACGTTCAGAGTATTTCCCAATTTACTAATGAATTTATTAATATCAGTTAAATTTGCACAATTATCGGGTACAAACCTTTTATAGCGATCTGTGTCTTAGCATCTATATGATACTATACTAATTTAAGATTATGCTCTGTTTTTAGAGTTTAGCATTAAAGTGTAATTAGACGGCACTTTAGACATATCTATACACCTATATCCTTAAAGTAGTGTATTATTACATGGGATAACATTCAAAGGCATCATAAAATAACCGTTGTTATCAGTATACATGAAATTAGCTAAAGTTACAATATAAGTCTTATTTGTTTTAGCTTATATTTGGTCTATACTTAAGTTACCAATAGGTTCAATATATTAGAAAGCAATTAATTCATTGCTTAGGGGTATGCTAATGAGATCATTCGAAATGAAATTTTACACTCTAAATTTAGGATCTATTTAATTATCCATATACTTTACGAATAAATATATGAAATAATAAAGAGTCGCTGCCATGATAGACAAAGTTAGGAAAGTGCCTACGAATGTCCTTTTTCTATCCCTTAGTTTTCCTGTGTTAAACTAGAAAGACTAAGAAAAAATATCCATGTTTTTAACATACTCAGAAATCATCTTCTCTATTTTTTAATTTATATATTTTTGTGTCAATTAATAGTTTTTAGCTTTTTATTTTAATTATTATTTTTTTTGAGGACACCTATTCTTATTTATAAATATGCTTTATTAGATAACTTTTTCAGGAAATCAATTGTCTACTAAATGTTAAATCATAAATAAATACATTCTACCGTCAATTTTAGAAGTTAAGAGTCTTATTGAAGGTGTTTTAATTCAAGTTAATAAGAATTTTAATTTAAGTTGCTCAAATTTTTTTATTCTTTTTTTTTTCTACCTTAACTTACAGAATCAACGGTATTAATTTGATAGAAAAAAGTTTGTCAATCACCATTTATGTTTATTCAAAAAAGTAATAAAAATTTGTGGCTTAAAATTGCAAATTAGTTTTTATTATACTTTAATTAATAATTGGTTCATTTCTTTTTGATAAATACATTAATTTCAAGGGATGAAAAATACAATTTAAAATAGTGTAAAAGTATTTCAAAAAAATGTTTATTAGATCAAAGTAATAAATTTCATGAAATCCTCTACTCCTTTAAATTTAAGTAACAAATAAATACTCCTTTATTAAACCAAAATAATTTTTACCATATCTATTAATAGATGCAGCTACTACGAAGTCTTAATTACTGAATTATTATTTATATAATTATTTATTCTATTAATAAAAACTACATAAAACAAATGGATTAATTTTTAAATGATTTAATGATACTTATTTTTATAAATTCAAGCTTTTAATTTATTTTAAAGTATTAATGAACTAAAAAACTAACTAATCACAAAAAGAAATAAAACAATATTTCAAACTTTATAATTGATTTTAATAATTTTCTATAATATATATTGTATTGTTTGACTTTATTTTTTAAATAAGTATTTCTATTGCATTAAAATATGAAGAACCGATTTGTATATTGTTAAGAAACAATTAAATTCAAAGAAAGAAAATATAACAAGCATTATTGCACAAAATATATTTATAATAAAAATATAATAATATATGATTAAATAATTTAAAGTCTTAGCGAAATTAGAAACATAAAAGATTATTTGTGGCTAATATGTAATAATAGTTAAAGAAAATTAAAGCAGCGCACTATAAAATTAAATTCTTTTAATAAATTAACTTGATAATTTTTAGTAAAAAATAGAGTTATAATTTACTAATAATAAATATAATTTGCTTAACATCAAGTTTTTTACACTTTTCTATAATTTTTTTGGAAATTAATACATTTTTAATAGTTTAAGTAATTCTTATTGTATATACTCTGATCTTAAATGCTAAATGCCATTTCCAAATTTTATAATATTAATTTAATTAAGTTTTTCTCAAAATAAATTTGATAATAATTAATTTGGAAATTTGGAAAATGTGAGGTCTTTTAAAAAATTTAAAGAAGAATAAAATTTTAGTAAAATTTTCTATTTGTAAGTAGATATTCATTTAGTGTTATTTTTTATTTTTTTTTTGAGACATGTTTATAAGTTCTTTATTTAAAATCTATGGCGATAAAATAAATCAAAATAAAAAATAATATTGGAAAGCAGAGTTTATCTATTTTTTAAAAAATTTGAGATGTAATATAATGTTTCATATTTTAAACCATGCAAAATATAATTATTTATATATTTCTTTTCTTATTTATAATTGAAAATTTTCTATACTAGAATACGATGCTAATTGAGCAAAATGAAAAAAAATAAAATTAAACATAAAGTTTAAAAAAATATTTATAATAATCTTTCTTTTATAATAGTTTTTAATAATTAATTGTTCTAAATATATATAAATCTATCAATTTAAATGGATTTATTAAAGATATGAAGTAAGTAAAAATTAATTTTTTAATTGGCAATAAATTTATCAAATAATAGAAAAGCAAACAACTTCTTTATTCAATAAATACAATATTTAAAAGCTCTTAGACCTATATTTCATTATCTGAAACTTATTTATTAAGATAAAAATAAAGATTCATCATTTTTTATGATAAGTAGTTTATAATAAACTAAAATATTTTTTTTAAGAACAATTTATTTAAAAATTAAATACTTTTGATATGTATTTATTAAAAAGCTTTATTTAAATTTCCATTGTTTAATTTTTATTTAGCAGTCAATCAGCATATTAAATTAAGAACTTTTTCCTTAAAAAGAGATATAAAAGTATTGAAAATGGATTATTCGTGATAAATTATCCTAAATCTTTTATATTTACTTTAAAATTGTATTTGTTTTTAATATTTATCGTAAAATTGCAAAAAACTTATAAAATGCAAAAATAAAAATTATTTTAAAAATTTATAATTAAGATTACAATATTTTTTAAAATTCATAAAAACTAAATTTTAGAATCTTAGTATTAATTATATTGTATAAGCAAAATTGTTTACAATAAAAAATTCTACAATACTTGATATATAAACAAGTACAAACTTTTTACAAAAAAATTAAGAACAATAATTTAGATAATATGAATGAATTACTTAGATATACTCTAAGTTTCATAAATAAAATAATAACCTTTTTCAATCGATTGTTCATTTTTTTAAAAAGTTTTACAAAAATAAATAGATATAATGTAAACATATTTTATGTTGTTATTATTATTTTTGTATAAAATAATTCTAGTTCACTTTTGGTTTTTTCCATATACTGTTTGATTATCTTACCTAACTTAATTGATTGGATAGGTAGGTTTAGAGGAGTATGAACTATTATAAGATTAATTGTTAGGATTTTATTAATTAGAGTGAGAAGTGAGTCTGTCACTAGCTCTTTAAGAAAGATTTTGTTAGCTTCTGCCCATAAGTATCAATATTTTTTTAGTTATTAAATTAATTAATTTATTAATTTATTATAATAAAAACTATCAATATTAAGTTTGCAAAATATTTATTAATTTTCTTCTATATATTATATTTCAATAATTTGCAAAAGAAGATATTTTTATTCTCATATTTAATATTTAGGTAATTATTACTTGAGTCTCACATATATGTAATTATTATTTGAAAAGCTATTATTCTAACCTATATTTCTATATAAATAAAATGATTCAATTTTGATTGTCTCATATTTCAGTAAATATAAGAAAAAATACATTGAAATAAAATTTTCTTTGTTAATAGCTTCAATAACAAGTAATTAGTAAGATTTATATTTAAAATAAATATGTAAAAAAAATTATTACAAAATCAAATAAATATAAATAACATCTTATAATTAAGTAATAATTGATGTTTTTTTAAATTTTTCTATTGATTTTCTAAAGATTTAAGATTCTATTTGAAGAATATCAGTGTAATAAATATAGAATTAGAAACAGTAATATAGAATACATTAAATAAATTCTTTAATCATATCAATTAGCATTAGAAATTTATATACATTTCAATTAATAAATAATATTAGATATAAGCAATATTAATTTATTTATAGTAATCAGATGCTAATTAGAAAGAAAAGATAATATTTTAGTTATTTAAAAAAAATAAAGAACAAAATTTATCTTAAAATGCTATTTATTTATCAACAAACATTTTATGAAGCGAAAAAAAATAGAATTTTATTAAATCTGAAAATTAACAGTAAACATTTTTCATTAAAAATTAAACAATTGCTCATTCATTTTTGATACTTTCAAAGTTTATTTGAAAACTTAAAAATATAAAAAATAATTCATTTTTATAATTTTTATTTAAGTATTTTGCTAAATTTTCTAAAAAGTTTTTAAATTATTATCTGTTAAAAATTTGGTTTCATAAAATATTTTTATTTGCATATTAAACATATTTTAAAATTTTGTACATTATTCAAAAAACATCTTTTAAAACTTTCAAAATTAAACTTTAGCTCAAATTCGTTATTTTAATAAATTATCTTCTTATCTTGAAACAAAATTTAGAAGTTTGATTAATTATTAAATAAAAAAGCATTACTTACAACATAGGAATAAATAACAATTAAAATATCAATTTTAATCTTTCAAAAAAAGAGTTAGCTATTAGTTGATTTTAAAAATGATGTCAAACTTAAATAACAAGTATTTGCATATATTACAAATATTTATAATCTCGATATATAGCATTATAGATTTAGCATATATACTAATTGCTAGTGGATTAAAATATTCAACGTAATTCTATTTGAATTTGGGCTTTTCATGCTTCATAGTTTTTATATGTATGATAATTATTTTTTATTTTTTGATGGATAAGAATGATAAAAGAGTCATCTCAATAGCCTTTATTATAGTTTCTATTTTGTTAATAGAATAGTATGTTTTTAATAATAAATAATAGCATATCCACCTTTGTTTGTCTTTGATTTTAACTTAATTTAGTTACAAAACAATGAGTCTTATTAATAATAGTAGAATTTTAAATGTTCTACTAATTTAGGTAACATACATAGAAGTTAGAAATATAATAGGAATAAATGGTATAGATTTATATACTTCTATTCAGTTAGGAGTGACTTTAGCATTTGTTTATGCAGCATCAATAACATCATAAGAAGTTTATAAAATGGATTCTATTATTGACAATATTAATTATTCTTACAACAATTAAAACAAAATGGATAAATAGCCTGAGATATTTTTAAATTGCAAAACCCTCGAGATAAAAAATAAAATAAGATGTACATCACCGAGTATTAATTTACATGAAAAAGTGCTATAGCATAATGCTGAGTTCATTTAATATGCTTAAAATTCTTTAATGGATGATAGTAAATGTCATATATAAAGAGAATATAATTCTAAAAGTATTAATAACATAGAACTTATGAATATCCTTGAGTAAACTAATGTTTAATAAACTTAAAACTCTGATTTACTAAAAATAAGTCAGCTTTCCTAATATTTTTAAATTTTTTCAACTGGATTCTCAATAATAGACTAAAATTAAAATGTCATCTTTCAAAATAAAGCTGTAGAAAATATAGTTTTTTAATATGGCCTTATTAAAAATATTGATTAAGCTAGTTGTTTAAATTTTGAATAAGGAAATAAACAAGGACTTTTAGAAATAAAGATAAAATTCGAAAATGATGAAGTATAAAATCAAAAAGTCCATTCGTAAAAAAATTAAAAACAAATAGTGTAATCTAGCTCATAAAACATTTAGAAAGATATTTTAAATATTGATTAAAAATTATTTTCAGAAAAAAATATAGACGAATTTCATACAAATACTGAGGAAGCAAAATATGAAAATTAAAATTTAGATAATAGTAAAAAATTATTTACATGTGAGACTGATTAAAATGAAAATTTGTTGAATAAAATGAAAAATGATAAAGAGATAAACATTTTTTTCAAGTAAAAAAATAATGATGAAAATGATAATTTTGACATAAATAATTAATAGAATGTATTTTATTATAATTAAATTTAAAATAATTAAAATTCTTAAAACAATATTAGCTTTTTTTCAGATTCGCAAGAGATAAGATAACAATAAAATTTCTTAAATAATTTAAACCAAATAAATTCTTAAGCAATAAATGTTAATTAGTCATTGCAAAAAATATTTTTAAGTAAGAATTTAATATGTGATATTAAAACAGCTACATTAAAATTTTTCTCTAGATACAATGAAGAAGCATCTCTAGGAGATTTAATTAACTTTATCATTCTATCAAGACCATATCCTTAGATTAATAATTGTTCTTAGGTCTTATTGGAGCCTTAGGAGATAGGATTATCTCCATTAATTCATAGAAAATTTTGCAAAAACAAAAAACCAACAAATTAAAATTCTCTCGACTAAGCTTACAAGTATTCATTTATTGATGATTACTTGATCTTAACCTTGAATAGAAAAAATAAATCAAACAAAAATCTATTGATTGAAATAAAAATTGGATGTTTCTAGTTTGAAGATGATTAAAAAGAAAAAATGAATAGCAACACAAATAAAAGTATTAAATCAAGTAATAATAAAATAAATAATATTAAAGTGATAAATGATTTAAATGATATTAAATTTGTTAGTAGCTCTTTAATTAATTAACATTAATGTAATAATATAAAAAGGCCTTCTTTACCTACTTAAAAGGCATCTGGTTTCTACTATTTACAATCTAAAGATTAATAAAATCAAAACTCCATTAAACCATAAGGTTTTTATGATGGAAATTTCTAATAATCAAAAAGTAATTTAAAAATAAACACACTAAATTGCTCTAAAAATATTTGTTTCAAAAAATATTTTTTTACAATTGAATTTAATCAAATTAGTCCATAGTTCAAAGGAGTAGTAAAAAATTAAGTAAATTAATAAAAAGCATAAATTTACAAATAAATTTCACTCGAATTATCTACTCCTCTTAGTTGTATTATAAATATGTTAGATTTAATAAATTCGCGAGAATCAACACATGAATTTGTGAAAAATAGTTTTATCAACCCAGCTTTGTTTTAATCATACATACTTCTTAACATTGTCAATGATTTACAAGAAAAATCTGAAATTACTCAACCAGGTAAAGTCAATATTATACTATAAACCTTTTCATTATCTGATCTATGTTTGGAATGCCTTAATTTTATAAAACTTCCTGCCATAAAAAAAAATATTTAGCTAGAGTTTTATAGCAAAGAAAATGTCCCTTAAATGATTTATAGCGATTTATCTAAAGTAAGATAAATACTTATAAACCTACTTACAAATGCACTTAAAAACACATAAAAGGGAAATATTTGCATCAGCCTTTCTTAACCTTTCAAAAATTTTATTCAAGTAGATGTTAAAGATAGTGGAGAAGGTATACCTTCAGATGAACTAATATAGATGTTCTAAAACTTATATTAATCAACTCAACAACATATTAATATGAGAAAAGATAAATAGCAAGATTTTTATCACGATAGTAATATGTCTTAAGGTCTTAAAATTTGCTATTTACTTTCAATATGCCTAGGGTAAAATAGACCATTAACTGCCAGCAGTGAGGTAGCTAAAGGGAGTATTTTTACATTCTATATTAAAAATACAAAAAAAATGGCCAAGCAGAAAAAAATTTCTTTAGACTGTAATAAATTAATTCAGTTTGAATATTTTCAAAAAGAAAATAGTGATAAAAGAGATCAAGAAACAATTTTAGATTTAAAATAAATATTTAAATTAGATGAAAAAAGTGAAAAAAACAAAAATATGCTTGATATTAAAAATAAAACAGAAAATTAAAATAATAATTAAAGAGCTCATAAAAATACTATGATGGAATCTACTGAACTTCAATCTTCATTCATTTCTGTAGAAGAAAATAATTAAGACCTTAATGAATCTTTAAATTCCTCTATACAAAATAATTCTAGTAATTATAAAATAAGCTTTTTAACATAAAATATGATAAAATAAAGCTAGTTTATTTACTAAATTGTCAACAAAATGTTATCTTAGATGACGCTTGAAGGATCATAGTATGGTCAATCAACTTTTAGGTCTAAATATTAAGAAAATTAAAAACAGAAATCATAATAAGATTAATTTAATAACTAATTAAATTAAATCAACAAATATAATCAAATACAAGAAAGTCAGTTTTCAAATTAAAATATTTAATAGGATAAAAACTTTTAAATATCTAATTAAAATTTAATGCCTAATTTAAAGTTTGAAGAAAATAATATTAATAACACTTAAGCTTAGTTTATACAATCTAAGTAAGATATTGACTATGAGTTTTCCGTATTTAATATAAATAATAAAGCTGAAGATAATTTATAAGAGTCTTGTAATATTTTTCCAGCTGAGAGTCTAGAAAAATTAGAGCCTAATACCTTTATTTAACCAAGAATTGCTTAAAAATCTAATAAAGAAGACTAAGGTAAATTATTTATTTAATTGTTTTAAAATTTTTGATTTTATTTTTTTATTAATAAATATTAGATCACATCAAAAATTTATCACCATTTATTTAACCAAATACACCTAAGCACATTTAACCTAATTCATAATAACCTATATCAAGCAACAGCAATTACTATACAAATAGCAATTCATTTAATAATTAAAGCAGAAGAGTAAGTCAAATAGTACTTAAAACAGAGCCTTCTATATATCACTCTGACTCTAATATAGGAGAATAAAAAGCTTAACTCCTCTATTTTAATGTTACTAATGGCTTTTATGTTAACGGTGATATTTAAAATAATTTAATCTAATTGAACTAGAATAGAAAGTGTGATTGTTCTTAAATTCTTCTTATAGATGATAACGATTTTAACCTATGTGCTCTAGAACTACGTTTAAGATAATATTTATTTATTATAGAAAAAGCTTCAAGTGGTTAACAAGCACTTAAATTGATTGAACAAAAAAGTATAAATTCATGTTGTAGGACATTTACTTTAGTTTTTTTAGATTTAGATATGCCAGTCAGAAATGGATTTGAAGTTTTAGTTGATATAGTAGATATTTGTAATGACCTTTTAATTAAAGTTCCTTCGATTTCTGCATGGACTGCTCTTCTTTCTGAAAAAGACCAGTAAAAGGCTACAGATTTTGGAATGTCTCATTACTTGACTAAACCATTAAATCTCCAAGCTTTAGAAAATGTTTTATTTGAAGAATTTATTTTAAAATAAAAAAAATAATTATGAAAATCTTAAATATTTAAGAAGAATTTTATTTAAATAAAAAAATAAAATATATTTTTATTTTAAAGTTTAGCTTAATACTATTCATGCTTTAATTATAATTTTATTCTAGCTTGTTAAATTTATAAAAACTTTTAAAAAAATTTATTATTTATTTATTTTATTAGAAATTTTTTGAAAAGTAAATTTAAAAAATAAAAATATTTTAATTAACAAAGTTAAAGAATGGGGTTGGGGTTGGGGTTGGGGTTGGGGTTGGGGTTGGGGTTGGGGTTGGGGTTGGGGGTTGGGGTTGGGGTTGGGGTTGGGGTTGGGGTTGGGGTTGGGGTTGGGGTTGGGGTTGGGGTTGGGGTTGGGGTTGGGGTTGGGGTTGGGGTTGGGGTTGGGGTTGGGGTTGGGGTTGGGGTTGGGGTTGGGGTTGGGGTTGGGGTTGGGGTTGGGGTTGGGGTTGGGGTTGGGGTTGGGGTTGGGGTTGGGGTTGGGGTTGGGGTTGGGGTTGGGGTTGGGGTTGGGGTTGGGGTTGGGGTTGGGGTTGGGGTTGGGGTTGGGGTTGGGGTTGGGGTTGGGGTTGGGGTTGGGGTTGGGGTTGGGGTTGGGGTTGGGGTTGGGGTTGGGGTTGGGGTTGGGG